TCTTAGAGCCCACTTTGCTGTTAGACAAACTCTCACTTGGCATCCTGCCAGCCCTGACACCCAGCTTCCTGCTGAGAGCCACCCTTTTCCATCCTACACTGGAGTGAGGAAGAGGACCTGGAGCAAGGCGGAGGACACAGCAGCAATAGCATTATTTTTTAACAGGCAAATTTTTTTCTAGCTGTCTTTTTTTTTTTTTTTTGGTACTGGGGATGGAACTCACAAGCACTTATACCGCTGAGCTAAATTCCCAGTCTAGCTGTCTTTTTTTTTTTTAACTTTTTTTTTCATCGGTACTAGGGATCGAACTCATGACTGCCTGCTTGCAAGACAGACACTTATGCCGCTGAGGTAAATCCCCAGTCCTGTCTTTTTTTTTTTCACAGATTTCTAATTTTGTTATGGATATGGATTATATTTTCTATTATTTCACTTTTTTTTTTGAGACAGGGTCTCACTATGCAGTCCACACTAGCCTCAAACTAATGGTGATCCTCCTGCCTTAGCCGCCCAAGTGATGGAATAACAGGAATGTGCCAGGTTGAACTGCATTGTGAGACCCTGTCTCAAAACAACAACAAAAATCCTGCCTACTTGTTCCATCCTTAGTGACAGAGTGGTTATAGGTTTCTACTATAATTGTGGGTTTACCTGCTTCTCTTTCCATTTCTACCAGTTTGGCTTCATGTATTTGAACTTCTGTGTAAAAATTGTATGCGCTTGCTGGGGATTTAGCTCAGCGGCATAAGCGCCTGCCTTGCAAGCAGGCAGTCGTGAGTTCGATTCCTGGTACCGATAAAAAACGAAAAAGAAAAAAAAAAAATTGTATGTGCTCAATCCTGGTGCAGCAGTGCATGCCCAAATCCCAGCACTTTGGGAAGCTGAGGCAGGAGAATTACAAATTCAAGCACAGCCTGGGAAACAGTGATTTGTTGAGACCCTGCCTCAAAAAAAAAAAAAAAAAAAAAAAAAAGAGAAAAAGAAAAAATATGCTGGGGGTGCAGCTCAGTATAAAGACCCTCGGTTGAATCCCAGAGCTGAAAAGGCCACCACCCAGCCCCTCCCATGCTCCCTCACCCTCAGTCACTGGCCACAGTCCTTGTCCCCTGGACCTGACTCCCGGGGTCGCAGGCACTAACCTGACACAAATGCTCGAAGGTGACACCTGGTGACCAGAAGAGAAAGAACCTAGCTCCAGGTGTGTTGTGGGGAAGGCAGTGTCCTCAAAGGACACTATTAAAAGCTGTTGGGCCCAGGGTGCCCTGTGGGAGGCTCCGTGGGACTTTCAGAGGTGGAGTTTAAAATGGGCTTGGTGGGCGTTGCGGTAATCTCAGCACCTGGAGGCTGAGGCAGGAGGATTCTTGCGAGTTCACACCGGCCTGAGGTACACACTGAGCTCAAGGTCAGCCCGAACAGTATAGCAAGACCCTGTCACAAAAAAAACAAAAAATAAACAAGCAAACTGGGTGTGGTGGGGCAGGGCAGGCCTGTAATCCCAGCACTCTGGGAGAGGCAGCAGGATCACCAATTGGAGTCCAGCCCGGGTCACCTAGCAAGACCCTGCCTCAAAACAGAAAAATACAGAAAAGGGCAGTGTGCAGGGCCTGGGTTCAGTCCCCGGAATCACAATGAAAGCAGCAGCTGTGCAGCTTCTGGAGACGCTGCGGCCCTAGGCCAGGCCTAGACGGGACCGTGGAAGCCTGTCTCTCCTCCTCCTTCCGGGCTCCAAGAGCAGCTACTCTGCGGCGGCCGCTGTGCCAGAGCCGCGGGGGGTCAGGCCGGCGTCCGCTCAGCGCAGTTCCATCCCAGGGCACTGCGGGCAGGGACAGGGAGGCCCGGCGTACCGAGGACCTGCGGGGAGACCTGCATAAGGGACGAGTCCCACTGCGGAAAGCCGCGAGTGGGCGCACACACCTGTGATCCTAGCAGGCCGGAGGCTGAGGCAGGAGGATCACATGCTAAGGCCAGCTTGTGCCACTTAGGCAGATGCTGTGTCAAAAACAAGCTGTGGTCATTTCAGTAATCCCTGTGCCATTTCCAACTGAATTGGGGGAAGCCTAAGAGAAAACATTTAAACGGCCGCGATACAGCAGGATCAACATAGAAACAAGGAAGACTGAAGGCGGATGCGGAGGAAACTCAACCCTCCGCTACGCGCGCCCGGACCTGGCCTATAGGATGCTAACGGCGGAGGCCACGCCCCAGCGTCTCTCGCAGACCCGCCCTCAGCGGCTCAGGATCCCCGCCCTTTCTCAGGCCCCGCCCTCGCCGCAGCTCCCGTCTCGCGTGCCCGGGGCTCAGTCCGCCTGGAGACGTCTCCGAGGTGGAGCCCAAGAGGTGGCGTCGCTTCCCGAGGCAGGTGCGCGATGCCAGGCGACGCGCGACTGGCAGGTTTCCTGCCTGGGCCTGAGTAGGTGGCGCCTGAGGAGAAGCGCGAGGTATTCTTGTCGTCAAGGCGCAGGGAAATTTTAAAGATTAAAATAAACAAAATAGAAAAGAGACTTTGGTACATCAAATTAAAATTTTCTGTGCAATGAAATGGACAGAATTAAAAGGGATGGCAAAATGCCAGGGATTTTGTTTGAGTTTTGTTCCGTGGGTTGAGCCTAGGGCCTTTGCACCTGTCCCCCTCCCCTTTTTGGTTTTTCTTTGAGACAGGGTCTCTGTAAATGAGTAAGTGGCCCAGGCTGGGCTGTAACTTCAGATTCTCCTGCTTCAGCCTCCCAGAGTGCTGGCATGACAAGTGTGTACCATGATTCATACTTTGTTTTATTCTGATTTTTTTTTTTTTTTTTTTTTTTTTGGTACCAGGGATCAAACTCACGACCTCACGCTTGGTAGGCGAGTGCATGTCGCTGAGCTAAATCCCTGGCCCCTATTTTATTATTTTTTTGAGGCAAGGTCTTGCCTTGGATGCAGTTCAGGCTGGCCTTGAACTCACCACAATCCCGCCTCAGCCTCCCGAGTGCAGGGATTACAGGTATGTGCTGCCACACATGATGACAGTACATATTTTCTTTTTTTATGGTATATGTTTTCAAGAACAAGTTAAACAAATATATTAACAGTTTAGAGCCACTGCTCTTAGTGGGGAAAGAAAACAAATAGAACCTGAAGACAGAAGAGGGAAGAGGTAGGAAAGGGATAGCCAGGGAGCAGTGCTGGCCAGTGTGTGTGAGGCCCAAAGAGCTGTGTCCCCAGCATGATGTGCAGGCAAGGAGAGAGAACCAAACTGTGGCCACTGCCTGGGCCCTGCTCCAGTGTCCTTGCTATCACATTATCCCTTGAGGTTCTTACTCTGGGATCACCGACCTGGCTCCAAGGCCTGGTGTCTTGTGACCCAGTGGCCTCTCTGTCTTATCTTTCCAAGGCTGTGGGTGACTTACTTTGTTCTGGGTCGGAGTCTCTGGGCTCTGTCCACCTCCCTGCCACTATAGCCAGCCCTGGGCTGGGCATGGGACAGGGGTTGCAGTGCCAGGAATCAAACACAATCCACAGCCTTCTAAAAATATTTTTTAAAAATTTCAAACAATCTCACAAATTAAACCGGGGGTGGTGGCGCACTCCTGCCATCCCAGCAGTTGGGAGGCTGAGGTAGAAGGATCCTTGTGAGTTCAAGGCCAGTCTGGGATACCAAGTGAGCCCAAGGCCAGCCTGAACTGCACAGTGAGACCCTGTCTCAAAAAAAAAGGATCTCAGTAAGCTGCTAAATTGCCCAGACTAGACTTGAACTTGCAATCCTCCTGCCTCAGCCTGCTGTGTGCTGAAATGACAGATGTGTGCCACCAGGTTGTGGCAGAAGGTTTTGATGCTATCGTGCTCCTTGGGGACAGGCAAAGTTTTCCTGCTGGGCGGTGGTGCAGCCCTCATGACTGCAGTTTTGCTGCAAGGTCATTTCTGTGAAAGGGTCACAGGTCTCAGGAGTGAGCACAGAGCCAGGTGGGGCAAGGGCACAGGCTCCTGTATACCCCCATATTGAGTTCTCCTTCTCCCTGGGCCCCACAACCCTGTGTCAGGGCCCCAGTGACCAGAACATAGTTGAGCACAGGCTTCTACCTATCTGATGCTGCCCCAGACCAAGCACCCCTCCGCAGTCCTCTGAGCTACCCTCCTGGGTCTGGGGTAAGGCCCTGCTCCAGGTACCTCACAGTAGAAGATGTTGGGGTGGGTTGCCCCTCAAATTGAGGTTGTCCCCCAACACTCAGCCCTGCTGTGATGACCTAGTCCCCTTGGGAATTGGGAAGGTTGGATGGCCCCAGCCCAGTGGATCCAGTTATAACCCATCCTGGGGTCCAGTTATAACCACTGTCCACCTGGCCAGCCCAGGGGCAGTTGAGGACAGGCAGAGGTAAATATAGATTTGGAGAGACCCAGCACCGGGCCCTGTGCTGCCCTCTGGCTGAGGCCCTGGGGTGAGGTGGGCAGGAAGGGAAGCCTTCAGCAGGGCCCAGGACAGAGCAGCGTTACAGTCCCTGAATTCAACCCCCAGCACTGGAAGGAAGAAAGGAAGAAAAGAAGAGAAAGGAAGGGAGGGAGGAAGGAAGAAAGGGGGAAAGAAAAAGAAAGGGCAGGAGACATGCCACTCATGTGTGGCCTCTGACAACCTGTGTCCTCTCTCTGGGTCTCACTTTTCTTTGCTGATTCCCCTCAAAGATGCTATCCAGCCAACTGGTCTCAGTAATCTCAGAACTCTGGGAGGCTGAGGCAGGCTGATCTCAAATTGAACCCTAGGCTGAGCAGTTTAGCAGCTTTGTCTCACAAAATAAAAACTGCTGAGGATGCAGCTCGGTGCAAAGGCCCTGGGTTCAATCCCCAGTTCCCTCCCATAAAGAAACGAAGCAGTCTGGCTCGCCGAGGGAGAAGCTGGCAGTCTGAGGAGACTGGGCTCTATGAGCTCTAGGACTGGGTCCCCTGATGGGCCCCAGACCATGTGCTCCTGGCATTCTCTGGGCCGCCTCTGCCTGGCCCCTACTCAAGGAGGGATTCACGACAGACCAAGCTCCAACATGGATGCTTTATTGGCAAAACCCATTTCCAAGCACATGGGGCACAGCAGAGCCAGCAGGGCCAATGTTCACTTCTGTGGCTGTGCTAGAGGCGTGGGGTGACAGTGCCACGCTCCCCACCAGGCGCTGTGCACCTAAGCGATTATCTCCCCTAAGCTTCAACACCCTGAGAGGTGGAGGCCCATGTGGGACTAGGAAACTGAGGTATAGAACAGGAAGCAGCGTAGCTGACTGCCTGCTCTGCTCTGTCTGCATCTACTGCCCTTTTGGTCACTCAGAGCCACCTGTCACCCTACTTATCTCCACTTCTGCTTCTTTCATCCTTTTTGTAATTTTATGAAGCAGTTGATTCCCGCCGTCCTGGGAGGTCCCGGCTGCTGCCCCATCTGGCCACACCAGTCCTCCCCGGACTTGGTTAGGATGGGGTTGGGCTGGTGGGACCCCAGTGGGACCACATTAAAGCCAAGTACAGCAAAAGCTCTCAGAAAAGGCACAATAAATTACATCCCTCGCCTGCCCACCCATGCCACCCACATCCACACCTACCCCACCCAGGGCAACGTCCTGCCTCAGCCCCTTGTATCCCCAGCCCTGGCCCCAGCACATGGGGATGGCATCCCAAGTCCCCATCCCTGCCCTCTCCACAACACTTCTGGTCTCCAGGTGGGCATGGGGAGGAAGGCAGACACCCAGCTGCCCCTCACACTGTGATGGTCCCTTGGGGATGTGTGGGACCCTGCTTATCTTTGGCCCTTGGTGACTGTCAGTAATGGGGCATGTCGTCCACACACCCCACTGCCCGTGAGGATGCAGAGGCAGGAGTGGTCCCGGGTCACACAGCCAGCAGGGTTCAAGTGTCCCCACTGACTGCTTGAAGAGGAGGCACTCCGACCCTGAAATTCCTGTTGCAGGATCCGGCCACCTTCAGCCATAAATGCCAGTGTGCCCTCATGAGACCCCCAGCTGCACACTGCCCTCTGGAGAGGGCCCGGAGCACTGCGGGGTCCCGGCCTCCTACACTGGCATAGGCACCTCGTCGTACTCATCCCGGCCGTCGTCCTCATCCACAGAGGCCTTGACATCATCGGCATCCAGCTGAAAGGTGGGAGAGGGTGACAGGGCCCAATGGCACAATGGCGACGGTCAGGAGACCCGGCTCAGGCTCTGCCCATCCCACCCCCAGGGCTGGTCATAGATGGCCAGGAGTCCTGGGTCCAGGCAGTCTCGCTCCACAGTGAGCGGGTCCCTGCTGTTGGCTCCGTCCTATGGCTCCCTGCTCCGGGGTCTGGGTGGCCGGTATGACCATGCGTGACCCCCTCAGCCTCTCCACCTGTCACCATGCCTCCTAGATGGGTGACACCGGAGCAGGGGCCCCAGCCTGCAACCCGGCGGGGACGGGCAGCCAAGCCTGGCGCGCGCCGTCCCAATTCTCTCACGTCCCCCGCTATCACGCGCGCGACCCCCTGGCCCGCTGCTGTCCCCAGCCCGGGCCCCCAACCCACACTCACACACTGGAGTTCCAGGCGGCTGAAGAAGAGCGGCAGCAGGAAGCGCCGAAGGGGCACCGTGAGGATGAGCATGAAGGGCAGCGCCAGAGAGGCCTGCGTGGACTTCACGACCCACAGCAGTGCCAGGCACACGACCTGAATGGCCGTGAACAAGTGCATGCGCCAGGTCCGCACCTGCAGGGGCTGCCGTCAGCGTCGGCCCCGCCCAACCGCCCCGAAGCCCCGCCCAAACACCCCGCCCCAACCGCCTATAGTTAGCTGCGGCTACGCCACGCCCACTCCCCGCCCCTCCCCTCCCAGATGCCGCGCCTGTAACGGCCTGCTACATCACCACGCACCCTGGCCACCACGCCCCTGCCCTTCAGGTCCTCCTTCCTGACCCCACCCTCTCTGGCCTGGCCACACCCTGGCCACACCACGCCCCTGAGGGCCCCTTCCTGGCCCCACCCCCAGTCGGACCCGGCCCCGCCCTCCACCCCTGGGCCCCGCCCCTCGGGCCCCGCCTACCCGCTTCACGAAGGGCACGTCAGGGTGGTACTTGGCCGGCTTCAGCAGCAGCAGGATGCGGTCGAAGAGCTGGATGCCACTGAGCGACGTGATGCCCATGTAGAGGAAGATGCCAAACAGCACGGCCAGCGGGATGCGGGAGAGGATGGGCTCCATGAGGATGGACAGGCCTGGGGGACATGCAAGTCAGCCCGTGTGCCTGCACGGGCCTGGCGTAGGCGGGGGTGGCGGGTGGGGATTCACAGGTCCCAGTGGGCCTTGGCATGGGGCCCCAGTAGGATCCGGCCACAGCCCTTTTCAGGTTGAGACAGAGTCTTCATAATTGCTCAAGCTAGGCTCAAACGTGTTGTCCTCCGGATCACCGTGCCTTGGAGGCCAGCCTGGGCTACATAAGGAGGCTGAGGCAGGAGGATCTTTTGATTTCGAGACCAGCCTGGGCTACAAAGTGAGTTCAAGGCCAGCCTGAACTACATAGTGAGACCCTGTTTCAAAACGGAAAAAAGAAAGAAAGAGAGAAAGAAATTCCCTGCCCAGTATGGTAGTGCATACCAGTAACCCCAGTAACTCAGAAAGCTGAGGCAAGGGGAATCACAAGTTTGAAGTTGGCTGGAAGGTGTAGTGAAATCCCAGCTCATAAAAAGAAAGGTTGGGGTGCAGCTCAGTGGTAGAGCACTTGGAAGCATGCAAGTTCCGGGGTTCCAGCCCAACACCAAAAAACACCCCCTCCCGACCTTTAACTTGAGGACTTGGGACCTCACCTCACCTCCCCTTGCCTAACCTCTCCAGGTGCCTACTTTGCCCTCAAATTGGCAGGGGAGACTCCCACCACCCCTGGACTCTGCTCCCGGGGAAGCAGAGCCAATTCTCAGCACTCACCCACCAGCACCGACACCAGGAGCCCACTGATCCGCTGTTCCTTGACCTCCTGGATCTGCGCTGAAGCCCCCGGGGCATTGGCCTTGCCCATGACCGTGAGGGCATTGGCATGGGTGACAGAGCGCACAGTGGTGGCACTGAGCCAGGGCATCCCGAAGAGTGCAGCCACACCGCCCATACCCACCACCAGCAGCAGGTCTAGGTGGAAGCCGGAGCCCTTGGTCAGCTTGCGCTCAGGTTTGCTGACGATCAGCCTGTGGGTGGAGACCTGGTGAGCCTTGGCCTATGCAGCACCCCCTGCACCCTGGTGGGACCCAGCCCTGTCCGCGTTGGGTTCCAGGCTCTTCAGGATCCTGCAGTCGGCAGCCCAGCCTGGCACTCTGCCTGAGCAGCCTCCTTTTAGGGTGTCATTTTGCATCTTTGGTTTTAGAAAACGCCTGTCATCCCAGCCCTCTGAAGGCTGAGGCAGGAGGATCACTATGAATTCAAGATCAGCCTAGCACGCAGTGAATTCAAGGCCAGCCTGGGCTGAATAGCAAGACCTGGACTCAGGCAAAAAGAAAAGAAAAAAGTGAGAAAGCAAAGCTCCCCCATGAGACAGCCTCAACTCTGGGATGCTGCCCCTCTGCCAGTCCTGGTGCTGCCAGCAGCCAGGGCCACGCCCGGGGCCCCCAGCTCCACTGCATGATGCTCACGTTGTGATCTGTGACTCAAGGAAGATGAGGATGAAGACCAGCAGGGCAGGCAGCGCGGAGGCGAACATCATCCAGATGGGGAAGTGGCTGTACAGACCCAGCGGGTGGATGACCCAGCCCCGGGCGGAGGCATTGGACACCTTGAGGCCATCAGGAACCGAGAGTTTCTGTGGGGGAGGTGCTGGTAAGAGGGAGCAAGCAGTGGGTGGAGCTTGGCTGCGACCTGGGGACCCTGATGCTGAGCACTTTCTCTGCAGCCCATCACTGTGCCAAGTCCTTTTTGCATCCATCTCATTCCCAGCCTTGCAGCTGAGAAGCCCAGAGAGGTCATGTAGCTCTCTTGTGGCTGAGCTCTGACCCACCCTGGTCTGCCTGGCTCAAAGCAAGCCCTTTCCTGCCACCCTGGCCAGAGGGATGCAGGGCCCTGGGCAATGGGTGTGGAGCTCCCTGGCCAGGCAGTAGCAGTGTGACTAGTGCCAGCCTGGGGAGAGGTATCGGGAAGGGACCAGGGAGGGGTCACCTGGGTGTAGGTGTCTTCGATGAAGAAATCCACTAGGACCATGATCAGGATGGAGATGGGGACCCCAAAGTCCCCAATGACCCGGCGCAGCTGGGGCAGATGAAGGATGGGAGATCAGCGGCCAGATGCTCTGTGCCCACCTGCCCCCGGACAGTCACCCCGGGCCTGTCTCCACCCCAACATCGCTGCCCCCTGTTGCCCCAGCCCGGCTACACTGAGAGGTGGGCACTCCACAGCTCTGGGATACCGGGAAGAGAAGGGTGAAGGGGCTGGGCCCTGGGGTACAGTCCAGCAGGGATGAGGGTTGGGGGCATGGGCAGGGGCGGGGTGGGGTGCTGACCTTGCCAGGGAAGTAGGAGCTGTTCTTAAACTTGCGCAGCATCATGGCGAGTACGAAGGTGCCGGCCATGAGCACCAGGGAGAAGAGGGCCGTGTTGGGCAGGGGCCCCTGAGGTTTGGCCACTATCTGCACAGTGGAGTTATAAGACCTCTGCAGGGGGTGGTCCTGGAAGATCTGCAGTGGAAACCGAGGTGGTTCCCGCTCAGCCAGGGGTATGGCTGGGACATAAATCTGCCCAGAACTCAGATCCAGCCACCCCCATGCCTTATCCAGCCCTCCTCCATCTTTGTCTACCTGTGCATCACCCACCTACCCACCAGCCCTCTACCACCCATCCTCTGGTCCAGCATCTACCCATTCCTTCCTCACCCACTTCCCATCCTTCTGCCCTCCAGTCATTCATCCACCGTGTATCACTCAGCCCCCACCCCGTCATGATCACCCCCATCATCCATCCACCACCCACTCTTCACCCATACCCACCCGTCATCTGTCAGGCACCCGCTCATCCCCCATCATCTCCTGTCCACCTGTCTGGAAGCTGCTTCCCTGTTGCCCACCTCTCCCTCAGCTGACATGGTAACTGGGGTCCCTGAGTTTGGTTTTCAGGGATAAAGACCAGGTCAGGCACGGGGTCTGGGCCTCACAATCCATGAGTACACCCATGGACAACCCTGGGCCCTTGGGGTGTGGGGGCCCATGAAGGCCAGGGGCCAGAAATGAGGATTAGGGGGTTCTCAGCAGGGCTTAATGAGCTGGGGTGTGGGTCAGGGACAGAGTGCTTGCCTAGCGTGCACTGGACCCTGGGTCTAGTCCCAGCCCTGCGAAATAAGTGCGCGTGTGACCGGAAGGACCTGGAGACGGTGAGGCCACCCTGCTCCCTCCCTCACCCTGTTGAGGCAGGCAGCCTGCAGCTGGGCACCAGGTGCTGAAGACTGCCCCTGTGGGGCCAGGGCCTGCAGAGCTGCCCTTGTGGCCCACCTTGATCAGCTTGGAGAAGGTCTCGTAGATGAAGATGAGTGAGATGAGGAAGGAGAAGATCTCCTGGGTGTAGCGGGAGATGAAGCGGACCAGCACGCTGCCCTCGAAGGCCACCACAAGCACCACGAGGAGGATGAGCCAGAAGCCGATCCAGGCGCGGCCCACGATGTACTCCAGGCCGTTGCTCTCGCAGAACTGGGGGGCGGGGGCCGGGGTCAGGCATGCAGGCAGGGCCAGGCTGGGGCATCCCGTGGGGCGGGGTGGGTGGCCTACCGTGAAGAAGGCATCCTCGAACACCAGCAGGGGCCCCGAGAAGCCGACCACCAGCAGGGGCTGCGCGCTCAGCAGTGCGAAGAGGATGCCCTGCACTGCAGTGGAGATGAGCAGCTCCGACACCCCCATCTGGTTCCCCGTCTTCTCTCCTGCAGGGGTGGGCAGTGGGGTCAACAGAATGAGAGGTGGGCAGGCTGAGAGGGTGCTGGAGCCAGGCCGAGGCTCACAGGGCAGGGGCAGCAGGCAGTGGGCACTGACCCAGCAGGCCACCAAAGGTGATGGCGGGCGACAGAGCAGCGAAGTAGATGAAGATGACGGCCGCCAGGACTTGGGGGCTCAGTGCGTCTGTGATGTCGCTCAAGTACCGGGGGTAGCGGCGCCGGATGTCTTGAACCAAGCCCCCGAACAGCCAGCCCGTGCGCTGCAGAGGGTCATCGGGGCCCCCGGGGACCCCAGGGCCACCATTCACGTCTGTGGAGACATCAGAGAGGTCAGGGACAGCGGGAGGGCACAGGGCGGTTGCCAGGGCCACGACCAGCAGGCAGTACCTAGGCCCTTGTAGAAGTCACGGTCTGGTGCCACTGCGGGGCCAGGCTGGTAGCGCCTGCGGATCAGTGCCTGCTGGACAGGCAGCAGGCTGTGCAGTGCCTGCTCCAAGGGGGTGTCCATGGGTGGCAACACCAGGCTGCAGTCCAGGAAGCCGTCCAGGGAGTGCAGCAGCTCTGCGCGGCTCTGCGCCAAGTATGCATCCACGCGAAAGGCCTGGGTGTGATGGTATGGGTTCAGGGATGACGGCGGGGCCTCTTGGACAGGCACTCCTGCTGGACCTTGCCTGGGGCTCCGGAGAGGGGCTGAACATAGGGGTGCCAGGCATCCCGCTAGGACAGGGCCGGCCGGGATGGAAGCCCCTCACCTTCTCAGACATGAGGGTTGCCATGGTGCGGCCAAGCTGTGTGTAGTCCGTGTGGGGGGCCTCGGGGCCCAGCAGCACCATGAGGAAGCGCACGGGCCGGGGCAGCTTCATGTCCTCCAGCTGTACGGCTTCCTGCAGCCGCACAAAGGCCAGCACCGGCTGCTCCAGGAAGTCGGCGTGACCTGTAGGGAGCGGGGGCCAGGCCTCAGCTGGGCCGGGGAGTGGGCACAGTGGGCAAGGGATGGGCCTGTGCTTACCCACGTGCACCAGGGCAGTCTCGGCGCTCTCTGGAATCTTCTCCAGAACTGTGGAAGTTGAGGGCACCCCGGGCTCCCCCTCGACCTGTGGCAAGATAGGCCTGAGCCCGGCCCCCTCCCGCCTTTATCCTGTCCCTGGGCCCAGCCAGGGTTCCCCCTGCTCCCTGGCATGGCCGCACCTGCTCACAGAAGAGCTGTGTCTCCAGCGAGGGCTGTGGGGCCAACAGAGCCTGGCGGGGATCCCCGGATTGAGTCAGGACGGCAGGCGTCACCCCCTCCAGAACTTCCCGGTCCTCGGCACGGCTGCAGGGCACATGGATTTCAGTGGACCGTTGGGTGTGGACCCATGGGGGTACCAAAGGCAGACACCAAGTGGACTTTCAGCCACCAGGCCTGAGAGACCCTGGCAGCAGGGAGAACCAGCTGTCGGCCCAGGGACATTGTAGGTGTGAGTGGTGACCCTGGCTGGACAGTGAAGGATGCTTCAAGGGCCCAAGCCGGGGACCAGTGGCCCCTGGCATGGAGCGTGGAGCCCAGCCAGCCCTGGGAGGCCACGGGCCGCATGGCTGGCTGGCTGAGCCTGGAGCAGAGGGGTGAGGGCGGGCGGGCACCTGCGCTTGAGCAGCAGAGCCCGAAGAAGCGGCTCCCGGTGCTCAGGCCGGATCTGCTCCTCGAAGATCAGCCTGTCCAGCAGCTCATGGACCACGCCGGCCATGGAGTGCTCCTGCAGGTCTAGGAGAAGTGTACCTGTGGTGGACGGGCACGCAGGGTGAATGGGGTCCCTGACCATCCCCAGACAGGGACAAGGTCGCAGCGCCCGGCAGGCTCACCCTTGGTGAAGGCCTTCTGCAGCTGTAGGAGGCTCCAGAAGGTGAGGTAGGACAGGTGAGGACGGCCCCAGGCACCCCGAGGCCCCACGTTCTCCTCCACCCGCATCCAGTGTGCCACTTCTGCCCACTGCAGCTCCGCGCTCCGCCCATCCATTACCAGCTCCTGCAGCTGCACGTAGACCTGCGGCCGAGGCCCAGTGAAGCCCTGGCTGGGGCAGATGTGGGGTGCCTGGGTCCCGCTGTCCACACCCACCCCCAGGCCCTCACCCTGTCCAGAAGGGTTCTAGGGAAAGGGGTGTGGAGGAAGGCCAGGTGCTTGAGGAGCCTGCTGCATCCCAGTGCTGAGTGGGCCTTGGGCATCAGGGCAGCATCACTATCTGGGCCCAGAGTTCCCCAGCACCTGGGCTGTCAGGCACTCACAGGGACCTGGGGGTCTGGCAAAGAACAGCGTGGCTTGGGGGCTCCCTGAAGTGGCCCTGGTCCCCAGAAGTTGGTCCCCTCCTCTTCCACCCATGTCCTGCACGCTGCTCCCCCATCTGTTTGTAGGGGTCTGCCAGGGTGACGCAGACCCTGGAAAGACTGGCTGGGGGGTGCTCACCTCCTGGGTGCCCAGCTCTGGCTTGGCAGGGATGTAGTCTGTGGCTGTGGGCTCTGTGTCGGGGAGAGCTGAAGGCCCAGGGGCGGTCAGTACTGACCATCATCGTCCCTCCCCATGCCCCATGGACCCCCATGAGCCTCGGGGACACAGGCCTGCTCACTCCCCACCCGACTGGGAGTCCCAGCTCTGCCACCCTAACACAGCCTCGGTAAGGACCCAGGCACATGCCAAGGTTTCCTCCCTGGCCAACTCCGGGACCGGCTCCCTCTTCTTGCCACCTTACCAGCAGTGCCTGCCAGGTTCTTTGTGGCTGCCAGGAGGGCAAGGGCGGGGTACACCTCTTATCCCCCAGCCCCACTTCTCCTGAGTGCCAGCACTTAAGTGCTGTTGACAGTAAACAGGTACCCCCCCCCCCGCACACCCTGGATCCCCACCAAGACCTTGGGCTGGCAGGGAAGGTGCTATAGACCTTGGGCGTCTCTTGTCTGGCCCCTTGTGTCCCCCTTCCTCAGGATCTCTAGCCCACAAGACAGAGTGATGTCCCCAGAAGGGCCATGCGCCAGCCGGGAGTGGGCATTGGAGGGCCAGGTGGTAGCGGGTCACACCCTTGACCCCAGGAAGGGGCCCTGCGGTGGGTGACCCCCCCCATCACCACCTGTCCTCATCCCAAACAAAGTGCTGTTTATCCTTCAATCACTGGTGATCATGATGGACGTGGGGCATTCGGGGTGGAGCCAACTTACCTTGGGGCTCTTCCATCTGGGGCTCAGGGATGCCCAGGTCCTCATAGTCCTCCAGGTCCAGGGCTTGCTCCAGTTCCTCCTCACGCTCCACAGTATTCAGCACCTCCTCCCTACCCCTGGACTCTGGGACCACCAGCACCTCCTCCTCATCCCTAGACTCTGAGGCCACCAGCCCCTCTCCGTAGTCGTCCTGTGGAAGCTACAGTCTCAGGGCCCAGCTACCCCACTCCCTCAAGCCCCAGGAAGGCAGTGATGCTGACACCCACTTGTAGATCCCCCATGGCACCGTCCAGCGAGTCCAGTCGTCCTTGGTGAGCCAGGCCCCAGCATAACCCACACAGAGGGTCCCTGCGGAGGTGGGCACAGGCTGAGCTGAGTCTCTGGGGTCTCCCAGGCTTTGGCAGCCCACAAGACAGAGTGATGTCCCCAGAAGGGCCATGCGCCAGCCGGGAGTGGGCATTGGAGGGCCAGGTGGTAGCGGGTCTACCCCCCCGAGGAGGGGTAGAGCCCAGGGGCCAGGCGAGGTGTGCTTTGTGTAGGCCTGTGAGGGCACTTCCCTACCCCAGTTGCGCTGTGTCTTTTTCTGCCCACCCATACCCACCCCCTTGGCCTTCCTGAACCCCTGTTCCTCATTGCTGGGTGTGTGGCTGCAGCACCCTGAACCATGCAATCCTGTCCCTCTCTGTGCCTGTTGCCTCACCCGTCAGCCTCCATGGGGCTCTAGAACTCACCACGCTCCCTCTGGCCCCAGGGCCTTTGTACTACCAGCTGTCCATGCTCTGGAAGTATCACTTGACCTTTCTCAGCCCTCAGCTCCCAGCCCCTTGCTGCCCAGCAACCCTCATTCCCCAGGGGTGCTCTCTGGTTTCAGCTTATGCACCCAGACAGCCCTGGGAGGGGCCCACTTCAGTGCCATCGCACACCTGGGCCCCCACCCAGAGGTACACAAGTCATGCTTCTGTACTGCTCTCTGTCCTCTGCCTTGGCCATTCTCCACTCAAGGCTTGAGTCTGGGGGACAGAAGACCTAACCCTAACTCAAGAATGGGCATCCCAGGTGCCCCCCGCCCCCACCACTCTGAGGGCAGGGGAGCAGGGAGCAGCAGCCACCAGGGCCTCAGGGTTCACCCAGCCATGCACTGATGTCACCCAGTGCAGCCCAGTCCTGCATGGCCTGATAAGAGCCATCACAGCTGTGCACAAACACCTGGCTGCCACTGGCTGGGAAGATAAGGGTGCACATCTTAGCACAGCTGGAGAAGGGCTGGTGACAAGGACCGGCAGTTCCCAGTGCTCAGGGCCATGTGTGATCACACCAGGACACCCAGCAGCTGAACCTTTATCTCTGCAAACCCCAAACCACGGTGCCCAGTGCTTCTGACAGCAGGCCTGGCTCACTGTGGGAAAGCCAGAGTGACAGGTGGCGGCCAAGTGTTGGGGTGCGTGAATCCTGGCCTGAGGCAGACACTGACCCTAAGCCTAAGCCTGAGACTGAATCCTAACCCTAAACCATAATCCCAGCCCTTCACCCAGAATCTGAAACCTGAACTCTAAGCATAACTGCAGCCCCAACCCTAAACCCTGGCCCAGACCCTAACCCTGGTCCTAACCCTAACAGGCTGGCCCCCTACCCTGCTGTAAGCACAGAGGAGAGAGGGACGGGCGTGCACTGGTTTCCAAGTGGCTGGGACCAGACTGCAGTTGGACCTCGGAGCTTCAAAGTCCCACCCTGCCCGTGTCTGTGGCACTGGGGATTAAACCACAGCCTTTGCCCTAAGCTCCATCCCCGCCCTTTTTGTTTTTATTTTGAGACAGGGTCTCACTAAGTGGTGAAGTTGCCCAGGCTAGGCTTAAATTTGTGACTCTCCCCCCTCAGCCTCCCAGAGTGCTGAAATTACAGTTATGTGCCACCGAGGCTGGCCTAGACCTGCTGCTTACTGACTCCCCATGTGTGGTTACAGCCTCCACAACTGCTCCTGTTACCTGGGAGTGCCAAGGCTCCCCTGGTGCCCACCTGCTCCTCAAGCATGAAGCTCTTGGCACCACACCCCCCACCAAGTGCAGCTCTGCCTACTGTCACCAGTTCTGTACTTGGGCTGCGGGCTGACGGCCACTCCTTCCCTGACTTCCTTTGCTCCCCACAGATCACCCTGAGTTGTGCTACTCCCTGGCCTTAGGGGCTCCTGTCTTTGCAGTCCCCAGACTGGGGAAAGTGCCAGCCCCAGGGAGGCTCCAAGCGGGCAGGAAGGGGTCCTGGCCAGTATCATACCTCATGAGGGAGGTGGGAGACCAGGGGGCCCCACATGTTGAGGGTGAGAAGGAGTCAGTGGGGTGGGGGACCCGGCCCTGGCACAGCTGTCTGGGGCACCCCCCAGTTTCCCCTCATTGACAATGGGCACCCTACGCCCACCTGTGCCACCCAACCGCACCTGTACCTGTGCACCCTGCCTACCTGCTCAGAGCCTCAGGTCCTCAGTGGTCCCACACAGCTGGGCCTCTGCCACCGACTGTGCTCACAGCTGCTCTGAGAGCTCCCCGCCCTGATCCCCACCCTGCCCTCCTGGCCCGGGAGGCGGTGTTATCTCCCGGCCACATCTGGAGGCAGCCTGGGCCCACCCTCAGGGGCACCGAGGTGTTCGGGGTGCTGTCTGCCTTGCACCCCTGCTCAGCCCCATGGGGCCAGCCCAGCAGCCACAGTGTCTCTGAGCTGGCCTTTCCATCCCACGGCATCTGCTTCTCACTGCTGCCAGGACCCTGCTGGCTCCAGAGTCAGCCATGGGCCCTGATGTGCCGGCACTTGTCACCTCCAAACAGTGCCAGGTCAATGCAAACAATGTCCCCACATGTGTTGGGGTGCACAAAGCCCCAATGTCCGGGCACAGTGGGGCCTCTGTGGGGGCCCAGCCCAGCCCTGGGGGCAGAAAGGCCACATTCCCGCCCCACCATGCCTCCCACACCCCCGTGGGACCAGCCAGGCTCCTGGGTGGCAGTGCCAGCCCTGGAGCAGGAGGGATGGGAGGTGGAGGTGAGTGGCCTCGGGGCTCTAACCAGGACCCAGGCCACCCCGGCCAAGAGCCAGAAGGTGGTGACCAGACCTGAGGCCCCTCTGTGCAGGTCCCAGGCGGCAACAAGCTGCCCACCCCACAAGACAAACTGGATCACTGAGCTGTGTGACAGTGCTGGCACTCTGTGGCCTGAGCTCGGAGCCCCCAAAGGTGGCTTCTATCCAGGTCCTCCCCCTCCCCCCACGAGGACTGGGACCCAAGGCCGGACGGGGGTAGGGAGCTGCCCTGGCCCCGGCTGTTCCTTCCTCCCCACCAGCCTGGGCTGGAGTGCCCAGGCAGGGTGGGCTTTGCAGGCCCTGGGAAGGCTGTGCCTCCTGCAGGCTCCATCACAAGCTGTCACCTGGGGCTATGGTCATGTGGTCGGCCCTCTTCCAGGCCTGGGGTCGCTGTCACCTGCTGGCCTCAAGCCCTGCAAGGAAGCCAGGGCCAGGGACCAAGTGGCTAAGCTGGGAGCCAGGCAGGAAGGATAGGTCTGGCCAAGCCAGCCAGGCTGGGCCCGGGCCTGCGTTGGCCACCTCTGCTCTGGCATCTGGCTCCTTTCTGGGGTGTTGGCCTGACAGCTAACAGACAAGCAGCCTCCCTGGGACGGTAGGGGAGGGAACCCATGCTCACCCTCAGGAGCTCCTTGCTCCAAGACAGAAGGGGACAGCATGGAGCTGCCAGGAGGACGGTGATAGGTGATGGGGTATGTGGAGGGGCAGGGCACAAAGCACCTGCAGGCACCATGTCTCTGTGCCCATCTGGGCTGCGATGGCCTCACTGGGCTAGTAGCGCGGCCATGGAGCCCGGCGAGGGGACAGTAGCAACCTCAGTCTCCTCCCTGAGCTCCTGCCTCAGCAGGCCTGGAGGCCAAGTATAGAGGTTGGGCCCACAGGACCTGTGGCTGGCGGGGCGGCCATGGGCTCTGGGCTGCATGCTTGCATCTAAGCTGTACCCCGCCTGCCCTGGCCACCTCCCTGCCAGCCTGCAGCAGTGGCCCTGACCTTCAAGGCTCAGTGCCTACGTCCACTTCTGCCCGGCTTCTGCTGGCTGCCTCTCTGGAGGGTAACAGGACCCAGCCCTTTTGGGCGCCTCTGGCCTGGCCTGCCCCAGCTCCCCAGCTCCCTGCCCTACCCGACGCCCCTCACCATCCAGGCCCCATGTCATCTGGAGTGGGTCCTCCTCAGCCAGTTTACTGGACAGAGCCCCAGCCACTGTCCTGCTTCAAGAACAATCCAGATGGCTGTGTGAGAGAGAAACCCAGACTCTGGGTGGCTGGAGCCAGGGGGCTGAGTGTTCCCTGCTTTGAAAGCAGGGAGATGAAGATGGGGGCAGCAGCCGCAGGACAACATGGCCTTCCACCCAGGAATCTTTAGCAAGTGGCTCCTCCTTGTGGCCCAGTATGGCTGCTTGAGCCCCAGCCATCTTGTGCTAGTCCCAGCCAGCAGGAAGGACAGAGGGTAAGGCTCAAGGCCTCTCCACTGGTCAGGACTGGGTGTGTGTCCATGCTTAGTTCCAAGATAGCCTGGACAGTGTGACCTTCCTTCGGAGAAGGTGTGCGTCCAGAGCACCATGGCAGGAGGAAGAGAAGCAAGGGGACTGGGGATCTGGGTAGTTGTAGCCGGGACCAGTCATCACGAGAATGCGGAGCTCTGCCTGTTTCTTGATGTCCCCAGTGCACGCAGAGCCTGGGGAAGGTGAGCTCTACCCTGAGCAGTGCCAGCTGCTCAGAAAGCTGAGGCAGTGAGATGCCTGGAGCCCAGGAGGTTACAGCCAGGCAGGTGCTTTGCTGCTGAGCTGTACCCTCTATCTGCTGGTGCTGGTTTTTAGAGACAAGGCATTGCCCTGCAGTCCAGAGTGGCCTTGAAATCTAGATCTTCCTGCCTCAGCTTCCTGAGTGCCAGGGTAATGATTCAGAGAAGGGTTCTGGGCTCCACGTCACATGAGGCACGAGGGCTCCTGAGCCCTCACAGCTTAGACAGAGGAGCCTGTCGGGTTCAGGCAGCAGAGCAGGACACAGAGCAAGGCTCCTCTGCTCTCTCTGTGGTCTGGCTGGCTCCTCCTCCAGCTCTGCCAGAACCGAGATGAGACATTGAGGCCTGGGCCCAACCTGAGGAGGTCAGATTTCCAATGACCACCTATACATCAGGGGCTGTGAGGTCCCAGGGAACCAAGAGGCAGAGCCCTGCTGGAGCCAAGCACCTAGCAAGGGACAGTGTCCCACAAATGAACTTCCTATCAGTTCAGACCAGGGAGAGCTGAGTCCTCAGGTTCTCCTTTCACCTTGGCCACTAGGAACCTCGGTGTATATCAGGCACCCAGGGATGGCGCCAGCCTCAGGTAGGGGGGCCTGCAGGGGGTGGACAGGCGGGACTTGGATCCTGGATCCTGGACCTGAGTCGAGGCCGCACTGCTCATATGGGAAGGACTTAGGCTTTCCAGTTCCCAGACAAAAGGTGGTAGATGTTTGTCTGTGCACACACACGTGTGTGTGTTGTGTGTGTGTGTGTGTGTGTGTGTGTGTGTGTGTGTGTGAGCATGTGTGGTATTGGGGCCTGAACTCAGGGCCTTCTCACTGAGCTCATCTCAGCCATTTTTCATTTTTAAATTTTTTAAAATTTTGAGACAGGTTCTACTAAGCCACTAAGTTGACCAGGCTGGACTTGAACTCATGATCCTCCTGTCTCAGCCTCCCAGGAAGTCAGGATGACAGGCATGTGCCCCACACCCAGCTTCTCTGCTCTTTCAGCCGTTCTCTAGTCCCTGATTTGATGCAGGCCTGTGTTCCCTGGGTTGGTCCCATAGCTCTAGAGGGGCAGGCATGATGGCTGCGGGCAGCTTCCCTGAGGCAGCGTCATCCTCCTCAGTCCCAGGGCCACTGGGGCTGAGCCTTGGACAGGGCTGGGGTCAGAACTGGCGATGGCGTGTGTGGTTGCTGCTCCCTACCTGTCCTCAGCAAGCCTCACCGTCTTGGAGGAAGTGGGTGTTGAGCAGCAGAAAGTTCCCTGAGATCACACAGCTCCCGAGAAGGTGCCTCGGCCAGTGCGAGCTGCCGGCCACCGTGGGCACCACAGCACCACCGGGAAGCTACAGGACGGCACAGTCACATCATGGGCCAGGGAGACTGTGGGCAGCCTTCTGGGGCTCTGTGCCCGCTCCCCACCTGGTCCTTGATATCTCTTTCCATGCCCTCTCTTCACCAGTTTCCGGTCAAATTGAGTGCAAGTCAGGTGATAGGACACACCTGATCTCAGCTCCCTTGGAGGCTGAGTCAGGAGGATCACGAGTTCATGTCCAGCCTGGGTGATTTAGTGATGTAGTGAGACCCTGCCTCAGAATAAAAAGCGATAAGAAAATTAAAAAGGGCTGGAGCTGAGGCTCAGTGCAAAGGCTCTGAGTTTCTCTCACAGCTCCGTAGGTGCAACCTCTATGGAGGTCAGCATGGGGATTCCTCAGAAAAGTAGGACTAGAGGTCCCCTTTGACCCAAAGCTATTCTCCTTCTAGGTGTCTTCCCAGAAAAATTTAAAACATCCTACCACAGTGATATATGTGCACCCATGTTTATAGCAGCACAGTTTGTAATAACCAGGTCTTGGAAACAATCTAAATGCCATCGACTGAGGAATGGATAAAAAGATGTATTTCTATACAATGAAGTACTGCTCAGCCATAAAGAAGGATAAACTGGAGGCTTTTATAGGTCAGTGGATGCAACTTGAGACCACACTTCATAAGAGAAATCAGACTCGTGTAAACATCGTATTATTAAACAAAAAACCAAAACATGGTATCATTACCCACGTATAAAAAACTGAAAGTAAATAAGATTTAAAATGTACAACGGATTCTGTGAAAATGAAAGGGGAAGACAGTGCTCGAAAGGAAAGAGCGCCTGGGATGAGGAAAGGAGAAAGAAAAGAAGGAAAGGACTACACGGATGTCTGTCGGGTAATTGTTCCTCTGGTCTCTGCAGTCTGACGGTGCGCGGCACGTTCGTGGTCTGATCGCTTTGTGCCTGCGCCTGACCTGAGCAACTGCTCGCAGACCCCGTGCGCAGTAGATGAGCATCGTCAATCTCCTATCACTTTGTTTTCAAATCTTGTATCATTTTTTTGTTGTTGTTGTTTAAGAAAATGAAACAAGGGCCAGGGATTTAGCTCAGTGGCATAAGAGCCTGTCTGGCAAACACGAGGTTATGAGTTCAATCCCTGGTACTAAAAAATAAATAAAAAACTAAAAAATGAAACAAAAAAGCCCTTGTCCCCTCTGAGGCCTGTGGAGACCGCCAGACCCGTGGGGACCTCCTGTGCCTGGGTCCCCAGGGCGCCCTGCATGGGGTGCTCAGGCCTGGGCAGCAGGGGCAGAGCCTGGTCGGGCCGCCGCCGCCTCCCCACAGCCCTGCGGCAGGGTGACCTGGGAACACTGGGGCTCCTGACCCCAGCCCTGTTGGGCGAGGGGACCCAGGTTCTGGAGCCTTGGCAGCGCCTGGGGCCCTGGGCATCAGGCTGCCCGCCCCACCTGCCAGGGGCAGGGACCACCTGGCCCGGCTCCGCCTCTTCCCTATCTGCGGAGCCAGATGTCCCCAGCTGACATGGGCCGGGCCCACGGGGTCTCTGGCTGTCACCTACATCAGCAGCCAGGCCTGTGGTAGCTCCCGGTTGCCAGGGCCGCCACTCCTTGCAGCAGTGCCCACATTGCTGCGGGGCAGAGGGAGGGCAGCAGCCCTGGGGACAGGCAACAGGCCACGTCCAGGAGGAAGCCAGCCGGCGTCTCCTGCCCTGTCAGCAGGTCTCTGAGCCTCATTTATTTCCATGGCTCTAAACTGGCCCCTACTCTGTCCCCAGCAGGCTGAGCTCCAGGGACCCTAGGGCCTCAGAGCTCCGTAGGTGCCCCCCATGTGGGGAGGCCCTGCCCACTCGGCTGTCCTTGCCCCGGGCCCTTCCCTGGGAGTCAGTGACAAGAGCCTGAGGGTCAGGCAGAGCCAGTGGTGCCTCAGTTTCCCTTGGACAAGAAGAGTGGGGCTTCCTGGCCCACACAGAGAGGACTGGAGTGAGTCTACAGGTCTGTCTGTCTGTCTTTATGGAAAAAAGTGGAACAAAATTTCATAACAAAGGAGTAGAATTGTCTTTGAACCCAGAAGGCTTTACTTGGCACTGACTCCTGCGCCAGCCCAGGGTCAGGAGTGACAAAGGGGCCACAGGTGTGGGACACTGGCAGGTCCCAAGGGCCAAGCGGAGGGACCCAGGGTCTGCATGTACCTCCTGCCTGGTGCCACTGGGCAGAGTGAGAAGCTCCTGCTGTCACTGATCCAACCTGGACAGGGTGGCCAGGGACAGTGGCCAGGACCACGGGGGCCTGGAGACTGTGCGGCCCCTGCCCTGAGGTCCTCAGACCCATGTGGCCTGTGGGAAATGGGAACTTAGCCCAGGTCCAGCTGGGACCCAAAGCCCTACTTGGTCCGGGAAGCAGGCACAGGGCCGATGGGGCGGGGACACCGAAGAAGGTGCCTCAGGTCCCCCAAAAGCTGAATGGTAGCCCTCGGGACTCATGATGAAGGCCACCGGCAGGGACTTGGCATTCCTTCTCTGAAGCCTGAGCTGCCAAGGGAATTGACCAGCCGGGGCTGTGGCTCAGGCCTGTCACCTCACACTCAGGAGGCTGAGGTAGGAGGTTCCCATGGCCAAGCCCTGCTCATGCAACTCAGTGACTCAGCAAGATCTTGTCTCAAAACGAAAACTGGAAAAGGACCGGAAGGATCAGTGGCACAGCGCCTGCCTGCAAGTGTGAGGTCTTAAGTTCGATTCCCGGTACCAAAAAACAAAAAGAAAAGAAAGGAAAAGGACTGGTGCTGGTACTCGGTTCGAAGGCCCTGGTCATTTCCCAGCACCCTAAAGCCAACACAGACCCTGGAAATCTGCCACAATTGAGGAGCCTCCTGGCCAACCCACATCTCACATTACACCAGGATGCCACTCTGCACACGCGACCTGCCCACTATTTAAGGCCACCCACACGCTCAGGAAATCTGGCTGTCATCCCAGACTCTGGGCTGGTGACCGTGCTCGCAGCTGTACTTCTGGATGGGACCCAGTTGTCCGGGCAGCAGAGGCAGCACCATCTCCTCAGGGTGGCGTGGGGTTAGAGGGTACCTGTGGGACACATCCTGAGGCACCTGGCAGCTGGAAAACATGAGGCAGTGTTTGTGTATCTGAGACAGGGTCTTGCACTGTAGCCCAGGCTGGTCTCAATTTGCAGGGATTCTCCTGTCTCGGCCTCCCAGGTGCTGGGATGACAGGCGTGACCCACCGTGCCTGGCACACAGAAGTATTCTTACTGTCATGTTTTGGGTAATTCATGCTTGGGATATTTGTAAAAGTTTAACTTGTCAAATAGGTAAGGGCTCACTTTTATTTGGGGAATGCTAGGTGTTTTAATGGATGTTGGAAGTGTGGGAACCCCACACAGTGGAGGAACTGCACTGGAGCCTGTTTGGGTGCCAGGGCGATGCTGGAGTACAGCAGAGTCACCTCCAGCACAGCCGTGGTGACACACCGACCCCCAGGTCGAGGGCCACAAGAACCCCAAGGTCTCTTGTGCCCAGGACCAGGGCCCCTTCGCTGCCTTCTCACTCACAAAGCCATCCTTTGTGTCTGAGGGTCCCTGGGCGGCCAGGTCTCCAGGGTCCACAGAGCTGGGCTGCCCTGGACACAGGTGGCTGCTCCCTTCTGGGAATCGTCCACTCGTCCCTATCTCCCGAGGCCTGCACCTCTGCCTCCCCGCCGTCTCCTCCTGCTACTGCCTGGCCCACCACGTGCTATCTCTGCCTGCAGCTACTGTGAGGGCCCGGCCCGCCAGGTGTCTATCTCCGGGTCCTGGAGCACAGCCGGGGCCAGCAGCCTTAGTGACTGCCCCTCTGGCTGCTCGCCTAGCCCAATGCTCCGACTTGCTGATCTCTGAAGAAGATAGGGGTCCATGTCCACGTCGTTCTTGCTGCCCGGGGGGGCATCTCCATGCCCTCTCTCCTTGCTTTACTTCCTCGCCTGCACTGGCTGAGGACAGGAGTGCTGGGGAGAAGCCCGCCTGGGCCACACTGCGTGCTTGGGGCTCAGGTGGGAGCTACCTGGGTAGCAGCACAAAGGAGAAGCTGGGACAAGACAACACTGCTCAGGGAGGCCTCCATTGGTGCTGACTTCAGGCCTCTGAAATGCAGGGGAAGTGTCCAGCAGGCCACATGCAGAGAGAGAGAGGGCAGATATAGTGGCACACACCTCTCATCTCAGCACTCAGGACGCTGAGGCAGGAGGATTGCAAGTTACAAAAGTTCGAGACCAGCCTAGGCTAGAAGGCCCAGCCTGAACTGCATAGTGAGACCCTGTCTCAAAAAGACAAAAAAAAAAAAAAAAAAAAAAATTTAAAAAAAATTTAAAAAGAGAGTAGGGCACATACCTCAGTGGGAAGGCTCTGGGTTTAGTCCCCAGTGTGTGTGTGATAGAACAAAACAGAGGGTTCCCTGATGAAGAGGAAATTCTGTTGGCTGATGGCAGCATGGATGCTGGGAAAAGGTTCCAGCTTGCCCTGCTCTGGGTGGCCTCGACTGACCTGCTGTCCAGCGGGAACACTGATACCAGCCAGCAAAGCAGCCCAGCTCTAAGGTTGGGCTCTTCTGAGACAGTGTCTTCCTATGACAGTGTTAGTTTTCTGAGACAGTGTCTTCCTATGTAGTCCAGGCTGGACTCAAACTCACTGTGTAGTCCAGGCTGGGTTTGAACTCACAATGATCTTCCTGCCTCAGCCTCCCGAGTGCTGGGATGACAGATGTGTGCCGCCATACCTGGAAAAGCAAAATAAATTTAAAAACTAATCGCATAAAAACAATGCAGTTTCAAAAGTGGTCAAGTATTGTGATCCAAAACACAACTGAGTTCAGTCATCCAAGTATTGGATGTCTGATGTGTTCCTAGTCTTCCTTACAATCCAAAAGGTTATATTTGTGATCCCATTGAGAATCCCAGCAAGTTAATTCCAATCTACCACCATCAGTGCAGCCCACAGCAAGAGTAAAGACACCAAGACACCCAGACATGTTCCAAGTTAAGGGCAGCCAAGGGGTCCTAAGTCCAATCTCCATGAGGACAGGTAGACAAAGGCCCTGACCCTAGGCGCCTCCAGAATTTATTATCTTGTGAAGAAGGGGTGTGGCTCAGGGATGAGTGACAGTGAAGATGGCGGGAATTTTGTAATTTGAGCTGGCTGGCCAGGAGGGAGAAGGGTATGCAGAAGGATCAATCCACATAATCTGATTAGGGTAGCAACTGAATTGTTTTGGGAGGCTGTGGTTTAGGTTTTTTATATTAAACCCTTGTGCCCTGGGGAGTCACAGCCTCTTGCAAGCAGGCAGTCGTGAGTTCGATCCCCAGTACAGATAAAAAGGAAAAGGCAAAAAAAAAAAAAAAAAAATATATATATATATATATATATATATATTTTTTTTTTAAGAGTTGAACAGTGTCTCCAAAGAGGACAAGCAGGCGGCAGCTGGAGGTATCACTGAGGTGTGACGTCACATCCACTCGAAGGCTTCTCTCGAAGGCTCCTCCACACCCACGGTGGTCTCACAGTGACCTACATGGTGGAGCACACAGGGACGTCAGGCCCTCCAGTGCCTCGGCCATTGTGCTTTAGGCAGCCAGCTGGGTTGGATCACTGCCCTGGCCCACCCAGGATAAAAGGGACAGCAGGTGACGAGGGCTGGGAACATCTTGGTAGTAGCCAGCAGTGATGGCTGAATGGCTTTGGAAATGTGATAGACACCACTGAACTGTACACTGAAAAGTGGTTACAATGAGCCAGGCACAGTGGAGCACATCTGTAATGTAGCTGCTTAAGAGGCTAAGACAGGAGGATCACAAGGGCATTGGGGGCAACTCAATAAAACCCTATGTCAGTATAAAAATAGCTAGGTGAGGCCAGGGATTTAGCTCAGTGGCACAAGTGCCTGCCTGGCAAGCGTGAGGTCGTGAGTTTGATCCCTGGCACCAAAAAATAAAATAAAATAAAATAATAAAAACAGCCAAGTTCATGCCTGTAATCTAGCACTCAGGAAGCTGAAGCAGGAAGATCTCAAATTTGAGGCCAATCTGGACTACATAATCAGATCTTGTCTCAAAAAAACTAAATAACTAATCAGTAGGAAATGAGTGAAATCCTTTGAGGAGGAGCAGCATGGTAGAGAAACTAATGGCCAAAACATCGGAGGAGACAATCTTACTCCAAGTACAGATGTGCCCCAGAGGAAGACTTGGAGAGCCCCCACACTGAGAGCAGGGCTCTCCATCCCTGGCACCCGGTGAAGGTTGGTGCCCCTCAGTTCAGGGCCTGTCCCCGATGGCTCCTCCGCTTTGCCCTGCCTGTCCAATGCTGACTTTGAGGACGCCAGGGGCAACACCGTCCCTGCTATGACTTCGTCCTCTAGGTGCGCCAGGCTGGTTCTGGCCCAGCAGAAGCGTAAAGGGGTGTGTGGGGCTGGGCTGGCTCACACATCCAGCCAGGCTCCTGTACTGCTGCTGTGGGTCCCACTGTGAAGAGGGCACTCCTGGGGACTGGCTTGTGTCGGGGGCTTCGTTCCGAGCTGCTTTATCACAGGACATTGGGCCTGCCTTTAGCTTCCTCCTGCTTGCTCGAAGCAGCACAGAGGTGATGATCAAAAATATGGTGAATGTTTTAAAGTGCACAGTGGACAAGCCTGTAATCCCAGCACTTGGGAGGCCAAGGCAGGAGGGTCACTGTGAACTCAAGACCATCACAGTGAAAGACTCATTGCCATGAATTCTCCTCAGAACCCTCCTGCCTGCTTCAAGCACACTCACGCCAGTGTTCTTGTCTCTTTCTGAAGAAGCTCTGGAGTCCTCTCTCCCCAGTGCCTGGGTGCGGTGTGATCAGAAACACAGTGGCAGTGCACACCTGTAATCAAAGCATTTGGGAGGCTGAGGCAGGAGGATCCTTGTGACTTCAAGGTCAGCTTGGGCTACAAAGTAAGCTCAAGGCCAACCTGAACTGCACAGGGAGATCCTGTCTCAAAAAGCCAAAAAAAAAAAAAAAAAAAAAAAAAAAAAAAAAAAAAAAAAACACAGCAGATGCAACAGCTGAGTGCTGCCCCACAGAGCGGCTCAAAAACACACTGGTGGGGGCTGGGGGTTTAGCTCAGCGGCATAAGCGCCTGCCTTGAAAGCAGGCAGTCATGAGTTCGATCCCCGGTACCGATAAAAAGGAAAAAGACAAAAAAAAAAAAGTTATAAATAAAAACACACTGGCATCCTCACCCACTGCATTCACTGGGCCTGGGACTCAGCAGCTTCAGGGTCTTCCTCAAAGTCAAAATGATCCTGAAAGGGAAAATAATTGTTTCCGAGTTAGGGTTTTGCTATGTAGCCCAGGCTGGCCTGAAATTTGTAGGAGTCTTCCTGTCTCAGCCTCTGCAGTGCTGGAATGTCAGGCATGGCCCACAGCACTGAGTTGGGTTTTTTTTTGTTTTTTTTTTGTCTTTTTCCTTTTTATCGGTACCGGGGGTCGAACTCACGACTGCCTGCTTGCAAGGCAGGCGCTTATGCCGCTGAGCTAAATCCCCAGCCCCAGCACTCAGTTTAAGGTCAAGGTTATGAGTTGATTCAGGCCATCAAGGCAGGTGTGGCAGTGCCACTAAAGACAGCGCACACAGTGGCAGCCCCCCCCCGCCCCGGCAGCTGAGACACCCCAGCTACAGGGCCCGCAGCCATAGGGCTGGGGAGGTTTGCCCCCCTATCTACCACTTCACCTCTGCCTGCAGCTCCTCCCCCGCCCCTCTTAGTGTTATAGGCAGCTGAGCTAGTTAGAAATATCACAGGCAGCTGGACAGGGCTAGGCCCTCAAAAGAAGCCGGCACAAAGGAATGGATGTCTGATGACCTTGGAAGAGACACACAGCTCTTGCTGTGGGTCAGATTTTGGGACAGAAGGCAACACAAATGCAGCCACACCCTTAAGTATAATACTTAGGGATGAAGTCTGGATCACCTTGAAGTCAGGAGTCACCATCCCAATTCCTAGGGAGGAGTCACTGCTCTCTAAGAATGCCTGCCTTTTACCTGACTCCCTTCCCCATTTGTTCCCACTTTAATCAATTTTACCTGAGCTCTTAATCTCTCTCTTTTTTTTTTTTAAATCGGTACCGGAAATTGAACTCACAACTGCCTGCTTGCAAGGCAGGTGCTTATGCCACTGAGTAAATCCCCAGTCCCTGAGCTCTTAATCTCATTGGCTACACACAGCTCTGTCCCACCTCATGCCTGTCTACCAGTTCCCAGTTTTCCTCAACTTTAGACCCGCCTCATCTCACGATTTTACTCTATAAAAATCCTGAGAAAATACAAAGTCTTTGGCAACCTACTCAGGACCCTTCTGTCTTTCTCAGACAGAGGTTGTCTTTCTCTCAATAAATGTTTCTGCTCTTAACCGCCGTTGTTCCTAGAATTCATTCTTCAATTTTAGAGAACACAAACTCTTCCCAGACACAGTAGGTTGGGAGTTTCATTCCCCTGTATCATTAGCATCTTCTCGCTGACCTTCACCTGCCACTTGGGCACTGGGGCTCCTGAGTGTGTCTCTCTCCCTTCATCTGAAACTGACAGTGAAACTCCCATCTTCTGAGAGCCCGAGACACAGATGGGTCACTCAGGCCATACTAGGGTAGTAGATTACACATGGGCTCATGCATGGGATACCTCTAGAAATTTTAAACACTGGCAACATTAAGGTATTTTTTTAGTTTAGTTTAGTTTAGTTTGTTTTTTTTTAGAGACAGGGTCTTGCTATGCAGTCCAGGCTGGCCTTGCATTTATGGAGATCCTTCTGCCTCAGCCTCCTGAGATGGGATCAGGTGTGCAGCACCATACTGGCTATGGTTGATGATTTTGACTCCAAAGTGTCAAAACTACTGTTATGGATTAAAAACTGGGGGTCAACTTAATGCCAGCTGAATTAAATCAGCATGGTGCTGAGATGGCCCACCTGCAGAGCATTGTCAGCATAAAAGGGACATGTCTAGGAAGAGCAGGGGTATAGTGGGTTCTCCTAACTATTGTTGTTTGGAGCAGTTGGTTCTCCTGGAGGAGCTTGTCATGACTAGTCCCCAATATGAATTTGGCCATTATTGCTGGAGGAGCTCAGGACTTTGTCACTGAGAATGGCTGTGATTCACTTTGGCGGAGCTCTGGTCCTTACGTTGAACATCACTTCCTGGCTCTGGAGGGGGAGACCTGTGCGGTTTAATCTCCAGGAGAAGCTTGTCATGCTGGCTTCCTGGCATGTACTCGACTGTTCTTATCATCAGAGGAGCTCTGGACCTCCATGTCTCTGAGGATGGCTGTGGTGCTTTTCAGGACAGCCCTGGTCTTTGTTTTGAGTGTGATTTCTTGACTCCAGTGTAGAACCCTCAACCTACCAGCACAGCTGGCACAGACTTTCTAGTTTCCACTGCTAACCTTTGGGCCTTCCCAGTGTGGATCCGTAAAACAGACTGGCATGAGTACTTGTCGTGGGCTCTAGACCTCCAGTTGGACTCTTGGGGCACTGTCATGGGTTCTGGGTCTTAAGCTGGACTCATGCAGGACATTGCTGTAGGATCCAGGCCCTCGGCTGGATTTTCTAGGTCTTCAATATTGTAGAAAGATTTCCTGCACTTTCTTGTATTTAACTCTGGGTGATCATTATAAAGTAATAACATAAATTCTGTGCCCTCTATGCAATTGTTTCCTTGCAGCCCCTAACCATAACTATTGACTGGAAAAGGACAGTCTTTCCCACAAATGGTGTTGGAAAACTGCACTTCCATGTGCAGAAGGATGGGGTTGTATTGTCGCCTGACACCATACCCAAAACTTAATTCAAAATGGGTCGCAGAGCTAAAGGGAAGGTCTGAAATTATCAACTCCTAGCTGAAAACAGCGGGCAGAAACTTCACCAGGTCGGGGTGGTAATGAACTCTTGGTGCGACACCAAGGGCACAGTAAAAGAAAGAGACAAACTAGACTTCATGAAAACTTTTCAGTTTCGTTTACAGAGTAAAAAAGGCAATTCGTAACACTGGGAAAAATTCAAATCACACACTGGATGCGGACTCTAACCCTATCCGGGAGCGACCCGCTAGAGCAGGGCTGGAGGCATTGGGCTGCCTGCGGGCGCCCCAGCGGCGAGCCGGGTCCTCCGGAGTCGCCCAGGCCAGCTCTGAGTGTTGGGTCTGAGCTCGCGCCCTCCAGAAACGGACGGACAGACAGATGGACGAACGACGGAGGGCCGGAGACCGGAGACAGACAGGCGGACAGCGCCTCCCGGGCGGCCGGGGCGTCTTGGCTCTTCCCCTAGGCGCCCGTGGCCCCGCCCACGCCGCTCCGCTCTCCGGATTGGGCCCACGGCGGGGCAGGGCCGTGACGTCAGGACGGGCGCGGTCAGCACCTCGGAGAGCGCCGAGCCTCGGCGGCGACAGGGGCGCGGGGGCGCGGGCCCGGCCGCGCGTGGGCTCGTCCCGGCCACAATGGCTCTGGGCCTCTCTTCCAAGAAGGCGTCCTCGCGCAACGTGGCAGTGGAGCGCAGGAACCTCATCACCGTGTGCAGGTGCGCGGCGCGGGGCTCCCCGGCCTGCGCCCGGGCCGCGCGGGTGGTCGCGCCTGGCTTCCTGCGACACCAGGAAGTGACACCGCGGGACGCGGCTCCGGGCGCTCGCCGCTACAGTGGGCCCCGTCCCCCCACGCGCGGCGGAACCCAGGCCTGGGGGTGGGAGCCCGAGCCAATCCCGCCAAGGGCGAGGAGCAGAGCCATTGTCCCCGGGGTGGGGACACCCAGGACGCGACCCTCTGCCCGCGGCGGCCCAGAGAACCCTGTCCTTCCCCCTCCTTGGGCAGCAGGGAGAGCGCCGACCGCCCAGCCCCCCAGTCTGCGCCACCTCTCTTGGGGACCCTGGGCCCATAAGTGCTGCTCGACCCCGCTGAGCTCTCTGCCTGCCTTAGGCCTGATCCTTCTCCTGGAACCGTTACCCACCTGATGGCCCAGCTCCTGGCTCCCAAAATCCCTGCAAGGTTCCGACCGCTGCCCAACCCTGGTGTCCCTGCGCCGAGCAGGGCGCTGGGTGCAGAGCCCTGGAAGGCTATGGTGGGAATCAGAGATGCCCAGCCAATCGCGCCCCCAGCCCTTTCGGGAGGCCCCTGTCTGGGGATTGGCTTCCTGGGTTCAAGGGTTCCCGTTGCTTATTGGCTGTGCAACCCTGGCAAATCAAATTGCCCTGGGCCTGGACTGCTCATCACATCCATTTTCTCTGCAAAGCTGTAGCCAGAGGCAGTCAGGCACAGCACAGAGGTGCCTGTCCAAGCCTGTACCCACAGGCTCTGGCTCTGACCTCCTGGGTTCCTCCTGAGAGCTGGAGAAGGAGGGCACTCGCTCAGGCCTGGGCTGGAGAAGCGCAGGTTCCATGGCCTGAAAGTGGCTTAGAACTGGGGGTGAGGAACAGCGTTTGGAGGTTGGAGACAGGACAAAGCCCAGAAACCCTGGGGGCTAGGCCATGTCATCACATCACGTGGTTCTTCACAGCCAGCTCCCAGAACAGCTCCCTTTAAGCAGGCCGAGGCTGCTCCCTTGGGCCCTGGCCTCCCATCTCCATGGTAACCTGCATCAGCTAGCACATCTAACAGAGAGCACACTGTGGGGCTCCTGGGGCTCCCAGGATAGATGGCAGATGGCTGCCCTGCTGCCCAGCCCATTGGATCTGACCCCATGACTCAAAGAAATCACTGAGGGATCATGGAGCCCCAGTAGTGGCATGCGCAAGGCTTTCTCCCTGGGATGGCATAGCTCTTCAAAACCTGGCCCAGCAGCCAGCCCTGCTGGGGTCTGCACCAAACTGATCATCTGCAGGCTGCCCCTCTCCAAGCACCACATGCTCGCCTAGCTAAGGCCAGACCCACCTGACCCCAGAGGGAAAGTGGGTGTCACAGGCCCCATGTGCCATTGGCCTGGGGGCCTCAGAAAGTCCTTTCCCTGGGCACCTGCCTCTGCAGTGGGGCTTCAGGGACCCTAAGTGTCCTGCTCTGTATGTAGAGATGGCAGTGATGGAGGACAGAGGGGACACACCATACAGGACTGACCACCCCACAAGTCAGGGGTGGCATCACTTGCATCCCTGCGATCTACTTTTAGAGGGCCCTCCAAGCACCTGCTGCCAGCACCCATCCATGTCAAACCTACCTCCTCCCCACCTGGGGCCTCATGTGCGCTCTGGACAGCTGGTGTGTGGGCAGCCAAGTGGGCATGAAGGCAGGGAGGGGACTCTGTGAGCCAAAGGCCACCTGGCTGCCCATGCTCCCCGTGCCCAGTGCCAACTCATGCCCTGGCACAAGGGACTCGTCCCTCGGGAATGGAAAGTGAAGGGGCAGCAGCTCAGGGATGGCACAAGGCAGCATCTGGCTTCCAGGTGACTGGGCTCCCACTTGGGGCCAGCGCCATTCTGAGGGTGGCCTGGGCCACTGCCCCTCTGCCTAGAGTTCACCCCTTCTGTGCCCTGTGCCCAAGCATTCTTTCTCTGCCTGTCTCCTCTCTGGGCACCCACTACACCCACCTGCCCCCATCCCTCTACAAGGGACAGCATCACAGAAGCCCCCAGCCTTGCCCAAGCCCTTCCCTGTCCTGGTGGCCTCTCCTCTGCCCGAGTATCCTCTCTGCTGACACCACCCTCTGCTCTGACCTGGTCCCCTAGCCTGACCCCCGCAGGTCTGGTCCCTGTCCCCAGGTTCTCAGTGAAAACCTTGCTGGAGAAGTACACGGCTGAGCCCATTGATGACTCCTCCGAAGAGTTTGTTAACTTCGCAGCCATCCTGGAGCAGATCCTGAGCCACAGATTCAAAGGTGCGCCCTTCCCCTGGGCCTGGTGCCGGGAGGGGAGCGCACATGCGCATGGGGGTGGGCACTGCAGCTTCCACCGTGCCCTGGCCGCTGAGCCTCCCCTGCTTGGCTCAGCCTGTGCCCCAGCAGGGCCCGCCAGCTGGTTCAGCTCTGATGGGCAGCGCGGCTTCTGGGACTACATCCGCCTGGCCTGCAGCAAGGTGCCCAACAACTGCGTGAGCAGCATCGAGAGCATGGAGAACATAGGCACTGCTCGGGCCAAGGTGAGGTGTGGCCCGGGGCGGGGCCTGGAGGGTGTGCACTGGGCTGGGCACGAAGGAAGGACGCTGCTGCCTTTCAGGGCCGTGCGTGGATCCGGGTGGCGCTGATGGAGAAGCGCATGTCAGAGTACATCACCACAGCTGTGCGGGACTCACGCACCACCAGGTCAGTGCCTATGCCTGCACACGGCTACAGGGTCCCAGCACCCCCACCACCACCACGGTGCCCTACACGCTGGCCTTGCCTGAGTCCTCAGCACTTGCGTCCTCAGGGCCCGAGTCAGCTCAATGGGTGCCCAGGGCAGGGGTCACGGGGGAACTTCCCAGCATGAATGCAGCTGTTCCTCCTGCGTGGCTAGTCACCTTGGTAGCCTGGCTGCCTTCAGATCCTGTTCCTCACATCATTTCCTCTGTGCCACTGTCCCAGCTCTCAGGACTGCATGTGCTGCCTGAGGCCACAGACCACAGTGACAGGAAGGGCACGCGTGGGGGGGGTGTGTTCAGAGGACCCACACTGTAGGAGGTCAGGGACACTAGCCACCAGCCCAAGGTTCCCTGAGAGCAGAGGGGTTCCAGCCAGCACCCTCTCGTTCATCCCCCAGGCGTTTCTATGACTCGGGGGCCATTATGCTTCGGGAGGAGGCCACAGTGCTCATAGGGATGCTCATCGGGCTGAGCGCCATCGACTTTAGGTAGGTCTGCACCCAGGGGCAATGGGCCAAGCCTCAAACCCGCAACCTGCCGACCCTCCGCTCCCCTCCAGCTTCTGTCTGAAGGGTGAGGTCCTGGATGGGAAGACACCGGTGGTCATCGACTACACACCCTACATGAAGTTCACCCAGAGGTGAGCACCCCAGGCCTGGCAGGGTGAGGGCTGCTCCAGGTCTTGCTGCGGGGTGCAGGCCTCTCAGGCACCCACTCCCTACTCCCCCAGCTACGACTATCTGACGGATGAGGAGGAGCGGCACAGTGCTGAGAGCAGCACAAGTGAGGACAACTCACCCGAGCACCCCTACCTGCCACTTGTCACTGATGAGGACAGCTGGTACAGCAAGTGGCATAAGATGGAGCAGAAGTTCCGCATCGTCTATGCACAGAAGGCGAGCGGGCATGGGGGCTCACAGGAGGGGTCCGCAGGAAGTGGAGGTCCGTGGGAAAGGGGGACCCACAGAAAGTGAGGGATCCACAAGAAGTGGGGCAGAAAATGGGGACCCACAGGAAGTGGGGGTCCATGGGAGGCAAGCCCGAGCTGCCTCTGCCCCGCAGGGCTACCTGGAGGAGCTGGTGCGGCTTCGAGAGTCGCAGCTGAAGGACCTGGAGATGGAAAACAGGCGCCTGCAGCAGCAGCTGGAAGAGGCGGCAGCGCAGAACCAGCGTGAGAAGCGTGAGCTGGAGGGCGTCATCCTGGAGCTGCAGGAGCAGCTGTGAGCCCTGCCCTTGCACCCCCCACTCACGACCCTGGCACCCGCCCCCGGTCTGTGTCCTGTACTCTTGGCCCCTCCAGGGCCCCTAGCCTTCTCTGTACCTGTCACCCAGGGACCCCATGCCCTACCTGCCCATACACCCCTCAACCCACACCATGCCTTTCCCAGGACAGGTCTGATCCCGGGTGACCATGGCCCCCTGGCCCAGGGCTCCAAGGAGCTCACCATGCCCCTGGTCAACCAGTGGCCCTTGCTGGGGACACTTAATGGCACAGAAAGCGCCGGCAATCCCAAGCTTTACCGGAGGTGAGGGCGAGCATGGCCAGGGAGTGGCCGGGAAGGGGTCCAAAGCAGGTCTGACCCACTTTGCCCTCTCCCTGCAGGCACAGCTTCCTGAGCACCGAGCCGCTGTCAGCAGAGGCCAGCCTAAGCTCTGACTCGCAGCACCTAGGGGAGGGCAAGCCAGACAAGGCTCCTTGGGGCCCCATCGGTGAGCCTCAACCTGGTCAGGAGCCTCACCAGCGCCCCCCACACCCAGGGCGGCCCAAGGGGTGCACACTGCCAGACCACGGCCCGACCTAGCTGCTCTAGCTTGATGCGCGTCAACCTGCCTGACCCTGTCTTCCCCTTTTCTTTGGCTGCCAGGGAACTCAGAGCCACACTAGCGGCTCCCTTCACCCAACATCAGGACTTCAGCGCATGCGTCCTGCTGCCCTTGCCCCAGCCTCCCCGCCATTCTAGCTGTCTCCAAGCCTGATGCCCTGTTTTTATAACCATGGCGCCCTGGACGACCCTAGGTCTCCAGGGCCAGATGGGCTGCGGACACAGCGCCCCCATGATGTGCTTGTGGCTGCGTGTCTGTCCCTCAGACTGTGAGCTCCACGAGGGCAGGGACCCGTGTGTCTGTGCTGTGTCTTGTCTGGATTGTGATGATGCTCCTTTGTGCGTTTAATAAATGAGCAGAGGGCTGAGCCTCAGGGGAGACAGAGGAGTGCACTATGTCCCTGCATCACAGTGCAGCCGAGTGGCCCGCCCCAAGGATGGTGCCCTCTTTGCGGGCCCGCCTGCCCTGCACAGCTCACTCATGCTCTCTCCCCAGGGAAGGACCCCACGCCCTCCATGCTGGGCCTCTGTGGCTCCTTGGCCTCCATCCCCAGCTGCAAGTCCCTGGCAAGCTTCAAGTCCAACGAGTGCCTGGTGAGCGACAGCCCTGAGGGCAGCCCAGCCCTGAGCCCCAGCTGAGCACGTGCAGCGCCACTCATACACCCAACTCCCAAGAAAGCGGGCCACTGGCCCAGCCAGGGGCACTGAGTTGTGCCGCCTCAGTCTTCTGTCCCAAGAAGTGGCCAGGGACTACACTGGGGGTTCTGGCGAGCTGCTCCTCCTCCTGGTGGCCCAGAGGCCTGGCCAGTTCCTCTGCTCGCCCTCGAGGGTTAGCGCTTAGCCCCTGCTACCTGCCTCCTGTCTGCCGAGTACCCTGGAACCAGCCTTCCTCGGCCCCACTCAGGAGCTGGGGAATGCAGCAAATAAAGACCAGAGGACTGAGGGCGGCTTGGTCTGTGGTCCCAAGATGATGACATACAGGCTGGCAGGGCCCTCTGGGCACAGAAGCTGCAAACCTGCCCCTTGGGCCAGGGCACAGCCAAGAACAGACTCATGGGTTAGGGACACACCTGTCACCCCAGCCCAGGTTTTTACCCCACTGCTGTGCTACCTGAGAAGGGGACGTTCCTTGGCCCACAGCCTGATGCAGGCCACACCTGCAGCTGCACCCCTTGCATGTTATTTCTGAGATGGGATCTCAATCAGTTTCTAAGTTGCCTGAGCTGGGCTTGGACTTGTGATCCTCCTGCCTCAGCCTCCCAGTGCTGGGATGACAGGCATGTGCTGCTATAGCTGCTAGAAGGCTTCTTCATGGGGGCCACCTGGACCACCACAGGCACCAGGGTCCCTCCAGCCAGCTGTCACCCAGGAAGGCGAGACATGGGCTGAACACAGGAAGTTTGCAATCATCTTTAGATGGGGCTGAACAAGTGGGACACAGGGTCTGGGGGCCAGGGCAGCAAACACAAGGGCTTGGGTTGGGCAGGGAAGATTTGATCTTGAGCCTAGGCGTACAGGTAGCGGGAAGGCCTGGGTGAGGAGTAGGGAAGGGGGCCCCCGCAAGGGTGGGAAGGCACTGGTTCAGTGCTTGGCGCTGACTTCAGCAGCCCAGGGGCTGCTCCTGGTTGATCCTCTGGAAGAAGCTTTTGCTGAACTCATAGGTGCTGACCATGATGGCACAGGAGGGTGCAGCCTTGATGATTCTGGGGAGGAAGCCTGGCACATGGAGGGGTCAGAGGAGGGCAGGGCACATGGGCACAGAGAGGACACACACCCCCATGGACACACGTACCTGCAAAGAGGCCCCTGGTGCCCGACTCGGCCCGGATCCTCTGCAGTAGCAGCCAGGTGGAGTTGGTGTGTGGTGGCCTCACTGTGGTTTGGGATTCAGTCAGGGACTGGGTGGAGGCAAGTCTGTCTCTCCCTCTCGGCTGGTGCCTGGGTGCCCACCCCACCAGTCCCACCCGCCCCAAGCTCACCTCTCACAGCCTCCACAGCCCCCAGCGCCATCTGCTGCTGTGTCTTAACGACGTCAAAGGGCAGGGTAAGGGCAGCGGCCACCTAGGAGAGCAGGCAGGGCTTTCTGTCCCAGCTCCCATGGCTACCAGGTCAACCGGTGTCTTGGCTGCCTGGGGTCCTCCCTCCACTGGAGACCCCCGTGACTCACAGTCCCTGAGATGCCACCGGCCACGAAGCTGGCTCCCACAGACGTCTGGTCCTGGGTTCGGGGGCCACATAGCCAGCTCCTCAGCAATTCATAGTTGAACCAGTACAGTGCTGGAGGGCCATGTCTGTGAGACGGGCCTGGTGGCCTGGTGCTCAGGCACCCTACCCCACCCCCACCATGGCCACTCCAGGGCAGCATGTCCAGGCCCTGGCAGACCCAGGCTCAAAGCCTCTGGGGTGACACAGCCAAGACCAGCCCCCTGTGCTGCCCTGGGGCTCCGCTCCCTCCCCTCTGTGGCCCCTCCAAGGGTCTCTATCCCCACCTGAGAAGGGCACATCACGGAGGGTGGTAGGGCCCCAGCCCAGCCACAGGGAGCGCCAGCCATCCTGGGCCACAGCAGTGCGGACACAGGTGCTGAGCTCGCGGTAGGTCACATGCTGGGCCTGCAGCTTGGTCCGTAGCAGCTCCAGGGGGCTGACCACAGTCACAGTGCCCACTGGGGGACAGGGATGGGTCAGGATACACATGCAGCTCTGTGGCACCCACCCCAGGGCAGAGACTGGGTACAGGTGAATGGGTCGGGCAGCTGGGTCTGCTCACAGCGGGCCAGTGCGCCTGCCACCATTGGTGCGCACAGGTTGGAGGCCAGGGCTTGCTGACAAAGGAAGGCCTTGAGCTGGTCGTAGGCGGTAAAGTACACTGCAGTGGCTGGCACGGTCATCACTCTGTGGTGGGAACAAAGTGAAAAGAGACCTGGAGTGGGGGTCCCACCCTAACCAGCTGATGAGGAAGGACAGCAGGATGGGGACTCACAGGGTGGCTGGGAGGCCGCTCCACAGGGTCCGAGGGCCCTCATGCCTCACGATCTTCACAAAGGCATCCTGAGGAGGGACACAAGGAGAGGAGAGAGGTCTGGAACAGCTGACCTCGGCCAGGTGCTTGCTTGATGCTCTCAGAAGCTGCCCAGGGGGCTACTGAGGAAATCCTCTAGGCTTACACAGGCTGTTCCCACTGACAGCTCTAGGGAACTATTCAGCCTTCAACACTTCATGTTAAGGTTGGGGCTGGAGCTCCAAAGCATGCACTTGCTTAACAGGAGGGAGGCCTGGTTCCCTCCCCAGCACCACAGGCAAATGTGAAAACCTCAAGGGGCTTGGGGTGGCTCCTCTGGGAAGCCCTTCCGAGCACTCTTGCAGCCCTGCAACCCATACAGACTTCTCAGGACTCCCGCAGCTCCTCACCATGGTACCAGTGAAGCGGGTAGGATCCTGGAACCAGGGGGCGCAGGGGGCACCGTTGGGGCACAGGTACAGAGGCTCCAAGACACCGTTGCAGTAAAGCAGGCACTTCCCTGCGGGTGGGTGGGAGGCAGGGGCGCTAGAGGCTAGAAGGGGGCGTCAAGGGACAGGGCAGGGCCCTCAGGGCCAAGACTCTGCAGGGTCCAGCCCTGGGGATGCGGGCAAGGCACTCACATTTGGTGTAGGAGACGCTCCAGAGTCGGGAATGCGGGGGCAGCTCTAGAACACAAGGTGGCCCGGGTCACCCGAGGACCCCCGCGCAGGACCCTCGCCCTGCCCACGGACACTCACCGCCGGCCCCCGAGGGACGCTGGGCCTGCAGGCGGACCTTGACCACGTCCAGGGGCGTCACTGCGGAAACAGAGGGCTGAGGTCTCTTCCGGGAGCCCGGCCGCGCTGCTCCACTGGGTCCCGCCCGCCACCCGCCCAGGCCTCGGCCCCGGCCCCAGCCCAGGCCCGATCCTTACTGAAGAGGGCGGCGACGGCGGCCCCCGCGCCCGAGGCCAGCATGTGTTGCGCGGGGCTCACGGCCACTGGGTCCCGATCGGCCATGTCTGGTTGCGGGGCGAGCTCGGTCACTGCTCTGCCCCGGGGAAACGGAGGCACAAGGTCAACGCCGCGCGTCCCAGCACCGGGGCTGCAGGTGCGATCGTGCGGCGACGACCCGGGCCCCAGCCGGCCGGCCTGGTCCCTGCCCCGGGCCCCGCCCCGCAGCCCGACAAAGCGGACTGGTCTCGCGGCCGGGGCCGCCCGTGACCCCCGAGTCCCCGAGACATGGCCCACCCGCTCCGGGGGCGCTAGCGCGGCGGCCCCATTGCGCCCGTCCGGTGCGCGGCCGGGGCTGGCGGCCTGGAAGCTCAGCGAGGCCCCGCCCCGCGAAGGCTACGCCCACCGGACAGCCGCCCGCAGCCCCGCCCATCGTGTAGGCCCCATCCTCGCGGCCGACGGATTCCGCGCGCGGAGTTCGCCGTCCCGTACCCCCACCCCACACGCTCACCAAGGCCGGTCCGGTGCCCGGCCCGCGGGGGCTTCCCGCACAGCGGGGCCCGGCGCTGTCGCACCGTCACTTTCTTCTCAAGGAGGCTGCTCCTGAGATGGGCGTCCCCATTCTACAGAACGCGGAACCGGGACTCCGAGCCAGGAGTGGTCGGGACCACCTGGATGACCGGTGGGCTTGCCCCGACGCCTCAGTCGCACCCGGGCCCACACCGGCCGCTGCGCTGCCTGCAACACATCTGCGCCGTGGCCACCATTTGCCTTGACACGCGGGCCAATGCCTGCACCTTTAAGACGAGCCCGCGGTGACGTCACCACGCTGTGCGCCGGCGTTCCGGGACCGCACCCGCGAGGCCACGCCCCTCCTTCCGCGGGTTGGGGCGCACGTGGGGACCCATAAGCTGCAGAGTCCGGCGTGCACTAGAAGCGGGGTTCCTACCTTCCAGCTCACAGACTGAAACGGTCCCTCAGGCACTCAAGAGAAGCCATCGCGCATGCGCAGGCTGGACCCTGACCTCTGCCTGTCTCAGCCTCCCAGCGCTCTGGAATGACAGGCGTGGGCCCGCACCGCATGACCCGCAAAGACCATAACCAGGACCTCTGTGGGGCTCGTCACGGAATGTGGGTGCTCATCTGCACACGAGGCCCCACCCAGGGCTACGTGGGGTCCGCAGACAGTTCCAGTCCCTACCTTACAGCCAGGTCAATGTTTTGAGCTTCGTTGGCGTGAGGAGCCAGACCTCAGTGGCTACCCAGATGCACTGGAAGTGGCGTCGGGGACAAGGGGCACCCAGAGCCCTGAGCCACTGGTGCCTGAGGGTCACACGGCTCGGGTCCCCGCCACCCTGACCTGCCCCTACTCAGATGAGCAGGCTGAGGGGAAAGGATCCGGTCTTGAGGGTCGTGGGCCCCAGGGACAGGGCCCTCTGCAGCCCAGAGCCACTTTGCCACAGAGCATACTTCCAACGCAGGTGGAGCTCCATTTAAGGCGTTAATGGGTGGGAGCAGGGCTTGGGACTGGGCCGACCCCTGCAGCACCTCTGAGCCAGCTCTGGGAGAAATCCAAATTCGGAGGCTAAGTATCTTTGTTTTGAGACGTGACCTTGCTGTGTAGCCGGTGCTTTCATTTTATTACCGTATGGGGGATTGAACTCAGGGCCTTGTGCATGCTAGGCAAGCACTTTGCCACTGAGCTATATATCTCCAACCCCATGCTGACTTTTGGTTGGGGTTCTCCTGCCTCAGCCTCCCCATTGCTGGGATCACAGGTGTGCACCAAAGAAATGCTCACCAAAGGCTGCTTTGTTTTGCTTTGAGACAGGGTCTCTATGCAGTACAAGCTGGCTTTGTACTCACTAGGTAGCCTAGGCTGACCTCTCACTTTCAGCAGTCTTCCTGCCTCAGTCTCCAGAGTGCTGAGATTTCAAGTGTGCACCACTTGAAAAGCCTGATCTTTGGATGCTGGGTGGGGGTAGGGCCCTCCTCACCAAAACTGAGACGAGTGGATGGGTTCGCTTCTCAGGTTTTAGGAAGGTTCCTGGGGGTCCTCAGCTAGGCAGCCCCACTTCAGTGTCTGGGGTGGGGGATGGGGAGCAAAGTCTGCAGCTCATTCCCAGCTGGAGAGGGGAAACCAGCAGCCACTGCTAACAGCTGGGAGACAGCTACAGGGCGCCTGCTGCCTGCAGCGGCTTTGGAGTTTTTCAGATAAAAACCGGTGGGGGGCTGGGGATTTAGCTCAGCGGCGGCGGTAGTGAGTTCGATCCCTGGTACCGATAAAAAAAAAAAAAAAAAAACTGGTGGGGGAAGGGTCCTCCCACGTGTCACTCCAGGTCAGGAATGTGGAAAGCTGACCTTGTTTTGAAGATTTAAAAATGTAGGGGTCCTGGGATGTAGCTCAGCAGTGCAGCGCCTGCCTGGCAATCGCAAGGCCCTGAGTTCGTTCCCGGTACCAAAAAAGAAAATAGGGGGAAAAAGACCAAAAAAAGAATGTAAACTGGGCGTGGTGGGTCACGCCTGTAACCCCAGCACTCAGGAGGCTGAGGTGGGAGGATTGTTGTGAGTTCGAGACCAGCCTGGGCTACAAAGTGAGCTCAAGGCCAGCCTGAACTGCCTTGCGAGATCCTGTCTCAAAAAGACAAAAAAAAAAAAAAAAAAAAAAAAAAAAAAAAAAAGAAAAGAATGTAGGGGGGCTGTGGATATGGCTTAGCAGTATAAGTGCCTGCCAGGTAGGCACAAGGTCCTGGGTTTGATTCCCCAGTACAAAAAAAACAAAAACAAAAACAAAACAAAAAAAACCCCTAAGAAATGTCAAATATAGGGCTGAGTGTGGTGGTGCTCACCTGTAATCCAGCACTTGGGAGGCTGAGGCAGGAAGACTGCCAAGCCTGAGCCCAGCCTGAACTACGGAGTGAGACTCAAGAATCAAAGAAACAGGATAGAAAAGAGGAAGGAGGCGGGGAGGGAAGCGAGGCTGAGTCAGGCAGTCCCGGCTGTGACCCCTGGGCCAAGGCCGCCTGGGCCACACGGGACTCCTGGGACTTCGGATTCTCAACGCCCCGCCCCGCCCCGCCTGCCAAGCCTGAGTCTGTTCCCGCCCATCCCAGCCGTGCTCCTACGGCTGCCTCCGGGACAGCGGAAGCATCCGCGGTTGGACGCGGGCACGTGGCGCCCCCTAGCGGGGCGAGGCCTGCAGTCGGGGCGCTCTGACCCTCTGAGTCCGCGACGAGGCCGAGGACGCGCCCGGAAGTAAGGACATGCTCAGGCTCTAGTCCTGGCCTGTGGCAGGGATAAACGCGAGCTTGTGATCAGACCCGCAGGCTAGCGCTGTCCGTCTCTTCTGTGGGGCTGGGGTTGGACGCAGGGCCTTGGCACCTAGCTCACCGCAGCCTTCGTTCTTTTTTTTTTTTTTTTTGTCTTTTTCGTTTTTATCGGTACCAGGGATCGAACTCACGACTGCCTGCTTGCAAGGCAGGCGCTTATGCCGCTGAGCTAAATCCCCAGCCCCACAGCCTTTGTTCTTTTTCTTTTTGGGGTCTGGCTATGCGGTTCAGGCTGGCCTTGAGCTCACTTTGTAGCCCAGGCTGGTCACCAGCTCGCAACGAGCCTCCTGCCACAGCCTACCACGCTCAGCCTTGCAAAGGACCTCGAGGTCTGGGGTCGGTTGGCCACCAGCCTGGGAAGGCCAGTTCACAAAATAGCAATTGTGCACACGATAGATAAAGATTCAAGGAGAAGCCAGGTGTGGTGGCTCACACCTGTAATCCCAGCACTCGGGAGGCTGAGGTGGGAGGATCCTTGTGAATTCAAGACCAGCCTGGGCTACAAAGTGAGCTCAAGGCCAGCCTGAACTGCATAGCGAGACCCCATCTCAAAAAAGACAAAAAAAGAAAAAGAAAAAAAAAAAGATTCAAGGGGAAGCCAGGTAAGTAGCACACACCTGTGAGCCCAGCACTGGGGCGGCTGAGGCAGGATTGTGCCTTGGAGCCCAGGCTAGGCTCCAGACAAGCCTGGCTCGACTCAGGGCTGGATTTTTTTTCATTGCTGTTGCTCTTCTGGAGACAGGGGCTTACTAAACTGCCTCGGTTGGGCTCCAACTTGAAGTCCTCCTGCCTCAGTTTCCCAAGTGTCAGGAGGACAGCTATGCAGCCCACATCACACTCTAAGGGAACAGAAACCGAGAAGAGTCTCAGGCGGGGACCTGGGATGCCATCTGCCGAGTCCAGAGGAAATGAGAAAGCAGGGTGCTTTGCTCAAAAATGACTGTGCATTTCCAGAAGACACGTGAGGACACACCCATGTCCAAGCAGTCTGTGGGGCCGAGATGGGAGGACTGCAAGCTGGAGTCCAGTCTGGGCAACTTAGTGAGACCTCATTTCAAATTTTAAAAATAGCAGGATGTGGTGGTGCACACCTGTAACGCCAGCCCTTGGGAGGCTGAGACAAGAGGATCATTGCAAGTTTGAGACCAGCCTGGGCTATAAAGTAAGCCTAAGGCCAGCCTGAACTGCATAGAAAGACCCTGTCTCAAAAAGACAAAAAACACAAAAAACAAAAACCTTAAAAAATATAATGTAAAAAATTCTAGGAAGGAAACAAGCTCAGTGCAAAGGCCCTGGGTTCCAAACCAGGATCGAAAACACTGGAGTGAGCTAGGAGGGGAGCATGGCCCTGGGGTTTGACCCCAGCACAGAAGGGGAAAGAAGGGAGGAAAGGAAGATGGACAGGTAGATGGACAGTCTTCACCGAGGCACTCAGCCCTCCCACCTCCACCTTGCCTTGGGCCTCGCTGAGCCTCAGTCCCCTTCCTCCAGGACCAGGAAGGAGGTGACCCTGTGACCGCCTCACCCGGCTGAGGCGTCTAGTGTGACTCAGCCTTTGTGCTGCCTGGCCTGTCCCACCTTGCATCCCAGACACTCAGGAGCCACGCTGCAAACGCTGCCTTGGCTGAAGTACAACGCGTACATAGATGATCTGGGGCAAACACGGCAGATGCCCAACTGGAAGCATCCACTTTCCACCTGTGAATTCAAATTTATCTGGGCTGTCTCTGTCAAGCCTGTGTTGGGGATCTGGGTGGCCGGAGGGCAATGCTGGGAGCTGCTACGTGGCTGAATGGGAAAGGCAGAACTGATACCCAGGGTGGTGGGAGCGGAGACAGCCAGGTTCCCCTCACTGCTAGGCAGGGAAGGCTGAAGCAGGTGGGTCACAGTTAGTCTGAGGCCAGCCCGAACTGCACAGCAAAACCCCACCTCCAAAAGACAACAAAATGGCTTCCGCTGTGTAAGCCTTGGAAGAGCAGCAGCTGTGGCTCTGGCTACGCCCTCGCCATGGGCCTCAACAAGGGCCACAAGGTGACAAAGAACGTGAGCAAACTGAGGCACCTCACCAGGCACACCAAGTTCGTGTGGGAGTGATCCTGGAGGTGCGAGGCTTCTGGCTGGCTGTGATTTTCCCCAGAGGAAACACTGACCACGAGACAGCGGCTGTGACAACACGGACGCCAACACAGTGCTGGAGGGAAAAGGGCAGCTCCTAGGAGGTCCAGAACACCATGCCCAGTGGGAAACCATGCAGTCAGTGAAGCTCAGGGCACTAGTGGCCAGGGACTGAGCCGGCAGGTGAGGCGGACTTCAAGCTTCTGCTTGGATGAATTCTGATGCAACCCACACTGACATGGCTTGCTTTGGGGTGAAGCAAATGCGACTCACAACTGTGGGTCCTTGCCCACGCTGGGCACATCGGGAACAGGTGGGAGGCAGACACCCTAGCCATCGGGGGGAGGGGTTCCCCTGACTGCCGTGGACCTGGACTGCAGTGCAGCCTCCCTGGACCCAGAGCTGCCCTGGCCTCAAGGAGGGTGGAGGAGGAGTGGGGCCCAGCGCTCTCCCTGAGGAGGAGGTTGGGTGTATGGGTTTCTGGGCGCACAGTACGGTGTCTGCAGGGTGGCGTCACCCAGCCACACACTTCTCAGGCCATGCCCTGCTGAGCAGCAGTGAATGACACAGATCCCATTAAGTCACTCAATATGAAGAGGGAAGACAGACATCATGGCAGGACTGTATATGCTGACCAGGAGCTGTCCCTCGGTCACACAGAGGGCCACAGGACAAAGCCATGGTGGCGTGGCCTCCTCTAAGGTGAGGGAAAACTGCAACCCCACTCTGCATGTGCAGGGGCGGAGAGAACCAGAGGCTGACCTCATCCTGCATGACCCCATTGGGGCTGGACACAGCAGAGACAGGGAATGATGTGGCTGAAACTACAAAGAACAAGAAAGGAAATGTGGCAGAAGAGAGAAACCTCCTGGAGGGCCACAGGTGGCCCAGTGTCCAGCCCACTACTGCCACTAATGGGGTTGGGACATATGGAGTGCTGGGGCCTACAAGCCAGGCAGGGCAGCCTAGGGCAGGTGGAAGAGAGAGCAGGTCTGGGGCTGAAGCAGGGAGTCTTGTCCCATCAGCTTGGATACCACAGCCTTGATAAGGGGGCCACGAAGGCACAGGAGGGGGCACGCAGGTCACTGCAGGTTCCAGGCCAGGCTGGGTTACAGAGTGAGACTGTCTCAAGAAACAAGGATGGGGGGGGGCTGGGGATTAGCTCAGTGGCTTAAGCGCCTGCCTGGCAAGTGCAAGGTCATGAGTTAGATCCCCGGCACCCAAAAAAAAAAAAAAAAAAAAAAAAAGAAGGACAAGCCAGGTGTGGTGATGCATGCCTGTCATCCCAGCACTTGGGAGGCTGAAGCAGGAGGATCACTGCAAATTTGAGACCAGCCTGGGCTACAAAGTGAGCATGAGGCCAGACTGAACTGCACAGAGACCCTGTCTCAGAAAGACAAAAAAAAAAAAAAAAAGAAAAACAAGGACAAAAAGAGAGATGGCCTAAGGCAGGCAGGACACTTCACCCCTACAACCAATGGCCCCAAGATGCTGGACCTCAAAGGTATTCAGTCTGCTTTTCACAGCATTTCCTGTTGAACACTTTAAATCTTTGCTAAACTGAAATGACAGCTTTTAGAAGCTTCCATGCACACATCTGGTAATTTTTGTTTCTCTTTGGTGCTAGGCAAGTGTTCTACCACTGAGCTACATGCTCAGGTCTCTCTGATCTTTCTAGAATGTGTAGCAGGGAAATCATATGCGGTTTATTAAATGTGTACATAGTAAACTAGATAGAGTGGGATATGCCTGTAATCTCAGCAGTTTAGGAGGCTGAGGCAGGAGGATTTCAAATTTAAGGTCAGCCTGGGTAATCAGCAAGACTTCTCAAAACAATTTGAAAGAGCTGTGGCTGTAGCTGAGAGGTAGAGCATTTGTCTAGCAATAATCTTCTTCTCCCCCTGCCCCTCCCCCTGCCCCTCCCCCTGCCCCTCCTTCTCCTCCTTCTCCTCCTTCTCCTCCTTCTCCTCCTTCTCCTCCTTCTCCTTCTCCTTCTCCTTCTCCTTCTCCTTCTTCTTCTTCTTCTTTTGCCAAGCATTTCTGGGACTCTGGGTTCAATCCCCATAACCCTCCCTCCCCCGAATGTATGAACCAAAAGAAGGAAGGCTGGTAGGAAAATTTTGGGCTGTGGGGTCCTAGACAATAGGGCTTCCCAGCCTCACTGCTATTGGCACACTGTGCACTCAGGGATATTTAGGGCCTCTGTCTGCCCAGTGCCTGCACTCCCCTCCCTCTCAAGTGGTGACAAGGCAGACTGGCTTTAGACACTGCCAGATATGCCTGGTGGGCAGAATCACTCTCAGGGGGGAATCACTGTTTCACTTTGTTTTGAGACCCTGTCTCACTACGTAGTGCAAACCAGCCTTGAATTTGTTTATGTAGCCCAACTGGGCCTTGTTGTGGCAATTCTCCTGCCTCAGCCTGCCGAGCGCTGGGATTACAGGTGTATGCCACCACACTCCATGGGTTGTGGGTTTTTTGCACTTTTTTCTGAGGTCTACTTGCTTGTGACTAATACACCCATTTATTTGACTAGCGTTCTGTGGAAATTTTGAGTCTGTGTGTTTCACTGAAAGCAGAAGCTGCACCCGGCCTCGGGACTCACAGGCGTCGCCAGGGTGCAGATGAGAGGCTCAGCAGGAGTTGAGTCCACCTTGCAGCCTTCAGCAGCTTCCAGCTAGGAAGTCCACCATGCAGTTCCACAACTCTGTACTCCCCGCGCATCTCAGCTGGTTGTTTCTCCCCTACCACAGCCTGATTCACAGCTCAGGCTCTCTGCTTGGCCAGCAGGGCTCCCAGCCACACTGCAAAAGCAAACGCTTCCTTCCTCCAGGGCCCAGCACGGCTGTCCTGGGCCTCTTCTCCCTCCTGGCCCCATCTGTCACCTCCACCTGCTGGAGGCTGTTGGCACTGAGCCTTCTGGTTCCAGGCCATGCTGATCAGCTCCTGGCGAAAAACTTGCGCCCTCAGCCACTGTTCCTGAAAGTCAGGGCTACCTGAGCTAGAGGCCACTTCCATTCAACGACCTGTCCTCACCTAGAACCCCTCTAATCCTTGTTTTGAATGTAGCCCTTGGCCCTTCCGTGCACACACCACACTACTTCTGGTTTCCTGGTTTTTCCCTCTATCTCTAGCCTACCACCTGCCACTCAAAATCGTCCTCGACAGCTGCACCAAGGCACTCCCAAAAGAATTTCAGTTTCAGTCTCCCGGTTCCTGTTTGTCTCTGCAGCAGGGATTGAACTAGGGGTCTTCCACTGAGCCACATCCAGCCCTTTCAAAATGTTGAGACAGAGACTCTAAAGCTTGCAATCCTCCTACCTCAGCCTCTCAACAGTGCGACACAGGCTTTGGCACCTTCTGCGGAGGGAGTTAAATCTCTCTTTTTCCGTTCCAGGAGCCGATCTCCTATCTCTTCCCTTCACCTGTCTCCAACGCCCGCTCGCGACCTCACACTCAAAGGTGAACTTGGCCTGAGCCTGGTGCCCACTTCGGTTTTGAGGAAGCGGCCTGGGTTGTTTACCTCCGGCCCTGCAACTTCCCTCCCCTCCCGCCTGCCGTGCGCAATCCGTGCTGGCCCAGTGGAACGGAAAGCTGGCTGCGGAGAAGTGCTCGGGCCCCACCCAGCCTACCCAAGCAGCCCCAGTGTCTGTCACCTCTTCTGCAGCTGCAAAAAACCGGCACCTGCAGACCCAAGGAGCGGCGTGCACGGTCACATGAGTCGTCGGTCACGTGACACCTGAGCGGGGCGGGGAGCGCCGATTGGCCCCGCCTTCACACCGATTAGGAACCAATAGGCTTACGGAGGCACGAAACTCTGGCCAATGGGCACGAGGTGGGCGGGCCCTCGACGCGGATTTTGGCCGGGAGGGCGGTGCGGCGGCTACAGGGAGCGAGGACGCGGACCGGGACTCTGGTAGGAAGGCGGCGGGTACGGGAGGACGCGGGGTTCCCAGCTCGGGACGGGTCCCTGGGACTTGCGGCCTCCCGTCTCGCCGGCCCCTCGTCTCGGCCCGCGCTCGCCCGTGGGGAGCCCGGTCCCCTGGGAGGTGGGAGGGGTGTGTGGTGTCTTAAGCCTCCGCACGCCACCGGGCGCTTGTGCCTCAGACCTTGGGAACCGGCGGCATGGCAGACGGGCCGAGCCCGCTGATGGCCCTGGGACGGGCTGGCTGGGGGCTGTGGGTACTTTGCTGGAGGCCGCGGAGTGAAGGGGCCTGGTCAGAGGTGGCCGGGGGCGCCCTCTGGGCTGGGAAAGGGGCGCTTGGGCAGTGAGTGAAGGGGGGGACCCAACGCTGACTGTGCCCACGTAGCCGCGCGGGAGGCCGTTGCCGTCGGTGGGGGCAGTTGTAGGTCTGCGCGCAGGGGCGAGTCCCGGCGGCAGTTCCTCCCCCCTCCCCCCCCCCCCGCCGCCGCTTGGCCGCCCACCTGTTCCCCTGGTTTTGGCCTCTGCGTCTCCAGGGTGTGGTCTTGCTGTGAAGCTGGGGTAGTTTACCCTGTGACTTGGTGTGGGACACGGACGCGTGAACATCTGAGTTTCAGTTGCTCTTTTGAGATACAGTAAGGGTCCTTATAGCCGCCCCCTATCTCAGCTCAGGCAGTCTGCTGCCTGCTCCCCAAGTTAGGGCGAGGACCCACCATCGCCCGCAGCTCCCCAAGGCAGCCTGACTTCGGATAGGTGGCAGCTGGGCCAGCCTAGCAGGAGTCCTGAGAAGTGAGCCTGGTTCCTCCTGACTCAGGAGTTGCCCTGGGGCAGGCAGCTCCTTCCACGTGGGGCTGAGTTTCCTTTCCAGGCAGCAGGCGGGCGAGTGTATGTGGGGGGTCAAGCCAGAGTGGGGAGCAGACAGCTACAGGCAGACAGTTGGCCCTTCCTGGTCACTGTACTTCCTTTCTCCCTATTTTACCAATCCCGTGGTTTCTGTGCAGTTGCGTGACCATCCTCTTCCTCCAGTCAGGTGAGAGCCCAGAGCAGGCCAGAGGGAGGCTGGGTTTTGCAACTCTCCTGCGAGGAGGACACCCTGCTTGCCCGATGCCGGGTTCCCACCCCTGGCTGCTGCAGTGCCCGGTGCCTCCAGAGTGGTGGTGGGGGGGCTCTCTTCCCCACAGACCAGAGCCACAAAACCATACTCTGGAGCCCATGGCTACCACCAGCGCTAGAGACGCTGGGAATGGGCAGTGAGATTCCCCTGTGTGCTTGCAACATGTACATGTGTTTGTGTGACGCCCAGGACCCTGGAGGACGAAATAGTCCTCAGCTGCCTGCCACACTCTTTGGTGTTGCAGACAGACCATGTGGACCCTGGTGGGCTGGACCATCTTGGTGGCAGGGCTGGTGGCTGGAATACGGTGCCCAGATGACCAGGTTTGCCCAGTGGCCTGCTGTCCAGATTCTGGAGGAGCCAGCTATAGCTGCTGTGACCCAGGGGTGGTGAGTCTGTGCAGCCCAGTGAGCCTGGCTTTGGATTAGTCAGGGTGGTGACCAGAAGCAGCCTGGTGACCTCTACCTTTTCCATTAGGACCTACGGACCACAGCCCTGAGCGGGTACCTGGGAAGGCCTTGCCAGAGCCCTGCCAACTGCCCTATTGGCCACTCCTGTGTCCTCACTGCTGCAGGGACTGCTGCTTGCTGCCCATTTTCACAGGTGAGGGTGCTGAGGCTGCTGGGGGCTGGGATCTGCCCTACCCTGGCCTGTACACCCCACTTCTCGGGGAGACTCATCCATGCATCCTTCTTTGCCCCACAGGCCATGGCGTGTGGGGATGGCCATCACTGCTGTCCCTATGGCTTCCACTGCAGCACTGATGGAGGGACCTGCATCCAAAGACCAGGTGTGGCCAGGGGCCGGGTGACGGTGCCCTGTGCTGTGTAGCCCGGATGCTGCTGAGTCCTTGCTCTGATTGGCAAGAACTGGAGGGGTGGGAGTGGGTACAGATTCATGTGGCTGACCAGATCCCTACTTTTGGTGGATGCCTTGGCCTCTTTATAGTCAGGGAATGGTTTGTGAGGAGTGTGGGTCCAGGGGTCCTGGGAAGCCCTGGTCACTGGGGATATCATTGGTGGTATCTTGGTCGTCCTGTTCGTAGATATCCACCTGCTGGGTGCTGTTCAGTGCCCAGGCGGCGAGTTCGAGTGCCCTGACTCATCTACATGCTGCCATATGCTCGATGGCTCCTGGGGGTGCTGCCCCATGCCCCAGGTAGGGCCACTGCTGGGCAGGGAGCGCCAGGTGGTGTGGTGGGACTGGGGCCCAGGTGGCTGAGGCCTGGCTCTCTTCTAGGCTTCCTGCTGTGAAGATAGGGTGCACTGCTGCCCCCATGGGGCCTCCTGTGACTTGGTGCACATCCGCTGTGTCACGGCCTTGGGCAGCCACCCCCTGACCACTAAGCTTCCCGCCCAGAGGACAAACTACACGGGTGCCGAGGGGACGCCTGTCGTGTCTCCAGGCCTGCTACCTGCAGCTCTGCCCACCTCTGTTATCTGTCCTGACTCACGGTCCCAGTGCCCAGATGATACAACCTGCTGCCTGCTGGCCAGTGGGGAGTACGGCTGCTGCCCGATGCCCAACGTGAGTGAGGGACAACAGCCCGTGGGCTGAGTCTGCACAGCCACCAGGCTCACACTCCTGCCTGTCCCCATCCCCACCTAGGCCATCTGCTGCTCCGACCACTTGCACTGCTGCCCCCAGGACACAGTGTGCGACCTGAGGCAGAGCAGGTGCCTGTCCCAGAACAAGGCCAAGACCCTGCTGACCAAGCTGCCCTCATGGACAGGTAGTAGGGGCCCTGGGCTGCCACCTGCACTACCCGACTGTCCTGGGTAGTATGGGGCTGTGCCCTCCATCCCCCTAACATCCCCAACTCGAGGTGGCTGCAGGGAGGTATACGTTGGGCCCATTCTCAAGGGGATGGCCTTGGGTCCCTGGAGCCACTGGAACATCTATCTGCCTGCCCAGTGTGGGATGTGGAGTGCGACCAGGAGGTGAGCTGTCCAGAAGGCCAGACGTGCTGTCGCCTGCAGTCGGGCAAATGGGGCTGCTGCCCTTTCCCAAAGGTACCCAGGGCCCAGGCATTGGGTGGCAGTGGGTAGCAGTGAGACCTGGGCCCACAGTTGTCTGTCTCCAAGGCTGTATGCTGTGAGGACCACGTACACTGCTGCCCTGAGGGCTTCAGGTGCCACACGGAGAAGGACACATGTGAGCAGGGGCTGCTCCAAGTACCCTGGGCACAGAAGACTCCGGCCCAGCCCAGCCGGCCCAGCCAGCCCAGCCCACCCGGCCCACCCGGCCCACCCAGCCCGCCCGGCCCGCTGAGGAGTGAGATCTCCTGTGACGAGGTCGTCAGCTGCGCCCCTGGCAACATCTGCTGCCGTCTGGCTTCTGGGGAGTGGGGCTGCTGTCCTAGCTCAGAGGTGCATGGGGAGGGGGCACCCGGGGAGAGGATACCTTGGGGCCATTCTGGGGCCTTGGCCTTGCCTGGCGGCCTAGCTCAGACTGACTGAGCTGGGTCTGAGCCAGGCACTGCTGTACCCCAAAACCCCTTTTGCCTGCCCAGGCTGTCTGTTGTGCCAACCATGAGCACTGCTGTCCCCAGGGTTATTTGTGCATGGCCGGGGAACGCTGTCAGGTGGGGGACAGGCTGGCACCGGAGAAGATGGCTGCTCACCTGATGTCCCTGTCCCAGACAACTGACGTAGGCTGCGACCAGCATGCCAGCTGCCCCGTGGGCCAGACCTGCTGCCCCAAGCTGGGCGGGGGCTGGGCCTGCTGCCAGCTGCCCCATGTGAGTACCCAGCCTGCCCAGTGGGAGGGGGCACCCCAGAGGGCGGCCACATGCTGATCCCCTTGTCCCCCAGGCTGTGTGCTGTGAGGACGGCCAGCACTGCTGCCCAGCCGGCTATACCTGCAACGTAAAGGCCCGGTCCTGCGAGAAGGCAGCAGACGGCGCCCACCTGGCCGCTCCCCTGGCCGTGGGCTCCACTGGGGGGGTGATGGACGTGGCCTGTGGGGACCGGCACTTTTGCCATGATGAACAGACCTGCTGCCGAGACAGCAGGGGGGGCTGGGCCTGCTGCCCCTTCCATCAGGTCAGTGTCACCTCAGTCTGGACCCAGGGCCGGGTCCTGCCTCCTGCCCCAGCTGACTCTGTCCCCACCACCCTCGCAGGGCGTGTGCTGCAAAGACCAGCGCCACTGCTGTCCTGCCGGCTTCCACTGCGAGAGCCAGGGAACCAGGTGTGTGCATAAGAAGAGCCTGTTGCACTGGGACAGCCTCCCCAGGCCAGCCGCTCCCAGGCCACGGCTGTAAGGGACCCTGCCAGGACGTGCTCAGGACTCCTGTCCCTGCCTCTGACCCCAGTTCTGCGTGTCCCCTCTCTAGGGGAGGCCTCACCCTTAGCAGAAGCCACATTACCCGGTGCCACCCCCGCCCCACCCCATGGCCAGGTGCTGCCCACAGCATGTGAGCCACAATAAAGTTTGTACACTTTTGTCTGTGTCCGCTCAGTCATCTCACCTCCCTCTCAGGCGCCCCGAGAAAGACACGCTGTGTGACCCTCACTGGCTTTATATTTGCTGCTGCCCTCTGTCCATCCCATAATCCCAGCCACCAGAGCTGCCCCAGCCATTCAGACCTGTGACCTCCCAGCCTGGGGTGGCCCTGTCAGCAGGCAGCACCCCTACCCTCCCTGGGGACCTCCAGGTTACCCTCCTGCGCCCCCCCCAGCCCTCCTCCCTGGTGCTGCCCCGCCCGTGGTCCGGGCCCCTCTGGCTACTTGACGTTGAAGACCATAAGTGGCCGCTCCTCACGACGCTGCCAGGGGCTCTTCTTGTCGCCCGCATCCTCGCCAGTATCCACACCCAGCTCGTCCTCCGGGCTGGTGAGCGAGTCGCGGCGCAGCTCGCTCACGCTGCTGCGGGAACTGTCCCCGTGGCTACGGCCCCTGCCCCTGAGCACCGTGGCTGTGCGCCCCTCAGGGGCCGCCACCTCATCCAGGAGTGGTGTCAGCGAGTTGTCCTCGGGGGAGCACAGCCCCGTGCGGCTCTCGCTGCTGCTGGGCTCCGTGTCCTCGCCAAGCGTCAGGCGCGGGGGCGCGGGTGGTGGGGGTGGGCGCTCATCTCGCGCGGGGCGGCGAGGGCGTGGGGGCCTCGCCTCCTGCGTGTCCACGCAAGGGTCGGGGCCGGAGTCCGCGCGCGCACCGCCCTGCAGGTCGATGTAGGAGTGGCGCACCTGAGCATTGCAGCGCCCGTCCAGCGACACAAACCAGGCGCGCGGTGGAGGACGCACGCCCAGCTCGCGCAGCTGTTGCTCGGTCAGCGCCTGCAGCTCGCCGTTGAGCTGTGCCACCGCTGACTCATCTAGCAGCACTGGGATGGTCACCGGAGCTGCGGGGCCGGGCGCGGGCAGAGCGCGCGCAGGTTCGGGTGCCGGGAAGGCGCGTACAGCGCCCTCAGGTGCAATGGGCTCAGAGCTCCCGGCGGTGGCCCCGGCCTCCGCGCCCAAGCGCACATAGCGCGCGGGGATGACGAGTGTGGGCAACACGCTACGGTACACGCTGTCCGGCAGGGCGTCGAGTGCGCCGCAAAGCAGCAGGGGCCCCGCTGCACCCAGGGAGAGAGGGCGCCGGGGGGGCTCAGCCACGGGCGGGCCGTCAGCTGTGCCTGGGGGGCCCGCAGGGCGTTCGAAGGGTGGTGGGGAGGGAGGCTCCAGTGTGAAAGCCGTAGCCCCAGGGGCCGCGTGGCGCGGCTCCTCGGGCGCGGGCTCATCAGCGCCGCGCTGCCCCCGGAGGGCAGCCCCCTCTCCCCCGCGCAACCCCTGGGGTTCCGCGGCGGCGCGGCCAGGTGCGCGAGTCTTGGCATGGAAGAAGTCGTCGCGGGAGGCAGTCAGGTCGCGTGTGCTAGAGAAGGCGGAATGCAGGGCCCCAGGTGGCGGGGCCTCGGGGTCTCCGGAGGACGCGGGCTCCAGGGGCCCGGCGCAGATGAGGTGCAGTTGAGACACTGAGGTGGCCTGGTCCCGTTTGGCGCCATCCGCTGGCCCGGAAAGCGGCAGTTTGCGGTGCTGTTGCTGCCTAGGCTTCAGGCAGCGCCTCCTATGGGGGAGCTCAGCATCAGCACCTTGGTCTGGGACGCAGCTCGAGGGCGCACCCAATCTCGGCCTGCGCACTCACCGGCAGTAGTAGATAAGCAGACACAGCAGGACCAGCACCAGCAGCGCCAGCGCGGCGAGGATGGTGAGCAGGAACACGGTGTGGTAGGCGCCGAAGTCTGCGATGCCCGCGGTGATGGTGACCAGCCCTGCGCAGGCCGAAGTCAGGTCCGGCCTACCGCCCCGCCTCGCCCCGCCCTGCCCGGGACCCTACTCACCACCGGCAGGCGAGGCCACAGCGGCTGCCCAGTAGCCCAGCTGCGGCGAAGTGAAGGTCCAGTAGAGCTGGCGGCCCTCCCTGCGGATCACGCCGGTGCCGTTGCGGACCCACAGTCCTGGCGAGGAGGGGGTGTCAGCGTGGGTCCCGGCCGGCTGCCCGCACCCTCTCCGCCTCGCCCCGCCCCGCCCTTACCACTCTTGGGGTCGAACCTCCAGGCAGGGACACCAGTTCCCGCAGCCAGGGAGCGTGGCTCAGCAGGCAGTGGCAACGCGAAGTGCGCGGGCCCCGCAAGCGGCACCTCGGAGCCATTGCCTGCCAACAGCTGCACGCTCACGGCCGCCAGCGGTGCCAGCTCCAGCCAGGACCCATTGCCTGTTGGAGAGGCGTGGGTGAGCTTGGCCCTCGATGGGCCCGCCCAGCCCGGCCAGTGCCTGGCCTACCTGCGCCGGGCGCTTCGGTGCCCAGGAAGGCCGGGAAGGCGCGCAGCTCCTGTGCGGTGCTGGCGGGCGTAAGCGAGGCCCACAGCTGGCTGTAGGTGGCGCTGGGCGGCAGGCGTGCGGCCCGGCGCTGGAACTGCACCCAGGGCTGTGAGCCGGAACCTGCGGGGATGGGGCAGGCATGGGAAGCTGGGCTGGCCCTGGGGACGCCAGGTGTCCTGAGAAGTTGGCCGGAAAGGGATGTGGCCTTAACGATGACGAGAACACCGTTTCCTTATGAGCAGTGCACAGCGAATGCCCAGCTCCTCAGCCAGCACGGAGGCAGGCACTGGCCTGGGGCCGAGGTCAGCACCGCGGGCTCCCTGTCCTAGTCGTTGCCGAGCAGCCCTGTCCTCTTGCGGGAATGCTCAGACAGGCTCTGCTTTGCACCTGGACACTCAGGGAGGTACAGGGGTGTGCGCTCCTGGAAATGTCGCCACTGTGACTGAGGACTTGGACTGACTTGTTAAAGATGTAACTGATTTTAATTGAAATGATCTCCATTTAAGAGAACACAGGATGCTCCTGCGTTGACAGCCAGGGGATGGAGCGTGTGTTTGCCTGTGTCTGCAGGGCACAGGCCCAAACGTACAAACAGGATTCCAGGGCAGGATGGTCAAGGATCACATGTATTGAGCTTTAGAATATGCTGAGCCCTGTTCCCAGCAGGGAACCCTCAGTAGCCCCCGGAGGTCACAAAACCCAGGGGTACATGCAGAGCTGGCAGGTTTCAATAACTTGCCCAAGGCCACCATCTTAGAGCAGGACTGATGTCCAGCCTTGGGCAGATGTCCAGCCTCTCACCCCTTCTATCCTGCAACCCTTGCAAAGGGCCTTCCAGGGCTGACAAAACAAACACCAAGGCCTGAGGTGCATCCCTGCCAGCTGAGGGGGTTGAGGCTTCCTCCTGACAGCAGCCAGAGCCGTGGGAAGGCTGCATGCATGGGGCCAAGGTGGCCCGGACATTCAGGATCCTGCAGGGGGCCTGTGGGGTACAGGTCAGAGCAATGAAAGCAAACACGAGTAGCTGTCAGCAGGGCTCAAGCAAAGGCTTAAATCTGGGGTGTGATTTGTCCCCTCCAAAGCTCAGCACTAGCCAGGTAAGGACAGGCCAGGACATTCCCAGGCCCTCACTATCCCCTTGACCCCTGTGCCTGAGGCCTCACCAGGCCTTTCTCTCCTGCTCCCTCCCACAGACCCCAGGCACTGAGCTGTAGTCACAGAGGAAGTGGCTCGTCACCAGCACAGCTGCCCCTTGCTGCCTGTGGCCCCATTCCCGGGCCTGTGTGTGAGTTTTGCGGGTGGGCAGGGCCTGTCCTTCCTCCCAAGTCCTGGGCCCAGCCCCTTGTGGCCTTCAGACAGCTGGGGCACAACAGATCTATGCCGATTGGCTGGGGCTGCAGGTGGCAAGAAGGAGGGTTTAGGGAAGTGGGGCTGGGGATCCCAGGACAGAGCAGCTTGCCCTGTGCTGGGCTTTTGCACGCACCCTTGAGGTTATTTCACTCCTGTCTCAGCCTGGTGACACAGAATCTGTCTTTCCACACCTGAGCTCGGACAGAGGGTGGCATGGAGGACACCCACCCATGGCACCAGGGGAGGGGGATCTGTGGGGGACACAGGGATGTGGCCTTACCTGGGGAGCCCAGCAGGATGTGCACGAGGTCCTCATAGAGGATGAGGGTGGCTGGCCGCTCGGGGAGCAGGTAGAGGCTCACAGATGCATACACTGCAGGGGCAGGGGCATCAGCTCCAGTGCCCAGTAGACCCCAGGCTCCCTCAGGCCACATCCCAGCCCTGCAGCAGCTGCTGGGAAGCCCCCACCCCCAGGGACTATTTTGGGAAGGGGCTGATGGAAAGCCAACTGCTGCCCTACCCCACACTCACAGGGCAGCTTGTCCACCCGCCAGGGCACCGAGTTGGTGAGGAAGCCAGGGCGGGCAGCAGTAACCAACACCCAGGTGCCCAGGTGGTAATTGAGCGGCAGGGTGGCCACACCCTGAGAGTCTGTGGTGCCAGCGGCCAGCAGCGTGCGGTTCCCAAACACGTCCACGGAGGCCCGGGTCAGGGGCACCAGCTCGCCACTCATGTACACCTGCACCTTGATCAAGATTTCTGCGGGCGAGACCAGGCACTGATGTGAGGGTGGGGGGGACAGCATGGGTCTTGACCTTGGGACGGGGGTGGGGGGGTGGGGGGCTCAACCTGAGCTGCACCCCTGCCGAGTCCCCTGCAGCCCAGAGATGCAGGGGGTGCTCAGCTGCTCCCCAAGTTAACAGGTGCACACATGCCTTTGCTTCTCAGAGATTCCCAACCTTGGCCGTGGCCAGGACCTGTGGCACCACCACAGCATGCCTCACCATGAGTGAGGTTCCCGCCGGGTTCACAGCTGCAGCTCCAAGAGCTCAACCCACTGCACCAGGCTTCAGGAGGCCCGGGCATCTGCCGAGGACAGACGCTCCCAGCCACTCTACCCTAGAAGATACACTTCTGAGGGGAGGGCAGGGAAAAGAAGGCTGAGTCAGGAGAGTCAGGAGAGGGCACAAACAGGGGCTTACACAGACAGCTCAAAATGGAGCAGCAGACGCTGGGGCTGGGCTGAGCAGTGTAGGTGGATGTTGGGTCTCAGAAAGGAAACTGAGGCAGAAACACTAAGGAAGTGATCCTTCCTCACCCCACCCTCCCCTTCTGTCCAGAGCTGGCCATCAGTCACCACGACAACACCTTGTCCTCCTTAGGGATCAGACCAGAGCTGGGGCCCTGGCATGACAAGGCATCTGGGGGGACCCAGGAGCTTGGGGTGCAAAAGCCAGACTGGCCCTTCAGGTGTCCTGGACTCTTGGGGTGTGAGGGCTGAGAGTGTGCCCATGAGGTGCGTGGGTAGCTGACCCCTGGGAAACCACCCTTCCCAATCGGCTCCCTGGACCCCCCCAATTGCAGGCCTCACCCCACTTTGCTGTCAATGCCAAGGCAGGGGCCCAGGAGCAGGCGGGAAGGCTGTGTGCTGGTGGCTGCACTCAGCACGGCTTGGGGAAGCCTCCCGGGGGAGCGACAGGTGTCTTAGCTGTCACAGCCACACCTGCCCCCGGCATCCACCCATCTGTTGGAACCCACCGCCCTCGCCCATCCTGCTCAGCCTGACCCTGGGGGCGGGGACCGCATCCCTCAGGAGGAATTCTGGGAAGCTGGCCCTGCAAGGGCCTGGCCGCCCCGCCCTGCCCAGCACCGAGCAGCTGGACAGCAACTAGGGAGGGGAGACCCAGGGTCTGACAGGGTCACACAGGGAAGGCCCGGGGCCCACGAGGGGACAGGTAGAGTCTGAGGAGGAACCCCTGCCTTGCAGAGCCCCACCAGGCTGAATCCCGCCGGATCCCAGGCTCCTAGGGGTGCAAAGCAGTGAGGGAGGGGCTTCCGACCACACTGGGCCTCCTGCCAGGCAGCGGAGGGGAGACTGAGGCAGCGACAGCAGCCCCAGAGCCTGCTCCACACAGCGTGCGCGTCGGTTCAGGCGGAAACCCGACCTCCCCCTTTGCCCGGACCCCGTTTTGCAGCAGACGCTGTCCGTTTTTCTGGCCCTGGGGGCCGGGGTGCAGAGGTGCGAATGGTGCCCCGCCCCACCCACGTCCACCTGGCCGGGCGTCCCGTGGGGAGGGGCACTCGGGCGGGGGACCTGGCACCTGCCCCACGCCACAGGCCTCGAGCTGCTCCCCCGCGCCGCCGACCTCCGCCGCGGGAGGACCCCGATCCCAGCCCGGGCTGAACGCATCGCCCGCACCCCCGCGCGTCCCCATCCCTGCCGCGCCGCCGGCCTGGGCGGAGGTCCGCGAGACAATGGCGCGGAGCGGCGCCTTGCGGACCATGGGGAGAGCAGCAGCCGCGGCGGCGCCCAGAGCGGCCCCCTGCCGCGGCCCCTAGGCCCCAGCCGCGCCGCTCCCGGCCCCCGCCCTGCGCCCGCTACCTCCTGCGCCGCGACCACTCACCCTGCGACCGCCCAGGGGCCCGCGCGGCGCCGCCCAGCAGCAGGCCCAGCAGGGGCAGCAGCCGCAGCAGGGCGCCGGGGCCGCGGGGCGGCGGCATCCCGGGTCGCCCGCCTCGCCGAGGGCCCGCCCGGCCCTGCCAGGCCCACGCTGGCTCCAGCCCGCCGCCGCCGCCGCCGCGCCGAACTGCACCGCCGCGCCCCCTGCAGGCGGAGCTCCGCACGGCAGCCGCCGGCCCATGCCCCGCCCTGCGCCCCTCCCCTGGCTGCTGGGTTCCCGCTCCTTGCCCCCCACCCCGTCCCCGTCCCCGTGGATCCATAGCCCCTACCCTCAGTAGTCAGTAGGGCCTCATCTCCCTCTTCCAGGTCACCGCGCCCCGCGGCTCGGCGCCGGTCACAGTCGCACCAGTTGGCACCCGGCGCACTCTTGGCCCCTTGTGCCTGTCACTTCTCTGTGGCAGTGTGGTGCCCAGAAGCAAAGGAACACTTGATCAGGCTCTTGCCCCAGGGGCCACGGGCGACCTCCTGGCTAGACCCATGGCTTGGAGACCCGTGGGTCAAGGGGACCTCATAATGGGCGCGGAGCAAATCCACCAAATGCTCTCTTCATTGTTTTTAAAAATATTTATTTATATAGACAGGGTCTTACTATGTAGCCCAGACTGACTTGAAATTTGCCAAGATCTTCCCGCCTCAACCTCCTGAGTGCAGCAGAGTTTACACACATGTGCCATCATGCCTGGCTTCTTTCTGTTTAACAGAAATTTCCAGGGAACCAGATTTCCCAGTGCTATTCTTAGGCAACAACTTTTGAGAATTAAACACTTATCTTTGAATTTCATTTTGCTGGTTTCAGTCCAACTTTCCAATTTGTCAGGCTGCCTGGAAGCAGCTCAGCCACCTATGGTGTTGGCATTGTCCTCTCCAGCCACAGCCATCTGCAGGGGAAGGCTGTGTGTGTGTGTGTGTGTGTGTGTGTGTGTGTGTGTCCCCCGCCCTCGCTCAGCAAGGGCCTCCCACACCTCTGCCCCCACAGCGTCTGCTTAGTTTTACCATAGGACATGGGTCCAAACCGAGACCAGATCCAGAGGCGTGGTGTTAGGGCCTCCAAGTGAGAGGACCAGCAGGTGGTAATCTGGCTGGGTTCAGCGATGCCATTCAGTCTCTCAGCTTGAAGCCCACTTGGGAAACGGCCATGCATGGATGGCAATAGTGCCTGTGGAATGTTCTGCTTCCCCCTTTGGCCAAAGTGGCCTGTGGCATCCTGCTGCCAGCACCCAGGCTGGCAGCGCCCCACCTGCTCCTGCCTTGTCCTCCCATCCCTGGCTGTCTCTGGTTGCTCTGTCCTCCTCTCATCCAACACTAGTCTGTCACCTGTCACTGTCTCTTCCTTGTGTCTACACTCATGACACAGAGCCATGCTTTACGTCTTGGTTTATTTTTTCTGCCCTTGAACACGGGCTTTGTGAGGGAAAGGACTTGGCGTTGTTCACCACTGCCTCCAAGCACTGGGACAGATCCAGGAACTGGGAGCCTGGCTTGGCGCTGCACTTGGGAGGCTGAGCCAGGAGAACCACAAGTTTCAGCCCAGCCTGGCAGTTCAGTGACTTAGGGAGACCCTGTCTCAGAAACCGAATAAAGAGGAAGCTGGGGTGGAGCTCTGCAGGAAAGCTGGGTTCATTCCCCAGTACTGGGAAAAAAATTATGATGGAATACACAAATCACTGAATACCCTAGGATGTGGGGACACCCCCAGTCTACCCCAACTCCAGTAACCTCAGTTGCGGAACTGCTGGCCACTACTCACTCCATCCTAATAGAAGACTTTTGTTGGTGGGGAAAAGGGGCAGTGGGGGAGTTGGGGTGTGGTCAAGAGCTGTCCCAGCCAAGGGACAGTACCCCAGATCCTTCCCAGCCTCCACACAGCTGTAAAGGTCTTTGGGAGAGGGGTGGGTGAGGCAGGGATGTGCACATTTTTCTGACCCTCATAGTGTTGAGATGTCTGTCCCTCATAGTCCTGAGTTTTGGCGTCAGGGGTCTCACGCTACAGCCCAGACTGGCCTGCAACTCACAAACTCCTGTCTCAGTCTCCTGTGTGCTGGGATTGCAGGCCTGTGTTGTTACACCAGATTTATGCCCTCTGGTCACCTCTTATTCCAGATGCCATCTTGAGCTCTGTACCCAGGACAGTAATTTACACAGCCCTGGCAGAGACACTCTGCTCGAACCCGTGACCCCTACCCCCTCTCCCTATCTGACTGAAGATACAAACAGACCCCAGGTGTTGTGCGCCTCTTTATTGGGCAGCCGGGGAGGGGAGGAAGAAGGCAGAGTGTGGCTCTGAGAGCAGACCCTTCACTCCTCCTCTTCGTCTTCATCTAGGCGGGGCCGGGTCCGCTTGAAGAAGCCCACCTAGTACACAGGGCCGGTGATCAGGATCGGGACACGACAGTGGGAACCCACCGGGGTCTTGCTTGACATGTGCTGGGCCCAACCTTCTCCCGCCCACTCAGTAAACTCTGAGGTTTGTGCTCCACCGGCTTGAGGTGCAGGGGCTGGGCAGGTTGGGCCCGCTGCCCCCAGGCAGGGCAGAGGGGCCCGAGGACCTTAGGGCAAGGAACCCGCCCGCCTCGGCCTCACCTTCCACATGGCCAGCACCAGCAGAGTGAGCAGCAGTAGGCCGCCCAGCGCTCCCACCAGTACCCACCAGGTTGGCACAGCCCGCTCCTCCAGGGCGCGCAGCAGCAGCGTCTGCACCTGAGGGCGGCCGGTGCCTCAGTCGAGAGCCCAATTCTGGGTCCCCACACCCCCGCGCAGGCCGCTTACCACAGCCTCTCCGCTCGGCAGGCTGAGCGCCGGGACCGCGTACGGGAGCGAGGACACATTGAACCACGCGCGCGACTGCAGCACGGTCTGCACCAGTGGCCCCTGCTGGGAGGGGAGGGCCACTTTCCAGAGCCGCTAAGGCCCAGGGTGGAGCCACACCCATTAGAGAAAGGCCCCGCCCTGGAACCCGTGCGCACACCGAAGCCCCGCCCCATGGCCAGAAGCCCCACCCCTCCGCCACCCGAAGTCTAGCCCAGCACAACGCTCTGGCCTTCTAGACCCAGAATCCCCGCCTCTCGGTAGATGGCTACGTCCACCGGGCCCCACTTCCCGTCCCCACCTGGCGGAGGCTTGGCAGCCGCAGCAAAGCCAACATAGTGACCATGGCCCGCTGCCCACGCACCATCTCCTGCAGCTCACACTGCACCACCGTGCAGGGCGCTGAGTCGCAGCTCTAAAGAGACGGTCATCAGTCGCCAGGCCTCCCTGCCAGTCACCCCTTGGCCCCGGGACCCAGCCAAGGACCAGAGGGCTAGAGGGCTGGGAAAGGCCTCGCGTGCAACCACACAGAAGCGGGCCCCTGGTGCTCCATCCACGCGCCTGCTGTTGCACTCCAGAGGACCAGGGCTGCCACCCCCACACCCCAGGGAGACCCGCCCCAGCAGGCCTCACCACCAGCACCGGCTCTGCGGGTCCAGCCTGTCGTCGCTCCCGCTGGCGATGCAGGGCCACGCTGGCCGAGGTGGGCCTCCAGTCCAGCTGCAGGTGGGGGCAGTGGTCAGGCGCTTCCAAATAAGCCTCTGAGCCGCAGCCCCTTCCTTGCCATCGCAGCTCTCACCTCCGAGGGATTGGGTGAGGGCTCTAGGGAGCACTGTAGGCCCCCGTGGGCCTGCACGTCCAGGATGTAGAGCAGATCGGAGGCCTGCGACTGCCCCGGCAGGTGCACACCGAGGCGCAGGTCCCGAGCAGTCCCGGGGCCTCTGTTGTGGAGCTGGGAGGTGGTGACCCCCGGTATCAGGTGACTCAGCACCCAGGCCCCTGCCAACCCAGACCCCAGGGATCTTCCTACCTCATAGGTGTGCTCCACCCTGGGGCCCGAGGTGTCCAAGATACCCTGCTCCTTGTCACCTTCTGCTGACACCACCAAGGAGGCCGGAAAGGAGTTCCTGGAGGGACCCACTCCCGAGCGGTTGGACCCAGTGGCCTAGGAATCGTCTGTATCCTCCACTTCCTATGGGTGCTGATCTCAACCTTCCACGGAGCTGCACTCTGGGGCTCCCCCGACTCCAGAGCCGCTGCCGCCCCTCCATCAGTCCCCCACCTCTCACTCACCCCCGGAGCTCCACCCTGGCCTCTGCCTGCACAGGCACCTGCAGCAGCACAGCCTGGCTGTTTGGGTTCTGGCTGTTCTTGCTGGGAGAGGGAAGGAGAGGTGAGGCTCAGCCAGGCAGCCAGAGTGGGGCTTTTAAATCCATCAAGGGTTGGGTCACAGGGGCCAGGCACAGGGAGGCTTCCCCTGGCTCCCAGGCTCTGAGGAATCTGAGACAGGGAGTCTGCAGAGCAGGCCCCTGGCTGGCACTGTGTGGCTGGTAGTAGGAGAGCAAGGCCGGGGTGGGAGGGAGCATCCCGGGCAGTACCTTCTGACCTGCAGCCGGAAGGACACAGCCTGACTGGCCTGCTCCAGGTCCTCTACACTCACCCACATCGTGATCCCTATCTGGAGATGGGAGGGCCAGGGTCACTGCCAGAGCCCAGTGTGGGCTTCAGCACTCCTCCTTCTGATCGTCCTGCCCCCATCCTTTCTCTCTCTCTTTCCCTCCCAATCTCCCTCCATCCCAGTACTAGGGATTGAGGCTGAGCTACATCTTCAGACTCCTTTTTAAAATTTAAAACAAAATGTCGCTAAGTCACTAAGTTGCCCTGACTGGGCTCTAATTACGATCCTCCTGCCTCAGCCTTCCAAGTGCTGAGATTATAGGAGTGGGCCGCCACACGTGGGCTACCCTTGGTTTTATCTCCATTTGACCCAGCCTCCCACCGGGAGAAGAGGCAGGCCCAGCCTGGGGCTGCCGATGGTGCCTAGGCCTCACCTGGGCGTCCTTCCCCATGGGGTTGCCCAGCTCGCACAGTACCACCCTGCTGTCGTTCTCCTTCTTCTGGTTGCAGATGAGCCTCTCAAAGCCCTGCAGGAGCAGCAGAGGTAGGTTAGGCCCTTGGGCATCCTGGGGCGGCTGCGCGGCCTGCATTCAGGGGAGAGGGGGCTGCCGTAGCAGGACCTTGGACTGTGAGCCCGCTTCCTGCACCGTTAGCTACTGAGCTGGGGTCTTCCTGTGGTGCCCAGGTTGGCCTTGAACGCCTGGGCTCTACAGATCCTGTTTCAGCCTCCTCAGTACAGCCGAGACTACAGTTGTGCCACCACACGTGGCGCAACTTTTCGTTTTGGAAACAGAAAATAGTTTATGGAGTGAGACCCACTGTTACAAAGCACAACGGGATGGGGGCTGGGGATTTAGCTTAGTGGCATAAGCACCTGCCTTGCAAGCAGGCGGTCATGAGTTCGATCCCCGGTACCGATTAAAAAACAAAAAAACAAAGCACAACGGGAAAACAACAAAATCCTACAGCTATGTAAGTGCCTGCCAGCGCCTGGGTGGCCTCTGGAGGCGATCCAGGGGGCCCCTGGGCTACTAAGGGTTCCTGACTTCCAGGGACCTCTCGGGAACCCCGGCCTCAGCCCCTGGGCCCTCACCCGCACGTCGCTCAGCGCCCGCATGTAGTGGGCGCCCGGCGGCAGCAGCACGGCCAGCTCCGCTTCGTAGGCCCCCTCGCCCTCGTTGGCCGTGGCCACATGCAGCTCCAGCAGGTTGTCAGCCCCAATGAGGAGAGGTGCACCGACCCTGAGTGAGCAGCGAGCTGGGAGGAGCGGTAGGGCAGGGCAGCAGGCTGGGCAGGGCCTCAGGGGGCGGGGCGGGGCAGCGGGGGGTGGGGGTGGGGTGGGGTGGGGGGGACGGGGCAGCAGGGGGCGAGAGACAGGGCAGTAGGGGGCTGGGCAGGGGAACAGGGCAGCAGGGGGGCGGGGCGAGGTCCCTCACACAGTGGCGTTGAGCAACAGCTGCGGCACACACAGGTCGTCCTCCCCGCAGTCCAGGATGATGCGGGTCTGCAGGGTCACATTGGGCGTGTGAGGTTTGGGTTCACAAAAGGCCGGGAAAGCAACCGTGAGCTGGGTTACTGACCAGGGCCCAGGGAATAGGACTGGGTCCTGTGATGGATGTTAGCACTATGCATATCTAAATGTATCAATAAAATAAAAATTAAAAAACAGGGCTGGGGATTTAGCTCAGTGGCTTAAGCGCCTGCCTGTCAAGTGCAAGGATCATGAGTTTGATCCCAGCACCAAAAAATAAATAAATAAATAAATAAAAAACAAAACGAAATAGCAGGGCTGGTGGCCCAGCGGTGTGGTCTGGCGTCGCATTGAGCAGCTGGCCCTCCTGGAGGTGCAGAGGCCAGCCAGCACTAGAGTCAAGTTGGAATGATGAACGGCCAGACCGTGTCAGGGTCTGCTCTTTTGATTTGTTGTTTTTGAGGCCAGGTCTCGATGTGCATCCATGCTGGCCTTCAACTTATTATGTAGCCCAGGCTGGCCTCAACTGAGGGGCCTTCCTGCCTCAGCCTCCTGCGTGCTGGGATGATGGAAGTGCATGCACCACTGTGCCCAGGGTGGGCGGAGTTGGTGGTGATATCGGGGATTATGTGTTTCCATCAGCTTCGGGGAGCTGTTTGAGTGTGGGGTTCATCAGGGATTAGAGGTGGCATTGGGTCTCAGGGTTTGTATTACCACCTGGCTCACTGTCCTTGGGGTCTCACACCACCCCACGTGCCCACCTGCTCCTGGATGTGAGTGTTCCCATGCAGCACCAGGCCAGGGGCCGAGGTGGACTCCGAGGGCGGCAGAGACACATCCAGGCTGAGCACAATGGGGCTCAGCTTGTCCCGGAAGTCGGCTTCATCCTAGAGCCAGAGTTGGCCAGCTGTGGCATGCTCCATCCCGCCCGCCTCACCCCTGCCCCGGCCTGGACCTACTCGCAGGAAGGCAGTGGCTGTGTGGCAGACAGGGCCATGCCTGCTGCCCAGGTCCAGGCTCAGGGTGGTGTCCGCCTGCTGCGATTCCAGGAGCAGTGTGCGGCGGCCCTGGCGGGGCTTCTGCCGGTCCAGCTGTAGCTCGGCGCTCAAGCCTGTGGGCCAGGGAAGGCTCAGCGCTTTGAGGTCTGGCCACCTCCCTCCACCTCGGCCCGGCCACTCACGCAGCTTCTGAGGAATGTTGTGCCCAGTGGCCTCCACGCACATCTTGATGTTGAAGCTGTAGGAAGCCCAGGGCTCAGGCCTGGGCTTCTAGGTGCTGCCCCACCCTCCCACACCGCCTCCACTCACCAGCTCACCAGGGTCCTGGTCCCCGGCAGGACACACCTCTTCTCCATGGGGTTCAGCGCGTCCTTCACCAGCAGCTGGATGGTGGCCATCACCACCGGCTGGGCTCTGAGGGGGAGTCATCTGCCACTGGGCCCTGTAGCCCGGCCTCCCTGCCCCCTCCTAAACCAGTACTTACCTGTATACCACCACCTTGCTGGCCCCGTAGGCGCCCACCACCAGGTCTGCAGGTGGCAGGCAAACTGGAGTCAGTGGGCATGGGGACAGCTCATCCCTCACCAGAGCCCACTGCTGAGCGCCCCAGCCATGGGGTCAGTTGGAGCCCATCCAGGGCACCAGCCAGGGCTGTGGTCCCCAGGCCTCCCAACATCTCCAGCCAGAGCTGTGAGGGTCACCTGGATATCCGTTGTCATCGATGTCTGTGGCACCTCGAAGGGAGAAACCGAAGCCAGAGCCTGTGTGGAAGGGGCTGTCCAGGACCTGGCTGGGGTGGGCGTTCAGCCCCTCACTCTGGCCCAGGTACACCAGCACCTGGCCCCGGCCACCGGGACCCCCATAGGGGGCGGCCACTGCGATGTCTGCAGGAAGACCAGAGGGGCACTCAGACACCTCCTGGCTGGTGCTCTGGGCAGAACAAATCTGGGAAATTTATCCAGCAGGAGTAACATGGCCGGGGTGGTCAGGAATAGAAATTTGAACACAGGGACAGCCTTGCTGGCAATCACAGGAAATACATCAGCAAGATTTAACTCTGTTCTGAGAGGCAGGCATTATTACTCTTGTTTTTACTGTAAAAACTGAGTCCCAGAATTTGAGATCCAGTGAACACTGGCCCCCTTTCCACGCCAGCTCAGAACCATGTCATAGCTCATGAGTACCATGACTTCTTCTTTTTTTTTTTTTTTAAACTGGGGATGGAACTCACAACCTTGCGCTTGCTAGGCAGGCGCTATGCTGCTGAGCTAAATCCCCAGCCCCCAAGCACCATGACTTTTAAGGTCAAGCCAGGTGTGGGGCACACACCTGTGATCCCCGAATTCAGGAGGCTGAGTCAGAAGCAGCACCAGGAATTCAAGGCCACCTTGGGCTACAGAGTGTGATCTTGCCTCAAAAACAAACCAAAAACAAAAGCACTGCCTTGCAAGCACATGATCCATGAGTTCAATTCCTGGTACCAAAAAAAAAAAAAAAAAAAAGAGATGGGACTAGTTCAATGGTTGTGCAGCCCTGGGTTTGAATCCAAATCAGCCAACAAAATGGTTCTTTGGGTGTGTTAAGAATTAAGACTCCTCAGGGCCAGGGATTTAGCTCAGCCAGCATAAACGCCTGCTTTGGCAAGTATGAGGTTGTGAGTTCAATCCCTGGTGCCACAAAAAAAAAAAAAAAAAAAAGACTCCTCACTGCATCTGTGGTGAGGCCTGCACTCAGGCCTCATGCACACTCTGTGTTCTCCACCGTTGCTCTATATCCTGGTCCTTGTTTTTGTTGTTGTTTTTTAAATTTTGAGACTGGATTTCACTAAGTTACCTTAACTTGCAACCTCCTGCCTCAGCTTCCAAAAGTATTATAGACATGGAGCACCCTACCTGGCCTAGATAGATCTTTGACATCTATGTTGCAACTTTCTTTGCTTTGTTTTCTGATTTATGGTTCATTTGTTTATGTTTTAGTGCATCATGACATATTTCATTTTTGTTGATTTTTTTTTCTTGTTTTTTTTCTGAGACAGGGTCTTGCTTTTTGCTCAGGCTGGCCTTGAACTTGTCAAGAGCCTCCTGTCTCAGCCTCCTGAGTGCTAGGATAACAGGCGTGTGACAACAGGCCTGGCTTTTCTTGACTTCCTGGGCAGGGTACATAGGCATTGCCAGAATGCAGTGCCGTGAACTCAGGGTGCCCTCCTGTGCCTGGCCGCCTGCTCTCCTGCACTTTGGCCTTGGTCATAGTGGAGCCTGTGCAGTTCTGACCCTCGGCCTCAAAGGCTGCTCTCCAATTTGCTCCTCATTTCCTTGCTCCCACCCCCACCCCCAACCCCACTGGCCGAAAGCTGTCTCCTAGGCCACTTCCTTTCTCCCTGGCACCAGGAACCTCTGTGCTACTCTCACCTCAAGCAGCATGGGGCTCCATGGCCACTTCCTCTGCCCAGAATGTCCTTTCCCCAGAGCTCCCAGCCCCTACCCTGGGATGCTGGCCTCCTCCATGTCCGGGCTGCAGCCTGGTCTCTTCTCACCTTGCAGGAGCCCTCTCTGAGGGGGTGGAGGGAGCCCTCGGCCAGGGCTCCCTTCTCAAGGGTCCCCCTGTGCCCGGGTCTCAGCCCCTTCTCCAGACCACTCTGACATATGTGCCCGGAAGGTGGCAGGTCACAATGTCTAGGTGAAGGCAGCCACGGAACACTGGTCTCCTTCGACTGTCTTACACTCAGCAGCCTGACTAGGGTCCCCCCGCCTCTGTAGCCTTACTGGCCCCTGCTGCTCACAGGCACCTTTCTGTGGTGACTCTCAAACCTCTCTCCTCACCGTTGAAGCCATCTCGGTTGAGGTCGCCCAGGGGTGCGATGGCTGAGCCAAACCGCCCGTAGAGCTGTGTGCCGGTCAGCAAGAGGCTGGGGGTAGCCAGCAAGTGGGGGTCTGGGGGCTGTAGGAACAGGTACACACGCCCGACCTCGGCCAGCTTTCGATCAGCCCAGCTGTCCATGAACAATGGGGCACCCACCAGAAGGTCATGCCGGCTGCCGGGGACAGCAGGGGGGCTCGTGTTAGTGTGGGACCTGGAAAGAGGGGACCCTTGGGGAAGGGCTGGCGCCCCTGCCTCACCCGTCCCCGTTGACATCGGTGACGGCCACAGTATGCCCGAAGTACGAAGCCATCTGCAGGATGAGGGTGCCTTAGCACACTCTGTGGGCCTTGGCCCCCCCTTCCCAGGCATCTGCCAGGACTAAGGGCTGGGGCACCTGCTCTCCATGCAGCCGGAGTAGTGTCTGGTCATGGGAGTCCAGGATTTCTACCTGCTCAAGCACACACCTTGGTGAGAAGACACAAGGGTGGGCCTGGAGCCCAGGCTTGGGGTGCACAGGGTACTTACAGCTCCCAGAGTCCAGCTCCAAGTGGGGGCACCAACCACATACTCTGGGGAGAGTAGGATCAGTCAAGGCCCTGGGCCTGCCTGCCTGCCCACCTGAGGTGTCCTGGTGGGGTCCCTCCTGCCCCCAGACCCACGGGACCAAGGGGATGTCTTGCCTGGAGTCCTTAGGTCCCCGTTGAACTCGCCCACCGCCACTGCGTACCCTGGGGACACAGCAGAGGGAGTGAAAGCCTACGTGGGGAGGGCGCCCTGGGGGGGAGGTAGGAAGAGACCCAGAGGCCACCCAGCTGAACGCTGGTGCTGGTAGGGCACAGGGGCTGGAAGGCAGGACTGGGGCAACTGCGTTACCCCGGTAGCTATCGTAGAACTTGGAGTCGCTGGAGTCGAAGGTGAAGTGCTGGTTGGGCACAGTCCACAAGAGGGTGGCAGGCTGGTAGCTCGAGACGATGTGGGCGATCCGGGCCCGGGCCAGAAGACCTGGTTGGGGATGAGCGGTGTGGGCTGGGGCATCCTGGCCGGCACGGGGAGGAAGGGAGTGGCACCCACCTATGAAAAAGTAGCCGCCGGGGGCCCCCAGCACCAGCTCGCCGGCCTGGAGGGGAAGCCTGAAGTGAGAGCAGCCCAGCGGGCCGGCCAGGACCTGCCCCAAGCCACTAGGCTCCCCACTTGCCTGGGTGATCACGGAGCTGAAGCCCGCTTCGCAGTACCGTCTATCTCTGCCTAGGGGCGGGAAGGGTAGGACAGTGGCGCTGGGAGGACTGACTCCAGCAGGGAGCCGGGGCGGAGCAAGGGGTGGGGTCGTGACATGGCCACAGGCTATCCAGAGGCGTGGCCTCGAACCAGGTAGGGGTTTTGGTGGGCGGGGCATAGCCATGGGCGGGTGAAGAGGCGTAGCCTCGATCGAGGTGGGCGGAGCGGTAGGTTAATGTGGAGGTGTGGCCCTGGGTCAGGGCCCAGGGTCAAGTGGGCAGACCCGTGGGTTAACACGGAGGCGTGGCGGGGAGGGCAGGTCCCTGGAGGGATTTAGAGGCGTGGCTTTAGGAGGCGGGCGGGGCCTCTGGCAGGGCAGTGTCTGGCTGGACGCCAAGTTCGGAAGTGGGGCGGGGCCTACTGAAGAGCCTGTCCTCGTAGACGCGGCTCATGGTGTTGGCTCGGCAGGGCGAGTACTCCTTGCGACTGCCGCTCCGGAGCTGGGCCAAGTAGCAGCTGCCGACAGGCGTCTTCTCCGCCTCCTCCGCCCTCTCCAGGACGTTCCAGTGCTGCCAGGGAGCGCAGGCCTGGGAGAGACGCAGGGTGAGGAAGGCGGCTCTCGCCTTCCGCCGGCCCCACCCGCAGGCAGTGCCTACCACCACGGTGTCGTTCCAGCTGGTGACCGACGCCCCGAGGCCTTGCCGCGCCTTGAAGACCTGGAAGGTCTGGGAGCTCGCGTTTCGGGTCTCGTCCTCTGGGGGGATCGGGAAGCGGGGTGTCAAGGCTGTCGGTCTGAGGCCGTCCGAGTCCCGGTTCCCTCTCGGTCCCCGCCCCCGCTGGGACTTACGGAGATCGAAGAACAGCTGGGAGCACGGGCCGCCTGCGGCGCTCCAGGGGCACAGGAACACGGCGCCCGTCTCTTCCTGGCTGCGGGCCCTCGCCCTGGGGGCGCCCACCACTACGGCCACGCTGGGGACAGGCGATGGGGCGCGGGTGAGCACGCGGACCCCGCTCCCTCCAGGAGGGTGGTGCCGTGCGCCGTGTCCTCGCCCATACTGGCTGTAGAGACAGGGACAGGCCCGGCGCGAGGGAGCCCGCGTGCCCGTGGGAACCTAGCACGCGGCGTGGTCTGCGCGGGGGCTCGCTCTGCAGTCCCTAGGCCAGGCTTCCCTGCCACTGGGTTGGCCTCTCTGTTGACTTCACTGCGCCCTGAGGGGGGCTCAGGGTTTTGACAGCCGAAGATCTGAGCACGCCTGCTTCTTGGAGCCCAAGGCGTGCAGGGCATTTAGTGCAGCCCGGGCAAGTGCTCAAGAATGTGGTTGGGAGACATGGGTCACGGATGGAGTGGGGCTGTGAGTCCTGGGAGTGCAGCAGGAGAGGAAGAGTGGTAGGGGCAGCAGGGCAGGAGGGGAGGGAAGCAAGCTGGGACCCAAGGTGAGAGACCCTGAGTGCCGCTCTTCTGTGTCACTGTGGGAGCCACGGGGGGAAGGGGCTGGACTCTTGAGCCAGGGCAGCTCTTTGGTGGAGGAGAATTTGCAGGGGCTGCCCTTGAAGGCCATCTGCCCTCACCACTGCGTCCCAGTGTCCAGGGTAAGTCCCACAGAGTGACACGGCTGTGACTCCAAGGCCAACCCAGCACCAGCTTTAGTGACCTAGCACATCTCTGCAGTACTCTACTGTGTGGGCTGGGGTGGTGTCCAGGTGGCCAGGACATGTGCTGTTCTGCATTTGGCAGCTAAGGATACAAAATACAACTGAGACCCTTGGGGAGCCACTAGGTTTTGGTCTCCTCTGTCCCTGATGACCTCGCTTCAGCCCACTCCTCCCCAGCACTCCTAACTGCCATGCTGAGCTGCTGCACAGAAGGGATGCAGCTAGGGTCCTCCTCTCTGTGCCCCCACTCCCCACCTCACCTCCCGAGGCTGTCCTTGTGGAAGTCCACGGAGAACCCAAAGTGGCTGTTGTTGGGGCCTGAGTAGAAGGTGATTTGGGCTGCATTCAGGTTCAAGGCCCAGGCTACAGGTGTAGCTGCAGGTCCCAGGAGCCAGAGTGCATGCAGCAGGCACGACACTCGGGCCATCGTTGCCTTGGCCTTCTGAGCTGAGGAGCAATGGCTTGTGTGCTCTCCTTTCCCCGTGGCCCCCCACAGGAAGTCTCACTATCAGACTGGAGCCAAAGCAGCTTGCTGAGCAGGGGCAGATGAAGGGGAGCGAGACCTGGTCTCCGCAGGGGACTGGAGGAGGGGTGAGGCTAGCTGGGGCTTCTAAAGGCCCACAGTCCTAACTCCTCCCTTTCCTGGGGGCAGTCAGTCACTTCATCCTGTTTCCAGTGTCCTTCAATGATACCTCTTCAATCCTCACCCGCTTTCCATGCCACTCTCCCACTGCCATCATTGTCAGTGTGGGACAGTGGCTCATGCATGTCCTTGCTGACCCCCACCCCCACAACTCTCCCCTGGTCTACTCAGCTGGGCACTGCCCTGGTGCTTTGTACTCATCAGAGGTGGGGGAGAGAGGAAGCTGCTGCCCCAGATAGGACCCATGGCTGCCATCCGGTGTGATAGGCACTTATCCACTTCCTCCCTGCAGGGCTGCAGCAGGCTGGGCCTCCATCCTGAGCCTTGTCTGAGGAGCCAGTCTGGCATGGCCAGGGTTCAGTAAGGGATAGGAGCTGGGATGGAGTGGAGTCACTCCAGGGTTTTCCTAGGAGATGTGCCTCAACCCTCTGCTGATGGGAGGCCTGCAGCCCTCTGGTGATACAACTCTTGTCCCACTATCAAGACCTGACTCTGTGTGTCACTCTTTGGGGTAGCACCAGGCCTAACAGACATGGGCACACAGCTGTTAGGGTATCTGTCATGCTCTCGGCCTGTTCCCAAGATTATGTAAACTGAACTTTTTTTTTTTTGAGGCAGGGTCTCACTATGTAGCCCAGGCTGGCATTGAACTTGCTTATGGAGCCTGCCTCAGCCTCCCCGGTGGTGGGATGACATACGTGCGCCACCACGCCCAGCTTCAAACTGGACTGTTAAAAGCAAAGTTCCTTTCTTTGGCCCCTAGTAAAGAATCCCATGGAGGAGCATTGCTGTAGGACTGAATTACCTATCATCCCACCACTCAGGAGGCTGAGGCAGGCTGTGGGCTCAAGACCACCCTGGGCTGCACAACTGAATTCAAGGCCAATCTGAATTGCATAGCGGGACCCTGTCTCAAAACAAGACTGCAACACAAAACAGACTAGTGTCCACAATGAGGAAGGAAACGCAAACAAGGTGATAGAATGGAAGTCAATGTCGGGCTTTTTGTTAGTACCGAGCCTGGAGCATCCCAGGCTTCTACATGTTTTCATTTATGAGACAGGTTCTTACTGTCAGGAAGCTGCTCACTGTGGGCTCCAATGCTGGGCCTTTTCATGTGGGGAATCCCAGCTGTGTACCGCCATGGCCACTTCAGGCCATCTTCTGCAGATGAGGGAGAGGCCATGCTCAAGGGGCACTTTGGGGCTTGCAGAGGCCAAGGGCACAGCCACACCCTTTGGTCACCATCTTTTCCTCATGCTGACTTGTCCCGCTCAGCCTCCTGAGTGCTGGAGCTCCTCAGTATGAGGTCCAGTACTGCTTGGACTCCAGCCAGCCCTTTGTCTCTGGTGCCCACCCAAGGCTGAGCTCCAGAGAACACTGTGACCTCTGCAAGAATGGGTGCTTAAGCCCCCTCTGTCCTATCTCCATTCCCAACCTGGGCTGTGACCACACTGTGTGTCCCATGAGGCGGGGCCTCCGTGTGAGAAGGCCCCTGGGCCTAGTGTGGAGGAGCGAGGACACACGTGTCCTACAGTAGAGTGGCGGCAGCCCACCTGACAGCACTTAGGGAGGGGTCCATGCCTCAGGATGGCCTAGGACATGGGTACCACTGGGTTTACTTTATAAACACAGGAACTGCTGGCAATTTAGCTCAGTGGAGTAAGCATCTGCGCAGCAAGCATGAAGTCCTGAGTCTGGTCTCCAGTACAAAAGAAAAGAGTAAACGGAAAATAAACATGGGAACTGGCGGTTTCTGGTACATTGACCAAGTCCACACAGCCAGTGGATGGCAAAACCAGGATTCCAGCACAGATCCCATCAGGGGGGAGAGGTTTAGGCACAGAGTAACAGGAAGGGGCAGCAGCAGCGCACAGGGGTACCTTTCAGGAAGAGTACAAAACGGGCTCAAAGCACTCAAGGTTCCGGCATGGCACACTAAGGGATTTGAACTTTAGTTCACGGGGACACAGAGTCAAAAGATTTGTTCTTTTTTGAGACAGGGTCTCACTATGGAGCTCAGGCTGGGTTCCCAAGTGGGATCCCCACGCCTGGGCAGAGAGATACAGTGATTAGTGGGCTTCCAGTAAGGGAGATGATGCTGGCTGCCTGCCTGCAGGCAGAGGAACTGGAGGAGGAAGGCGATGTGGCCTGGTGTAGATAACTGGTCACAGGAAGCAGCATGGTAAGGACGTTTAGCAGCTGGATGTGAGTAGGAGAGGGGGGTGGCAGGTGGGCCCATGCCAAAGGGACAGCAGTTGGGTCAGTAGGCAGCACCGCCTGAGCATGGCAGGTGCTGACCCTCTTCATCTGCAGATCTCAGGTCCTGTCGGGGCTTTGGGTCACTAGCAGTTCTGAGTGAAGAGGAGAGGAGGAAATGGGTTCCATCTTGCCAAAGCTTGCTTTGTAACAGCTGTTAAAAGTGTCCTGCTTTGCACTTCTTCCCTGAACACGTAACTCAGTGTCCATGTGGACGCCACTGTATGTCTGCCCCTCCAGGCTAACACTGGAGACGGGCAGTAGAGACCACTGGAACTGCACTCAGATTCTGAAAAGCCAGCCACACACCCAGAGAGCCACATCACGGGAACATGATGCCAGGGGCAGAAAGGTAGCCAAAAAGCCTGTGATGCTGAGGCAGGGCAGGTGGACAGGCTCACTGGGTCTGACAATGACTCAAGATGTGGACGGGGGCTACCTCCCTGGTCCCAGCAACATGGGACATCCTCTCCCAGCAGTTCTCTACTGTGGGCCAGCCCTGGGTGGGACACTCTTAAGAAGCTGGCCCCAGGCTTCCAGGGGTAGCAGGAGGCAGAGGGGAGGTACATGCACCTCACCCAGCCACACTGCCAGGCAGAGGGAAAATCACTACAAACTGCAGCTGCTCTACTCCTCTCCTCTCCTTGGCCAAGCATGTGCCTCTCAAGCCTTCTGACCAGAAGTGCAGGGACCCCTGGTTTCTGACAGGAGGCAGCACTCTGGTGCCTAAGGCATCACAGATTCAGGATGGAAACCGAGATAACCTGAAACCCCACTGCTCGTAAATTAAATTAACCCATATGCCCACACCGGAGACAGGAGATTGGAAGCTGTGTGCTGGGCAGTTGTGGGCTGAACACCAGGCTGGATGGACCACAGACCTGGTGCAGAGGCAGTGCACTTCCCAGGCCACCTCCTTGGGATGCAGCCCCTGAGCAGTGGCTGGTCCACTCGAGGCCATGTGCCCCTCTCCCGGCACTCTGTAGGTTCAGAAGCAGGCAGAATCCAGACAGCTCCACAGGTCCCCGAGAATCGTCAATCACTTCAAACAATACATTACTTGTAAGATGGGTGCAGTTGCGGGCACCTGTCACCCCAGCACTGAGGGAGGCTGAGGCAGGACAGCTTAAGTTTGAATCTCTCATGGTCACCTTAGACCTGGTGTCAAAATGTAAATGAAAAAGGCAGGGGATGTGGCTCCTGGCAAAAGCCTGAGACTTGAACTGGCCAGGTAGCAATCACAAGACTCAGCTATTACTTTGCCACAGTGTGCTGGTTTATTGGAAGGGCCTTCTCATTATACAGCAAGTACTGCTATCACATGGTGGTCAAGTTAAATACAATGTTACGCTTGTCAGTAAGGCCTGGTCATTTTATTTTTCCTTTCTAGGTTTTAAAATCACTATTCTGGAAATTTAATAAAACTGCCCCCAGGGAAGGCAGCAAGGTGGCCAGAGCACGCCCGGCTCAATCTGCAAGCGAATGGGAAGCAGCACAAAGACATTAATATCACGTTATTTATTATCTCATGGGCCAAAGGACAGTAGCTCTGCTCTTCCAGTGCTGGCTGTCCTGGGTGCCATGCAGCCAGGCACAGAGGTGGCACCACACAGGAGGCACCTAGAGCTTCCAGGTGCAGACCTCGTCCCTGAAGACTCTGGGGAATAAGGCAGAACACAGAGACTGGGCCCAGGAGAGGGAGTTCCTTTCTCCTGCCAGCCCACCACTCAGTTCTAGCCACCGGACTGGGCAGGGACATATCAAAGACCTTGGGACCTGCACCCCAAGAACTTTGGGCCAGAAGAGCAGGAGAGGCATCCCTCGGTCAGCATCCATCACAACAGCCTGCACTGCTGAAACCTGGCTGGCAGAAGCAGACAGTGTATGTTCTAAGCGGTGCAGCTTCTAAGTGAAGAGGCAGAAACCACAGATTCTGCCCCTCCAGCCTGCTGCTCTTCAGGTTCCAGAAAACCTGGAAGGCACATGGGAGAAACTGCCAGAAGCTAAGCACTGACAAGGCCGAGGGGCTGTCCAGAAATCCAGGGCTCCAGTCAGCTCCTGGGTCTCACTGCTTGGGGAGCACACAGCTTCGGGGCCTGCGCTGCAGCCCCACCCCAGCTGCCTCCGTGCGGCACTGGCCCTAACTTGGAGGAATACATGAGCTTGATAAAATATGCATGCTCAGTCATTTTTGTATCTAGCAGAAAACAAAAACTTTTATTTTGTTTTCATTTTATAACCCTTAAAGTTTCTTAATTCAACTAGGGCAAATATATTTACACAAAGCCACCAGAACAAGGATCACTTAAAGAGCTGGATGTAAAAAATATTATTGCAGTATACTACAAATATGAACCTTTTTATATGAGCTACAAAAAGCAGCATTTACGTTTATAGAGTTCAGTGCAATTTTTACATTAAAAAATTCTATAAATTAAGAAGGAAACATCAACACAACAGAAGATACACCCTCCGGACACATGTGCCTGCCCTGGGGAGCACCCCACTGAGGGCTGTGCTGCCCAGGTCAGGAAAGGACCCTCTCTCATGGGCTCTTGGAGGCCTCTTCCAGGTGAGGAACTCAAAGCCTGCAGTGCCAAGAAGTGGACCACGTGGCCCACATCTGGCTCCAGATCCTATTTCTATTCCGCCTCACCTGGACAACATGTCACCAAGGGATGTGGAAGACACGGCCTCGAGGTGGCAGAGTGTTCACTGCAGGGGAAGCAGTGGGCACCAGGGAAGCAGGAGTGGATGGACCTGTGACCTTCTGGGTGCCAGAAATGGGAAAATGTCTTGAGGTTCATAGAAAGGAGCACAGGATAAAAAGTAGAGGCAAGTGGGAACTACATGTGGGTGGTGACCTGGAGGTGTCCCTGCACCAGGGTAGGCAGCAGGTAGGAGCTCCCTAGTTAACAAAGGAGAGGGAGGACAAAGAGAACGGACAAAAGGGGGTCCCTGATAGTAAACCCAAAGCAAGCCTCACTCCCAGCCCAGCCTTGCAAGCCGAAGCCTGGTTCTCTGGCTTCTGGACCCGGCGCACACCAGTGGGAAGTTTCGGGCACCTGCCCTGGCTGGGGAGGCTCCCGCATCCCAACTCATGTGCCATGGCTGGGGGGGTGCTGCAGGTCCTGCCCTGAGAAAATGGGGTGAAGCAGTGGGTGAAGGTGCAGGGCGGTGGCAGCTGCTGTGGCAGGCCGAGGAGCAAGCAGGGTGGGGTAGAGGGCAGCATGCGGGACAGGGTGGAAGGCAAAGGGCCCAGGATGGATGGCGGAGGCAGGAATGATGTGGATGGGGTGACTGGCGAGAAAGGTGGCAGGGTGGCCGGGGATTATGGAGTGGGTGAGGTGGGAGAGGGAGATGGGTGTCAGGTGGGGCTGGGGGATGTGGTGCACCTGGGCCAGGGGCTGGGGGTGGGCGTGAGGGTGGATGCCAATGGCAGCAGCAGCGGCGGCTGCGTGGTGCTGCAGGATAGCGTGCTGCACCGTGGTGATGGAGGTGGCTGAGGCGGTGGCTGGCTGCTGGATGTGGATGGGCTGCAGAGCAGGGGCAGCGGGGGCCAGGGTGGCTGAGGCTGGGAAGGCCTTCACTTGCTTGGCCAGCAGCTGCTGCTGGATGTGCTGCTGCGCAGCCTGCTGGAGCTTGCTGTACTTCTCCATCTCCTCAGGTGTGAAGGTGATGGGCTGGCTTTCCAGGGGAGCCAGGGAGGCATCCTCTGCTCCCTCAGCTGACTCGATGCTGGGCTCCCCGCTGGGAGGTGCATAACCTGCAAAGTGCTCCAGGTCGGGGGCTGCAGGCAGCAAGCCTGCATCCATAGGGCCTGGCTGGCTGCTGCTTTCCAGGGACTCCAGGGTGTCCCCATCGCTGGGGTCAGGGAGGTAGCTATGGGGGCCAGCTGGGTCCCCAGGGTAGCAGTCAGAGTGTGCTGGGGTACTCAGTGGAGCCACGGGGTGGTCAGCAGTAGCTTCTTCGGACTTGGGCTCTTCTGGGGGTGGGTCCAATAAGGGACCAGCAGTGTTTTCTGTAGGGAACTGGCGCCCACTCCCAGGGAGCCCCTCTTCTGTCTCTGACTGGTCTTGCTCTTCCCCTCTTTCTACCCCAGACTCCTCACATTTTCTGTTGGGCTTTCGGGTAGCTGGGAGCTTCCCTATTAGTGGAAGGACAGGCTTGCTGCCTAGAGAAGGGGGGAGCTTGGGCCCAAAGTAACCTTGTGGTGGGTCCTTGAGCTTAAGCCCAGCCTTATTAGGGGTGGCCAGCACCTCCTCGCCCACACTGGGTTTCCGCTCCCCTTTCCTGGACTGCACCTTCTCCAGAAGCAGTTTTGCAGTGACAGAGTTCTTATCCGCAGGGCTACAGTCACTTTCTGAACCTCTTCCCATGCTGGTGTTACTGTTCTGGGGTGGGCCTGTCCCTTTACTGTCATCTCCTCGACCATCATCTTTCTTCCCAACACCATCACCCCGGCCTGACTGGAAGTAGTGGGGGGACTGAGAGCGATAGATCTTGGAGCGAATGAAGTCCCTTCGGCCGGATCGCCGGTTCTTGGGGCTCTCGTGACCCCACGACCCTTTCCTGGAGCCGGACCTCTGGGAGGGGCTGCGGGTGCTGCGACTTCGGTCCCGGCTGTAGCTGCGGCTGCGCTGCCAGCTGTGTGCGGTGGTGCTGCGACTCCTCCGCTGGCTCCGGCTTTGACTGCTGCTGAGGGATCGAGACCTTGAGTGCTCCCGGGACCGGCTGCGGGACCGGCTGTGGGATTGGCTGCCGCTAAGGCTGTAGTCATCTTCTTCAGAGGATGAATACTTGCGGCGCTTGGAGCGGTGCTTGGGGCTGGTGTAGTCTGAGTCGTCTGAGTCGTGGGAACGCTTTGGGTGTCTGCGTGAGTGGTCACTGTAGTCACTGTAGCTGTCGTCTGAGTAGCTGCGGGGCCTGCTGTAGCAGCTCTGGTCTGAGGATGCGGCTGAGCTGCTGGAGTAGGAGCGGCGGGAGGAGCGGTGTGAGGAGTGGCGGTGCCCTCTTGAGTGGCTGCGGGAGCGAGCACTACCAGAGTCCTCTTCCTCTTCTTCCTCCCTGTCATCCTCCTCCTCCTCCTCCTCATCGCTGTACTGTGATGGGGACTCCTGGTGCAGCCGGTGTGACAAGATACCATCACTTTCCTCGTCTTCCCCACTGCTGGGCTGGTTGTGGCAGCGGGGGTTGCTGGTCCTTGGGGTGTTGGCCCGGTGCTGGCAGGAGGTGGTGGGGGGCTCACCCCGGTGTCTGCGCCCACTGCGCTCCTGTGTGCCCCCACCTGCGTTCTGCTGGCCCCCACTGCCCTCATCAGTGGAGGGCAGGGGTCTCCGCTGGGATTCCTCCTGCCTCCGCCGCCTAGGTGGAGGGGGGCTGCCGCTGCCTGGGGGCTCAGGCTTGGGGCCCCGCTCCGAGTCGGCCCCACCCGTGGACTTCTTCTTGCGCTTCCGTTTCTTGCGCTTCTTGGCCTTCTCTCCAGGCTCAGTTCTAGAACCCTTCTCTTCTGGGTCGGCCTTGTGCCTACGCTTGTGCTTGCTGGACTTCTTATGCTTCTTCTTTTTCTTGTGCCGGTGTGCCCTCCCAGGGCGCTCCTTGCGGCTGCCCAGGCTCCGCACTGTATCCTGGGGTGCTGGGCCATGGCTGCCCCCGGGCTCAGGTCCTTCTGGAGCAGCCACTGCCAGCCCCACGTCTGCCCGGGGCTGTCCCAGGTCCTTGTCTCCGCTCTGTCCAGCAGCCTCGGTGCTCAGAAGGGTATCCCTGGAGGGGCCAGCAGCATCCTTTGCTCTTTCTGCCCCTCTGGACCTGGCATCCTTGCTCCTGGAGAGCTTGAAGTCAAAGTAGAGAGGGTTGCAGCTGTAGGACACAGAGGGCTCTGCCCTGGTGAAGATGAGCAGCTCCGACGGCCACTGCAGGGCTGTGCTCTCGTCCTTGCTCAGCACTGGGAAGAAGGGCCCAGTTGGCAGCCGGGGGCCCTCCTGGACGTCCCTCCCTGAAGTTCCAGTGCCAGGTGCATGGGGTTCTTTGGCAGGTGCAGGCTCGCGCAGCTGCACCTCGGATGACCCAGGTGCACCCTGCTCTCCTGCACTCTGTTCCCCTGTGTTCCCCGCAGGGGCCTTCCTGGCCTCAGCTCGGCCCCGGGGCAGAGTGGGCTCAGCCTCTGTGGTGGCCTCCTTCTCCTTCGATTCCTTTGGTTCCTTGGCTGGTTCAAGGCTGTTGCTGGCATCCTGCTCTGCTGCCTGGCTGGGGGCCACCCTGGAAGAGCTCTTTGCCTTGGGGGAGCCACTCTTCTTACTGTCCAGGGTGCCCTTGGGGTGTGCGTTGGCCTCACCCTCCATCTGCTCGCTGGCACGCATGAAGAGCAAGAAGGGGAAGTGGGGCTTCACCTTGCAGTGTGCCGGTGGGATGTAGTGGTAATACTCAGGCTCTGCTGTACCAGTGCCCTCCTCCCGCCGCATCCGTTTTAACTTGGACAGTGTGGAGGCGAGGGCCCCCCCATCCTGCAGGTCCTCGTCATCCTTTTTGCCCTCTGTGCTCCCACTCAAGTCAGCGTCCCCCACCTTCTGTAGCCCTTGGTCAGAACCCTTCTCATCAGGCTTTGTTCCTTCCTCAGAGGATCCTTCTTCTGCGTGGTCCTTGAAAACTGAAGCTATGGACTCGAGTTTGACTGGTGCCTTCTTGGCAAAGGAAAATGACACCCCCAGTTTCTGCAACGGGGTCCCTAGGTTGTTCTTAAAGCCAAAACTGACGCCCTGGGAGGCTGGTCCAGAAGCCTGGCCCGGCCCAGTGGAGCTTGTGCCTGGCACTGCAGTGAAGGGGCCTCCTTTCTCCGAGGAGAGCTCAGGGCCCAGGCTGCACCCTGCGGCAGCCCCCGAACCACTGCTGGTGGCCGATTCATCCTTGTCCTCATCTCCTGCTTCTTCATCCACAGCCACTGTGGTTGGTCGGAACATGGGGCCGCTCCCGGGTGCGCTGTGCACGGTTCAGAAAGACAGGAAACAGGCTTAGGGGCACAGAACGAGGACAGCAGGCAGTGCTCACCTTTCCATCTCCTCCGCCCACCTTGTGCTGACCAACAGCCCAGACTCTGTGGGGACACGGCAGCCACGCCCCACGCCCAGGGCCACTGTCCTTGCTGCCAACACCAGGGAAAGTGGGTGCAGCTCCCACCGGTCCTTTAGGCCATCCCAGCATCCTGCTGGGCGAGGAGCCTCCCTTGCTGACCTGCGTGCAGAGGTATGACTGCACGCCTGTTAACAGAGGTCCCATCTCATTCAGCTAAGAAAACCTCATTTCCCCTGTGCTATCAAATTTCATTTTTCAACTTTTTCCTTTTTTGGGGGGCACATTTTGAAATAGGGTCTCACTATATAGCCCACATTGGCTTTGAACCTATGGCAATCTTTCTGTCTTAGCTTCTCAAGTACTGGAATTACAGGTGTGTGCCAAGTACTGCTGACTAAATTTCATTTATAAAAAAAGTATATTCTGAATTAAACACAGAAACACTAGAAACCTCTACTGTGCTGTTCTATGGCATACCAGAGGTGGTAAGAATGTCTCTGCCAAAAGAGAGGAAAAGAAAGTGCTCTAAACGATATAACTGCATGTATATTTAAGTGTATAAGATAGATAATGATATTACTGAGTTTTATTGGATCATTGAACAGAACTGATTGCAGTCTCACTGTTGGAATGTCCACTTTATAAGCTTTAATTTTGTAACTTGAACAATTATTTCTAAGATGACAAAATGTAATCCATTAACTAGTGATTTCCTACTGTTTATTTTTTTCTGTAAATCTGTATAACTTGTACCCTTTCTCTGCTTTTTTTTTCTTTTTCTCCTTAAATAAAATTAAAAAAAAAAAAAAAAAAAAAGAATGTCTGTGCCAATTTCCAGGGAACAGCCCTAGACACAGACTTCAGTTTTGAGGCAGAATAGCTCCCTTTATCTGCAGGAGGTGGTTCAAGAACCCTGGCGGTTCCTGAAATCACAGAAGGTGTGAAACCCTAGACTATTTTTTGATACATACACCTATGAAAAAGTTTATAACCTAAGTAAAAAGATTAACAACAACAATAATAAAATGTAATAGCTATAGCTGGACACAGTGGTGCATGCTTGTAAGCAAGCTACTCAGGAGGCTGAGACAGGAGGATTGCAAGTTTAAGTCCAGCCTGGATGACTTACCACGACTGTCTCTCAAAATTAAAAAACAGAAAGGGCTGAAGATGTAGGCTGGTGTTCCTTTGGGTTCAACCTTCAGAACTGCAGAACCGAGGCAGTCTGGGAGAGTTCTAACAGTTCTGTGAATGCAGTCTCCCCCAGCTCCTCTCTCTGGGCAGGTGGCATCCAGAGCACAGATCCATTGGACAAAGGTGTAATTTGTGTCCCAAGCACTGCCAGAGTGGAACGGGGCAGAACTCATTACAGTACTTGTAATGACACACAATGTAAAACTTAACAAGTCTGGGGCTGGGGATTTAGCTCAGTGGCATAAGTGCCTGCCTTGCAAGCGGGCAGTCTTGAGTTCTATCCCTGGTACCAGTAAAAACAAAAAAGACAAAACAAAACAAAACAAAACAAAACAAAACAAAACAAACCCCCAAAAACAAAAAAAAAAACTTAACAAGTCTTTTTTCAGGAATGTTCATTTAATATTTTCTTATCATAGATTCCTACAATAACTGAACCTTGGAAAGAGAAACCCACAGGAGCTGCCATACTTCCCAGGTACACAGAACAACGCTATCAAGTGCTCCTCCAGCTTTGGCAACAGGACTGGCGTCACCAGGGTGTTTTAATGCCCATATTCTAACTGCCCAGGTTGACTGAAATGCCTTCAGAGTGTAGACTTCTGGGAACACCTGAATTCCAAAGTTGAAAACAAAGTAGGAGCCAGGCCCGGTATACATGGTTATGATTCCAGCTCAGTGCACAAGGACTGCAAGTTCATGTTCAACCTGAGCAATTTATAAGGATTTGGCCTAAAAAAAAAGGGGGGGGGGCTGGAGATGTAGCTTAGCATAACATTTGCCCAGCATGCCCAAAGCCATGGGTTCAATTCCCTCCACCACAACTGTCAACTGACCCCTTACTACTGAGGGACCTCACTTCAGAAGCTAAAAACACTCAGATTACTTCCTGCCTCTTGCTGGATGAACCGCTGCTACCAGGTGATGGGCACCTGTCCCACATGGGCAGCAGGAGAGAACTAACTGCACTGCAGAGCCTACCCCATAGAGCATGCTGTCTGCCTTTCACTGTGTTGAGGGTTGCACTGGAGACTGACCAGGGTCCTCAAACTGTGCTACATTCTTGCCCTTTTTATTTTCCCTGGGACAGGGTCTTGCTATGTAGTTTAGATTGGCCTCAAACTCACGGTGATCCTCCTGCCTCAGCCTCCACGTGCTGAGATGACAAGTGTGTGCCACTATAGCTGGTAAGGGAATTTTGTTAAAGTTGAATATTCTGGGCTTGAATTTGTGATCTTCCTGCGTTGGCTTTCCAAAGAACCTGGATTACAGACTTGTATCACCAGCCCCCAAAAAAGTTCATAAATTGAGTTAAAAAAAAAAAAGATTCATTGGGATCCTTTACTTACTATTACAGTAATTCTAAGGAGTCGTACTATTCAATAAAGGATCAAAATCCCTTACCCTCCTGAGGTTAATTGGTTGTCTTGTCTTATCCTTTTGCAATGGGTAGCCCAGGGCTCTACTACAGAGTGCAGCCTGGCTCTGCCTGGTCTCAGTGGAAAATGTTGCCATGATCAGAACTGAAACTCCCCTCTGAAGGAAATGTGCTATGGCAGCCCCTAAACTAAACAGTGGCCCAGTGTGGCCCAAGAGGGCTGTGCTTACTACACAAGGAGTTGGACGCAGTGGTGAACCCCACATGGCAGCACTCTGGGAGCCGGGGGGAGCTGCACATCCAAGTCCGACCTAGGCAATGCAGTGACTTAAAGAGACCCTGTCTCGAAATAAGAAGTAAAAGGCGGCTGGGGACACAGCACTAGGAAGGCCATGGGTTCAGTTCACAGCACTCACGCAAACCAACCCAAAATGACATCACTTAATAAGTCCAAGAAACATGGGAACTCTGACCTTGACTTGACCCAAACTGCCTTTCAAAAATATTTCTTTTTTCCTGGATGCAGAGATAGGACCCAGGCCTTTAGCACGTGAGGCACTCAGTCTACTCCTGAGCTGTTCAGTTCTCTGTAAACTTGTGAAGACCACAATCAGTTTCCCATTCTCGGGAACCACATCCTTCCCTTGGTCCTGGAACAGCCACTCAGACAAATGAGGAGAGGGCACTCTGCCTCTATTGGGACCCACACCTCCTGGAGCTGATGGTGGCTTCAAGTGCTTAAACATGGGCCCGGAGTCTGCTTGTGTGGAAGCACAACCCTTGGTGAGGTAAAAGCCTTTTCAGGCTAAATACCATTCAGAAACTCAATCTCTAAGAATCAGGAAAGAACATTAAGAGGAACGCTTAAGAGGGCAGGAACCTAAGGAGAAATCAAGGGACAGTGTTCTGTGGGCTTTGGAGTGTTCAAAATGGTACCAGCTCCCTATACCCACAGGGAGGGAGACCTGAGCCTGTGCCCCAGTGTATCTCGGCTCCCTAAGATGCCATGGTGCAGAAGTCTCTGACTCGCCAGGCAGCTCCTCCATGCTCACTCTGCACCACTTGTGTACAACTGGTATAACCCATGAATAAGGCCCTCAACATCTGAGATGGGCAGAGATCAGACCACAGGAACAGAACTGGGTGCAGCCAGGCACAGCCCCAAGACAGCACGCCTACTCGGTATGTTCCACGCCAGGGGCAAGAGCACTTCAGTTCTGGAGAGGACCCAATGAGCTTCTAGTTCTTGGCTATCAGGACCCACTGATGGCTTCTAGTTCTTGGTATCAGGAATCAAACTCACAACCTCATACGTGCCAGGCAGGCACTTATTTACACCACTGAGCTAAATCCCCAGCCTGGCTTCTAGTTCTTAATCTATAAATTTAAAGGACCAGAATTATATGTACACTCCTGAGAGGAGACTTCCTCACCATTCTGCTTGTTTTCTTAGCTCTGCCAACTCATGGAGCCGCCGGAGTGCTTTCTCTTGTTTCTTCTCATCTTTTCGGGACCTTGAAGAGACATTTCTGGCAAACTCTCTCTGCTTGAGATCTTTTAGTCTCTGGGTAAGAAAGAAAGCACAATGGGTGAATGAGGGGGCCAGGTGGGGACCAAAGTACAGAGCCTTTAGGGCTGTACACGCATTCACCCAATGGCCACAGCACAGGGCAGGGTGGATGACTACACTCTCTGTGGAAGCTGGGAGCGCAGTGGCTCGCCATCTTGCAGACACTTGCAGGGCCTACATTTCTACTTAGGACAGCATATCATTTGCTTTACTAGGCAAAATAAAATGATGTCAGAAACAACAAGCAAATCTTGGAATTGGGAGGAAAGAAAATGGACGATTTTATCACTTGCTCTTCCAGGATGCAAAACTAGACAAGACATAAGATAAATTTTTGTGACATAGGTCAAAGAGAACAGAAGGGATTAAACTAGTACAGAAGTCACCCAAGATAGGAGGTCTTCAAAAGCAATGTACAGCTTACATGGGGAAGTTACTGGGCTTAGAACCAATGGAAGGCACACTCTGGCTCCACCAGAACAGATGTGCTTTCTCTGCAGCATGAGCAGAGGTTTCCCACACTGACTGGACAACCCAGCAGCTGTCCGGTGCCAGCACTGCAACGCCCCATGGCCTGACCAGCTGCTCTGGGCCAGCTGGCTGTGGTCAGAGCACAAGGAGAGCTTTTTGTTCTTTCATGGCCTGGGAACAACAGGCAGGGGACCACGGGGAGAATCCATCAGTCAGATCTTATTACTTAGAATCCAGAAAACAGAATGGAGTTTTTGTTTTCAGAAGTTACTGTATAATTTTCCTTAAAACAAAAGAAATAACCAGCAAAAAAGCACAGTGCCATGACACACTGGTGACAAGAGTCTGGACACATGTATCTGTAATAATGACAGAACTAAAATTATTTTGGCATGCTACATAATATTTAAACAAACAAACAAAAAACCCCCAAAAGATGTTAGCTTATGCATTACAACAGCATTTGGTAAAAGAATCTGACCCAATATAAAGTGGTACATTGCTTTGTGGAAAGGGATGTTATTCAACAGACAGAGGGATTTGCTTACCAAGTATTTATGAAATGTGCTTTGAATCTTTTCGAATTGGGAAGGAGAAGAGGAGGAAGACATACACAAAAAAAGATATACAGCTAAAAACATCAGTAGAAAAACTCACTCTTGTGATCGGGCTCCCAAATTAGAAGGATTTGCTTTCAATACATCAGCTGAAAATGTCATATCACAAAGAAAAAAAGTAAAAAAATAAGAATGGAAGAGAAAGAAAATAAAGCAGGCATTACTACACACACTCCTGGAGAATCCACAGACTGTCACCACACACAACTAGGGACAAAGTGCCTGCTGCACCTGGGGGGGGGGGGGGACGGGATGACGGGGACGGGACACGATGGCCGGCCAACGACAATGATGACACAGGACATGGACTTCTGGCACGCACAGGGCCTACACAGGACCCCACGGTGAGTCCTGCACAAGTGGCGACGCCAGCTGCTGCAAGAGAAAGGCTCCGGAGCTCACACTGCTACACGCAGTAGCCTTGTTCTCATTCATCCTAATTTTGGGTCGGTTCATAACCAACGGCTGGCAAAACTGTCACTGAGGCAGGTGTCACCAACGTATTCCATAAAAACATGCCAGGATTGAGGATCAGCTCTTTTTTTTGGTACCAGGGATCAAACTCATGACCTAGTGCTTGCCAGGCTGGCGCTCATGCTGCTCAGCTAAATCCCTGGCATGCAGTTCTTTTAAGAAAATATCAATTTCAAGATCCTGTTCCTCACAGGAACAGAGCACAGAAAAAAGTGCTACCTGACTATTTTGCATTGTATGCCTAGTTTTCTCTCCCTTTCTTTTCCTTCTTTTATGAGACAGGATCTGGGTATATTGCTTAGGCTGACCTCCAATTCATCATCTTCCTGTTCAGCCTCCTGAGTATCAGCTAGGACTACAGGGTGAACCACAAAGCTCAGCTTAAAGCTATTTGTCTAGCTAAAATCTAAACAGTTTTTCTCAAGTCTGCCGTTTTTTTCCTATCCCCAGCTCATAAGCCTGGAAAGTGCCCTCATAACCAGTTTCCCTGTTTCTTATCAGTATCCAGTCACTTTTAGGAGGCTCTTACTCCATTCTAGATCGCTGTCCAAAAGAGCAATGATTCTTAGCCAAGTCTAGAGGCTCTGGAGTCAGAGCCCAGAGATGAGGCTTTGTGATCATTCCATAGCCACCTGGGTCCGTACGCGAAGCAGAAAGGGGACTGTGCCCATGTGGCCTTGAGACCGGCCACAGGTGTTCAAGTGGAGGCAGGGACTGCAGAAAATGGGAGGGATGTCCACAAAACTGACCCAGACAGCGGCTTCACATGTGGATCGCAATCAGCTCTTTGAGGGGGGCTCCCATCACCATCAGGAGCTTGAGGATGCAGAATCAGAACTCTTGTGGGCATTTAGTTTTGGGTCCCTGGTTCTACTTCTGGGGAGGCAGTGCTTCCCAAGGCAGTCCACACCCTCAGGCCTGTAGAAATGCTACAGTATTACAAGCTCCCATTTTACTGTAGCCAATTCCAAGTCTCTCCAGCTTACTAAAGGTCAAACGGATCCTCCTGAGATGGGCCTGCTGTTCCTGACCATCATCACATCTCTCCTCTGGTAACTGTCTCTTCATGCTGTCAGCATAATGACCCCGCCTTTCAGAAGGACAGCGCCCTGTGCAGAGCTTGGGACAAAATGCCCTGGGCTTACCTGCTCATCACAAGCCAGCCAGCCAGCGCCATCCCTGCAGCTGTCTCCATATACACAGCAACTACTGGGTTACAAGGTGGACCGACAAGGCCAGCGTGCACATCCAACAGGGTGCCTTGCTAGCACCGAGTCCCGTCTACATGGTCAGACACTGCAGCAGTCTCCAGCATTGGCCCTGCAGTGCAGGGAGGGCCGCTGGGTCCACAGGAGTGGTCTGGTGGACATCTGGATATGTGGCCTAAATACTGGATCACTGACTTTATCCAGTTTTTTTTACTCTTGTAGGAAAGGTTGCTCTCAAGTATTCTCACATCTTTAATAGGACATTTAAGCTATATAATAAAGTCGTCCAACTAGCACTCAGATAGTAGGGAACTTTCTTGTTTAGGGAAACTAAAAGTCTGCATTTTTAAACCTGTTATTTTTAAATAGAATCGGGCCTCATGACAAGAAAAATACAGGTGAGAAGCTTAATTCTATATTACAAGGTGATTTTTGAGTGGACAGGGTGCTGGGACCCTGTCCCAGACCCTTGCACAGGCTAAGTAAGCACTCTAGCACTGAGGGGTAAATCTGGACTGACTGATCACACAGCACCCGGACTGGAACTCAGGATCTTTACACTGGATAACCTCCCAGCCCTTTCTCTCACTCTGAGACAGGGTTGCAAGATGTAGTCTCAGCCTCTTGAGTGCTGGGATTATAGACATGTACCACCATGCCTGGCTCTCCCTGCTCTTTAAAAAAAATAGTTTTGAGGCCAGGGATTTAGTTCAGTGGCATAAGCACCTGCCTGACAAATACAAGGTTGTGAGTTCGATCACTGGTACCAAAAAAGAATTAAAAAATGTTTTTGAAACAAGGTCGCATTAAAGTTGCTGTGTTGGCCAGACTGGGCTTCAATCCTCCTGCCTCAGCCTACCAAAGTGCTGGGATTACAGGCACCTGTCACCATTACAGTTAGCATTTTCAATTAGTGTCAAACAGCTTTTCAGAAGAACTGTACCAAATCTTGTTGCTTGTGGGTTTTTTTTGTGGGTGGGGGGGACTGAACCTGAGGCTGTGCTGCATGTTAAACACGCTCACTGCACAGCTGCGCCCAACCCCAGGCTCTTCTGAGCCATCCCAGCAGGTGTGCGATAGTCTCCCAGGCAGTCTCTAGTGTTGTGTGTACCAGCTCACAGCTCTCTCCATACACTGTCACTCACAAACCTGCACTGCTGTGCTTAGATCCCATTTACCTTCCAGACCACAACAGAACACCCCAACCCACGCCACAGGGTGTCCCTGTCTGTGTCAGGATTCTGTACCACAGAGATACCTGGAGTGCACCAAGAGGATGCCCACCTGCATGCCACTGCTGAAAAGGTCTCTGCAGGTCACCACTGCTCAAGGAGCACATCGCTTCCTCTAAGAAGGCCTGGACTTTGGAAGAAACACTTCATTAAGGCTGTAGTTTGGGGCCTAGGCAGTTTACTTCCAAATTGACCAGGAAGGCAAGCACGTAAAATTCAGCAAACCAAAAGGTACAGAAACATGCTCAACCCTTGGAAGAGCAACCAGACAATCCAGCTGTCTACTAGGCAAAGCAGTCACCCAAATGGCAGCCACAATGACACAAAGGCTCCCTCACTGCAGTATGCTGGCCTCTCGGCTACCAGCCACCAGAGAAAACCACAGGATGCAGGGTCCTGAGACACAACATCTATTTATGCTTCTCAAAGGGCCACTTCTTCAGAAGGGAGCCTTGGGAAGTCAACAGCAGGAAGCCCTGAGACACAAACTGCAGGACCTCCCTTCAGTGGCAGTGAGGGTAGCGCCCAGGCCTTTGCACTAAGCGAACCCAGCTCTTACTATTCCTTCTTCTGACACAAGGGCTTGATAAGCTTCCCAGGCTGGGTTAAACTTACGACGCTGCACCTGGCAAGGTTTTCCACTTTTGCCAGACATCATGGTTTGGTTTCTAAGGGATAAATATTCTGTGTGCCACCTGAAACCCAGACAACCTCCAGAGTACACACTCAGCTAGGTGAGCCTGGTGGCTTTACTTCCAGAGTGTCCCTCCTTCCTCATTTCAGTCTGTGATTATATTCTCTCATCTGTCACTGACTTCTGTATACTTTCCCCATTAAACATCAAAGTGGCACTTAGGAAGAAGTCAGCTTACACCTTCAGGTGTGTCTGTGTGTTCTGATCAAATGCTGGAAAAAGTCTCAAGAGGAAAACATCGATCAATAAACTGAAATCACCAGTGGAAAATGACCAAAATGTCACCGATGTTTCTGTGAAGTCTGAAAACCATGGCTCCTTCTACCACTGAAGAAGCTCTAAGAACATACCGTGGTTCTCAGTGCATTTCTAAGGAGTAAGGAAAACTCCAATTTCTGTTCTTTGGTTACGTACCACTGCGAAATGAGATCATCAATGAGGAAGGTGTAAGGAAGTCTGCCACAAAGCTAACCACAGGCTGGGTAATACAAACTGTACCCCACATAGTTTGGAATGGGGAAACCCCTGGCTGTGCTCTAGGGTCACCTGTTACCATTCTGTTAAAGTTCATTTACTGCTTCTGTCCACACAGCTGAGGCAGATAATGGTATTAATCAAAAACTATGATGCATATTTAAGTTAAAAAAAATTACAGTAAAACACGTTGCCTTTAACGCTCTTCAAAACCCCCTCCCTTCACATGCACATGTCCCATCATTCTCGCCACCCTCCGAAGCAGCTCCAGAGGCCTTGCTTACCAACTGTGATCAAAATACACTGAATGCTGCCACTGAGTGCCACCCAACAGAAAGGCAGCTTTGTAAAAACAAGATGGCGGGGGCTGGGGATTTAGCTCAGCGGCATAAGCGCCTGCCTTACAAGCAGGCAGTCATGAGTTTGATCCCTGGTACCGATAAAAAATGAAAAAGACCAAAAAACAAACAAACAAACAAACAAACAAACAAACAAAAAAAAACAAAACACCAGAAAATAAGATGGGCATCCTCTCCCACTATGTTCACTGGATCTGGTACCTTGTGACTTCTGGCTCTTCCCCAAAGTCAAAATAATCACAAAAGATGTTTTTAGTCAATCCAGGACATTGAGGGAACCATGACAGTGCAGCTGAACAACTCAAAAAAGACCACATGCTCAACTGCTTCAGAAAGTGGCAAGAACACAGATGGGCGTGGTGGCACAGGACTGTAATCCCAGCACTTGGGAGGCTGAGGCAGAAGGATCACTTTTTTTTTGGTACTGAGGATCGAACTCAGGACTGTGTGCTTGCAAGGCAGTCTCTTATGCTGCAGAGCTAAATCCTTAGCCCAGGAGGATCACTTCTGGGTTCAAGGCCAGCCTGAACTACATCATGAGACCCTATTGGAAAAAAAACAAGACTGAATAAGACAGAAAAAGGAGTACAATGGAATAGTGTATTTGTAAAGAGGGATAGCAATGTATCCTAAATTTTTTAAAAATTTAAGCATTCTCAAAATATATTTCAGTCATGTCTCATATGTCTTTTCATAATATGTAAAAAGTATAGGGGATTTCACACTATAAGGTGATTTTAACAGAAAAAAGAGTCATGCTGAAAGCACTCTTTCCTCTGAGATACTTTTGTTTTGTTGAGACCAGCTCTTGCTATTGGCCAGCCTTGAACAAGAGCTGATCTTCCTGCCTCAGCTTCAGCCTTCCCAGAGCTGGGGTTACTAGCTGTGTGCAACCATACCCAGCTGTCACTGGTTTTTCTTAGAAGTTAAGGGAATTTTTGTTGCTGTTTGGAGATGTGGTTTCACTGTGGTGCCCAGTCTTAAAACTCCTAGATTCTCCAGACTCACCCTCAAGTAGTTGTGACTACAGGTTTGCACCACCATGTCACCTGAATTCAAGGGAATTTCTGAAGCTGCTTGTTAGTGCCAGGTTTGACAATCATATCAGAAGGAAGCTGCTTCCAGCACTAAGATTGAAGGGGCAGCCTCTCAATGGCGACCTCCCCGGGACAGTCAGCATTCTGGGAGAAAAAGAGGGATGTCAGAGGGTCTGGCAGGTGACTTAAGCTGGGAAGAAGCCAAGAGAGCCCTCAGCTTCAAGCAAGGGTCATGCTGACATGGAGGCCCAGTTCCATCAAATGTTTTAATTTTTCAAAACAAGGTTATATTATAAAATGGCACTAGTGGTCTGGCTGCTGAGACAGGCAGAGCTCTCCCAGTAGGGAGGCCACTGCCCCTCGGGCCTTCCCAGTGCACAGCAGAGCACTCAGGCAGTCATGAGTTCGATCCCCGGTACCGATAAAAAAACCAAACCAAACCAAACCAAACCAAACCAAACCAAACCAAACCAAAACAAAACAAAACAAAACAAAACGGAAAAAAAAAAAATCCCTGCACATCTCTTTTGGTTTCAATTGTGAACATGTTTTGCTCTGATAGATTTCTCCCCCTTTGCCGTGTAGTGGCACACGCATATAATCTCAGCACTCATGAAACTAAGGCAGGAGGATTGTGTGAGTTTAAGGGCAGCCTGGACTACATAGTGAGAATCTGTCTCAAAACACAGACAGACACTGTCAGAGGCAGGTAAGCCAGAGCTGTCTTGGATGTGACTCTGTCAAAAGACCTTTGTCCTCACCCTGGCGAGAGGCCCTAGGGGCTCTGCAGTAAGTGACATTTCCAATCCTTTCTAAAAGTTCTGAGGGTCCTGCTAAGCTGTCCGGGCTCAGCGTGAACCTGCAATGGCCCTCCTACCTCTGCCTCCCAGTGTTGCAGTCACAGTGTGTCACGGTGCCCAGCCAAGAGAATGTCACTTAGGCAGTTAACAGGAAAGGGTTGCTGTAACACCATAGCTGGTCTCCACTGCCTGGGTAGCAATGGGATGACCTGGTCAGAACTTGCCTTTCACTTGTCCACCAAACTTATGGTTAGTTGGAAGATGATGAAAAAGCAACAAAGAAACCCACTGTGCCTGGCTCCAAATCGCTCAATAGACAGAACTGTCACAAGGACTCCAAATACTCCTTTCTCCTTCTGAAGCCCCTCAGGACAATTACTGCCAGGAACTACTTACGCACAAGTTTTGTTAACAAAAACAAAACCAAAAGACAATGAAGAAAGTGTAACTCATTTCACAGCTCTCCAACACGAAAGTGACATCTAGTTTGGTCTCCTTTCTCAAACTAGTTTGGTATCTGCCTTCCAAGGTGCGCTGAGCTGCAAATCGCCTGACAGACGGGAAGGCAGCCCAGGGAGCTGAGCACTACCTCTCACCCATCTAGGGCCAAGGCCTGGAGTCTCAACTCCTGTTCTGCAGGTGGGAGGAGTTGAAACAAAGACCCCACAACCTTCAGCTGAACTGCCAAAGGCAATAAAGATTTAGGAATTGCTCAAAGCCACAAATGTCCTTTAAAATTCATGAGTCTCACAATTCTCTACTAAAATAGCAAGAAAGTATAGGTATGGTTGGGACAGGAAAGGGGTGACTAACTAGGAACTCTGCCAATCAGAAAGTCACAAAACCTGGCAGACACCACAAGCCACAGACACTAAGCTCTCTGGGCCCACTTGCAATATAATTGCGGTGACATATGAGGTGTCTTCCGCCACCAGTGAGCAGCACTGCTCACCTGCTTGTGTGCGTGGTCATAGGAATTGATGTGATTGTCAAACTCCTGATGCTTCTGATACTGCTTGTCACAGAGCTCACAGTAGAAGTTGGCTCGGAGATCTTCCAAGGCCTTGGCGATGGCCTTCTCTTTGTCGACATAATCCTGAAAGAACCACACATACACAGAAATAAAAATAAAAAATAAAGGTAAACATGTAGGACTAAAACAACAAATTTTGGTTCTTAAGATTTCAGATACGAGAACAATGTACTACAGAGCATAAAATAACTATAAAATATTTAAATACAAACTGGAATTACAAAAATGACCCAGCAAGAAGCATCATAAAAGTAGATCGCAGAAAGAATCAGAGGATGTTAACAACTGCAGTATGTAATTATAAAAAAAGCAAATGAACAAATAAAGAACTGTGAAGCACATTAGATGGAGCACAAAAAGCATTCACGGTGACAGAATCATCAGGATGCAGAACTGGCTGCACAACTCTGGGGACTGAATCACGGTAAAAATCACAGAAACAGAGACCTGTGCGGGGTGGATTTCATGGTCTGTGCAGTATCACACATTTTAAAAAACATGTAACCTGAAAGATAGCTGCAGCCCTTGAAGAAAAAAATACAAGAGCAAGCACATGCAAAAGAAATGCTATGGCTGTGAGTTTCTCAAGCTGAGAGAGGGGTGGCCCTACAAGTGCAGCATGTGGAGCTCCTCCTCCACCACAGGACCTTGGCCAGACTTTCTGGATTTCCCCTCTGGTTCCTTTGTCGTGCTGTCTCGATGTTATGAGCCCTGGTGCTGTGGCCTCTCCAAGACACCAGCCACAGCCAGCCTTGTGACCCGCACCCTTCCGCCTCTCCTTCCATAGCACTGCACAGTCCCATGCTGGGGGATGGACCAGCAGCACAGAGCCAGACCTCACTGGTAAATTCAGTTTGACAGTCTTTGTCTTCATACTTTGTTTAGTCTAATGATTTCCAAATTTGTTGTACGCAACAAACACCTTGGGAATTTCAAAATACAGCAATGTCAACAGATTTAATTTTCTGAAGATTATCAGATGATCAAAGATACAGTCTAGGCTTTGAAATTAACAACAAAAAAAGCAGATGATTAATGTGTACCTAAGTTTGGGAACCACTGGGTTAAATTATCCTATGCTATGAATTATGTCAGGATGAGCACATTTTCTTTTCTCTAATTCCTTCTATTAGAAAATCATTTTTCTCATTTCATTTTTTTCTCTATCAGTTTGAAACTTGTATAACTTTTATTCCTTTCGTAGTGATTACCTGCTTCTATGTATTATTATTTTTTTATTTTCAAATCTATTCATCTGGGGATTGAACTCACAACCTTGTGCTTGCCAGAGAAGCACTTATGCCACTGAGCTAAATCCCCAGCCCTCAAATCTACTATAAAGAGAAAAAAATTAAAAAATCTCAAGACACAGTCATTGGGGTAACAGTGGTATATACACTGCACATTGTGTATGTAAACCAAAGGTCTATTTTACGCTCTTCTTGGAGCTGCTAGGAGTAGTGGGTGTGTACCTGGCATCACAGCATTTGGGGAACCAAGACAGGAGAGCCAGGTTCCAGATAAATATTCTAACTGCAAAGCAGGAAGGAGTAAGTGGGGGACACAGTGTGAGCACCCTTCAACTCTAGTACTACAAGAACAAAAGCTCACTAAACATTTATTCACTTCCAATCTCAAGTTACTGCTTTGTGAACTGATTTTTGATCCCATGAAAAATTCTTACACAAAGTTTATTTTATGCTTACCTAAGTTCTGTTTTCTGCATTTGTTTATGTCTGAGGCCTTCGTGCTGAAGTCCCTCCCCTTCTGAAGTGTGTCCTTTATTATACTTGTTTAATCAGTGTTCATTTCCCTTTTTTTTGGATACTGGAGATCGAACCCATGACCTTGCGCTTGCTAGGCAGATGCTATACCTCGGAGCTATACCCCAACCCTTTCATGTTCATCTTCATGGCACTCACCTGTCTGAAAACGCTTTTGTTCGCCCTCATGTGTGAAAGCCACTTTAGCTGGTGTGTAACTTTAGGCTGCCAGGTGCTTCTCTGCACATGTGAACCCATGATATTCCATTTCAAAACGTGGCTTCTGAGGAGTCTGCCCCTGCAATGCCTAGGGAGCAAATCATGTGCTCACGGGATTCTAAGGTCTCTGTGACACTAGCATTCAAGAATTTCAAAAGGATGTGTTCATATAGGGTTTCTTTTTATTTCCTCATTGTAGGATTCTTCAGGCTTCTCCCATTTGTATTTGGGCATTTTTCTTTTTTGTAGTGGAGGTTAAAGCCAGGCCCACTCAGGAAGCACCCTCCCACTGAGCTGCATGTCCAGTCCTTTTTTAGTGAATGGTTTATTTTGGACGATAGCTTTGCTAAACACAATGTGCTCAGGGCTGGCCATGGATTTTCAACCCTTGTGCCTCAGCCTCCCAGTAAATGGGCACTATTGCTTTTTCATTTTTGAGACAGGTTTAGCTGTGTAGTTCAGGCTGGCCTTGAACTATGTAGCCGAAGGTGGCCTCTAAATTCAGTGATCCTCCTGCCTGAGCTTCCCAAGTGCTGGGATTACAGGTGTGTGCCACCATACCAGACAAAAAATTCTAGTCTTTGTGTTACAACTTTTCATTTTACAGCCCATACTTTCTAACCTCTCTTTTTCTAGTTCCTTTTGTATCTATTAAGCAGTGAGAATCACAAGTCTGGGGTCACTCTTCCACCAGATTCACCACTCATGATTCCAGGCCACCTGGTAAGTCTGGATCTTGAATTCTAGGTGTGATCTAGGCCTATTTCACTGCACCTCCTTCTTTCTTGTCTTGCCCACTCTCTCAAAGATTAATTAAGTTTCTTATTTTAATCCAGCCATTTGCATTGTTTTTAGTATAACTGGACAAAATATTGTTAATGCTTAAGGATCTTCAGCTGTAAACCTTAGAAACAATTCTTTAGTTAGTGTGTAGCTCAGTGGCATGGCAGTTGTCTAGCATGTATGAGGCCCTGTGTTTGATCCCCGGCACAGGAAAAAAAGTTAATTCTTGATTTCAAAGCATATATTTTGCCACTCAAATTCAATGTGACAGGGTTTCTGGGAAGATGGCACAGTAGTAAGCAACAGAGAAAGAACCATTCCAAGTTCTGATGTCCAGACCTACAATACAGCAACATGAAGAAGAAGAGGGAGGTGGGTCCCATGGGCACAGAAAGGATTTAAATTGAGACTTGAAGCCCATGGAGAGAGATAAAAAGAAAGCAAAACTAATGCCTGGAGCAGTGGCCCTGTCAGCCGGGGAAAAGCAGTAAGGAAGTAATGCAGTCCCATACCCTGTGAACCAGTAGAGGCCCTGTTGGCCACAGAGTGCAGCAATGAAGTTGTGCAGCCCTGCTGTGAGCCAGCAGAGGCCTGCTGGCTGGGGAGAAGCAGCAAGATAGCCATGTAGCCTCTTTGTGCTGGTGGAGGTCCTGTTGGCTGGGCAGAACCAGCAAGGAAGCTGCTTTTGCCTCCTCTTCCCCTGTCACTATAAGCTACTGGACGTGACACAGGCTGAGATAATAACTAAAGGAAGCAACCTGACATTTACCTTGTTTGACTGACCCTGCAAGCCTGGGGCCAGTAGTCTGAGCAACTATTTAGAGGATTGCAATACAGTAACTACTGTGGATTTCCTACTGTCCTATGACTGTTTTTGTTTCATTTTACAGTTGTTTCACTGCCTTTCAAAAAAAAAATTTTAATGTAACACTAAAAATGATGCTATTTGAAAAGGAACTAAAAATATAAATTCACCTTTCAAATTTGCCTTAGAAAATATAACTTTCCAAGACTCAGACAGAAGCGAAACCATGCCCTCCTGTAAAGCAGGCTCTGCCACCCAGATGGGAAAGAGCCTCAGTCAGAGGAAACTATGAATTCCTATGAGCCAGCCGCTACACGGGCTAAAAAAGAGAGGAATATCCCCCCAACCTTCCCTGCTGATTTGGAGGACTCAAGGTGAGATGATAGCAAATGAGGGGAAGAGAACAGCTTAATGCTTGTATTGTTCGGTTGACTCTGCAGCCCTGGGGTTGGTGGTCTGGGCATCTACCTGGAGGACGGCAGTGTGCACTGTGGCAACTGTAGGGATTTCCTCCTGTCTTGTTTTTGAAATCTAGTGTTTTGTTTCATTTTACTGTTTTGTTTTATACCTGTATCTGGTAACCTGAACAACTGTTTTGAAGATAACAATGTGCAATACTGTTCTGTTTTACTTTGTTCCAATTTTATTTTAGTCAATGTTATGTTTTGATTGGTTTTATTGTTTGTTTTGGTTTGATTTTGCTATGTCTAATGGTATAAACGACTACTGTGAAGACATAGATATATTATGTGGCCAGTGCTGATTTCCTGTTGTCCTGTTTTATGTTTTGTACCACTGTCACTGCTTTTTTTCTTTTTTGTATTGGGGCTTGAACTCACAACCTTATGCTTAAATTCCTGGCCTCACTGCTTTGTTTTGATTGGTTTTATTCTGTTTTGTTTGTTGGTTTTTTTTTTTTTTTTTTTGGTCTTTTTGAGACAGGGTCTCACTATGCAGTTCAGGCTGACCTTGAGCTCACTTTGTAGCCCAGGCTAGTCTCAAACTCGAAAGGATTCTCCCACCTCAGCCTCCTGAGTGCTGGGATTACAGTCGTGAGCCACCATGCCCAGCTTGGGTTTTATTCTCTTTAAAACAAAAACAAAACAAAACAAAAGAAAAGAAAAAAAGAAAGAAAATATAACTTTTCAAACTAGTACCCCTGCCCCGCCCAAAGGAAAACACATCTGTAATCAAACCAAGTATCTGCAAATACCATGGTTTACCAGTGAGGAGGAGAAGCATTTGATGACAGCCCAGCAGGACGCCCAATGAACAGCAAGTGCTGCTGCCACTGTTTGCAACCAGTAACAGCACTGCACTTCCAACAGTACAGGGCAAGTATTCTTCAAATCTGGCACATACAGGTGGAAAAAGTGACCACAGGCTTCAAGGAGGCTCACATGGCACATATATACAGTGTGCAAGAGGAGCCCGTGAATTATAAGACATGAACTATACCACACAGCAACCACTACCTTTAGGCTCCTTTACTTCTTGCTAGAGTAATGATGAGGAGTAAAGCTGTCTTCTCCACTTGGAAGCCAGTTCCAGATGTGCACTTCCTCTGCATTATCTATAACTACTTACACAAGCTGAACATCCCCTGGTTCTATGATACACCCAATGTATAAACAAACCAAAGAGCACAGGAAAGAAAGAGGGAGATGGAGCTTTTGCAAACAGAAGGGGAAGTAAAGAACTCAGATGAGTTGTCCACCCACCAACTCCTCACGATGAATGTAATCTTTAGATATTGCAAACATGGACTAACAAAAATAAAAAACAAGAAAAAGTCAATCAAGAGAACACCGAAAACTCAAAACACAGCAAACACCTTTAAGTCTCAAAGAGCAGTAACAGATCTCTGATTCTTTGATTTTTCAAGTCTGAAAACAGATTTTCTTTTCTTTTCTTTTTAAAGACAGGGTCTCACTAAGTAGCCCAAGCTAGCATGCAATTCTTATCCTCCTGTCTCAGCCTTCTGAGTGCTGGAATTATATCCTGTGACATTATACCTGACTGTATTTAATAATCTTAATTGTTTGTCTTTTATCTTCTAATTTTATGGTAGAGATTATGTACACTGTAGTATCTTGGAAAGTAAGTTCCCTGGTCAGTCTTCAATTATTTTATTTTATTTTAGACAGGGTCTTGCTATGTAGTTCAGCCTGGAGTTATAATCAGCATGTAACCTAGGTTGGCCTCGAACTTGGCAATCTCCCTGCCTCAGCCTCCCAAATGCAAGGATTATGGGCGTGCATCACCACACCTACCTTAGAAATTAACATTTTCTAAATTGCAGTTTTATTTTCTTTTTTTTGTTCTTCTCCTTATGTAGTCTGGCCTGGCCTTGAACTTACCTGATGATCCTCTAATGCAGTGGCTAAACTAGTTTTCTGTAATTAGTAACGCTCTGCATTTTTTTTTTTTTTTTTTTTTTTTGAGACAGGGTCTCACTGTAGTTTGTGCTGACCCAGTATTTACTATGTAGCCCAGGCTGGCCTCAAACTCTCAAGTGACCCTCCTGCCTCAGTCTCCCGAGTGCTGGGGCTATTTTTTTGTTTGTTTTGCTTTTTTCTGGTACCAGGGATAGAATGCACAACCTCACACTTGCCAGGCAGGCGCTTATGCTGCTGAGCTAAATCCCCAGCCCCATTAATTCCTTTTTAAAAAGGCACACTGAAAGAAAAATCCAACTCAATTCTTCTATAAAATTTCTGCTTTAGAATTGAGTTTAATTAGCAATAAAAAAAACCCTCTCAAATATTATTCTTGAAACACCCAACCATTCTGAAAACTAAGACATGCCAAGCCAAGCTGCGTAAGTGTCTTCAAGCTCTCACAGACTCTTAGCTTTTCCTGGGGTGGGTGCTGGGGACTCAGTCCCAGGCCCTGTGCCTGATGGACAAACACTACATTGTGGGGTTCCACCAAGCGCTGTAGTGACACCTGCCACTGTGGCTACTATTTAACCACTTGTGCACCATGCAGTGTGACTTCACATGTCACTCACAGAAGCTTCTCAACAGACCACTAAGGAGGTATTTGCTCCTAGGTGTGGCAGCAGCAGTAAACAGGGAACAGGGAAGAAACAGAAAGGAGACCTGCCATACTGAGCCTCAGCCCGGGTGCAAAGGTGTAGGATGCAGGAGGCAGGTGCCCTCACGGGAAGGGGGTTTACACACCTTGTACTTCTGCCTAAGCTCTTCTGTGTCCTCCTTTTCCACTTCTAGGACACGGCGCCGTTCGGTAGCATCTTCAGCATAATCAAGCTTGACAAAAACATACAGTTAATTTTCCTTCCCAAGGAACCACAAGACTAGCTACAGAAAAGTCACGTGCTTATAAAGTCAACTAATGCTGCTCCATGAAGAATTTGCATGTCCTGCTCAGGCCTTCCTCAATGGGGTGCTGTCATCCCAGGAAAAGAACATGCAGAATAGTTGTTAATCCTTGTGTGCTGGTGGCTTCCTTTTAATAAGACTTCAGTTCTATGTTCACTGGCATGTGAACAATGGGAATGGAGAAAATACAGGACAACTGAAAGCAGATGTCGCAGATGACAGCTGCAAAAGACCCTTCTAGCATGCACCTGTCCCAGGAGTGAAGCAGCACCAATGCTCTTATGTGCCTCACACAGCACTAACTGAGAATACAAAATACATTTTTTAATTGTGCAAAGGAAAATAACAAAACCATATTCCACCTGGTCAGTGTTTCCTGGATCTAAAGCTACCACCAATCCCAGACAGTCCATGAACCAAGAAGAACTGCTCACCTCCATCTCCATGCGGCCCATGCCCATGACGTCATACTTGACAACGATGGGGATCGGGTCGGTTCTCCCTGTAACAGGAACACACAGCCAGGGTCAGACGCAGTCGAGCTAACACTATGGTACACATTAGGCTGGGTGGTTAGAGATCTTGCCTTGGAGTGCAGAGACCAGAAAGCTACAGTGAACCAAACACAGCCATTCTCACAGCTTACACACAGCCTCTTCTGTCTTGGCTTAAGCCAGTGATGCTATGCCCACAGCTTCCCCTCTAGAGTGTCCAGCTCTCAAAGGCCAACTGAGCTGGTAACTAGTGCAAGGTAGTGCTGAACAGTGGCCCCAGGAGACTCATGTTGCAAACCTTCCGGAGTTCCTTTTTAAATGACTCCTGAGTATTTCTCAAGAATCACTCCACTCCATCCATTGACATCCTCCTCGCACTCTGAAACCCTTCAACTGACAGGCTTAAACAGGAAAGCTTACTGTCAAATGTGAAACAGTAAACCTTTGGAATCACACATGCATCAGCAAGTTTAACTTTCTGATGGCTCCTTTTTCTTTTTTTTGAGACAGGGTCTCACTATGCAGTTCAGGCTGGTCTCAAACTCACAGTGATCCTCCTGCCTCAATCTTGGTAGTGCCCAGGGCTGAGATTACAGGACTGCCACCACACCCCCAGGCGATGCTTTCTGAAGATAAGTAAAAAGCAAGTTGTCCTTAGGGACAAAGCAGTTTTACTTTTAACCTAGTGCTCCAGGTCCCATTTACCAGAGAGCATTTAATGTTGGCTGTGATGATAGTAAGCTGTGAAAAGGACTAGTTGCGAAGAAAATTGACTTTAAACTAATTGATCTATGCTGGAAAAAATTTAAATAAATATATATTTAATCCACTCATAACCAGCCAAACAAAGCAAAATGGGGCAGACAAGCACTTTACTACCACAGCTGTTTTACATCACAACTTGCGAGGGCATTGTGATGTAAGCCCACTGAGAAGGGACTTACCTTACACCAAGTGCGTTTTTCCTGAGAAAACACAGGGCTCACTTCCCTCATCCCCTCAGACTGATGTGGACAATTGGTTTTTGTTGTTATACACACATAAATATTATACCTTTGGGCTAGAAACTGAGTTTTACCAGGCTGAATCTCAAGCACTATTCCCCCTAAAAAAGCCATGATCATGACTGGTTTATGTCTCGCAGAAAAAACAAACTGTTTTCCAAAAGGGCTGCAGTCATTTGCATTAGTTGCTCTGTACTTGCAGGATTTAATTTTCTGTCTTTAAAACACAATGAAAAACAAATCCAGAAGTTTATCTACTTATCACCAATACCACACTGCTTTTAAACAGATGAGGAATGGTTAGCGTAATTTAAAAATCTGTTTAAAGAAAATGGGGGGGGTGCTTCTCAGCACAGCCCTTTCCAATACAGCGACGCTGCCTCTTGCCCAATGGTATAATAACTCCACGTGACTGCGATCTTTAGCAAAAGGACCAAATTATAGACGGGTTATAAAAATGACTTCCTAGATACAGTATCACTTTCATAATGTCTCAGGGATTTACTGGTGAAAACAAAAGGTCCAATGAAGGAATCGGAAATGTCCAATTTACTTTCTTTTTGGTATTGTTTTGTTCTGTGAAAATTTGTTCTGTAAGAAGAAAGTTTTGGTACACATCTTTACCTTTGTAAACCCCTGTAATAAACTGCATTAGTACTTTTGCCCTATAAGGCAGTCAAAGTCTTAAAAATTTACTTGTAAATTGCAGTAGCAAGTGCTAGTGCCCATTACATTGGGGAAATTAAGTTTTTGACAATATTAGAATTTAATGTTTTAACTGATTTCTTTGGCAGTTTCTAACACAAACAGATACATCCATTAACAGTTCCCTTCGATGAACAAGGGTCAGACAAGTTGCAGAAGGAAAGGAAAGGAAAATGAAATAGACCAAGCAGAAGGATGAAGGCTACAACAGAGAAAGGAAGCCTAACATATTGGTGCACTGATGACAAAAGAGGAATTCAGTCTGAAAATAAAAAATTACCACTGCTAAGTTTACCATCACCACAACAAGTCCAGGGTCATAATGCTGCAAAAAAGAAACACCATTTGTTAGGTGGCAACCATGAGGGTGGGCAACAGGCCTTCCAGCAGGCAGGCAGGCTGGGGCCGTACCAGGGGCTGTCCCTCCCGTCCCAGCCAGGACAGAGGAGAGGGTTCCTGAGGCAGCAGCATGGCTGTGTGAGGTGTCTGTGCTGCTGCCCAGAGCAGGAACGACTTTCTCCTCCATACGCAGGGGTGGGGCAGGCCAGGGCAGGCAGTGGGGTTCCTGCCAGGAACTAGCTCTAGCTTCCAACCTCTCGGGCACTTGCCTGGAAAATCCGGGTTCGGGACCCAAGAAGGAATTTGGCCCTAAGTCACATCAAAGATGGGATCAGACCGAGTGGGCAGTGATTCATTGGCTTCTTTAAAAAACCCAAGGAGGGAGGGGACCACTTTCAAAATGTGTGAAATCAAAGCCTAGAAGGCCCTCCCAGTGGACAGCCTCCGTACTCCCACCATGGGCCTAGAAACCTTAGTGTAGCAGTGCCCTGCGCTCCACTCCCTCTTCTGGCAGACCCCTCAGTCCTGCCAGCACCCTTTTGAGCTTCCCACAGTGACAATGCCAGCTTCAAAGGAACATCAGGTCCTGCCCACACTGTCCTCAGGTGGGGAGAGCTCGGCAGGCACACATCCCACGGTGCTCCACATGCCCCATACCCACACACATAGCCGATACCATGCCACACGCCCCTGCACGCACACCCCAACCCCACCACATACAGCCTACAGCCCCACACACAACACACTAAACACACATCCACTACACTGTGCTCACACACCACACACAACACCAAAGCCCAACTTTCCACACCACATACACAGTACATCCACCATACCCCGACACCTCACATGTACACCACACACCAAACAACACAGCTCACACCAAAGCCTCCAACTCCCCCACAATGCAGTTCAGTTCTCGATCTCCCGTCTACCAATGCGAAGCCCCATGTAAAGAACAGCACTCAAGGCCTGAGCAGCAACCTGAGGGGCCACTTCAGAAAATGGGGCAGCAACAGAATGTCTAGTCATAGGTGCTTTTTACAAAACTCAACTCTAAAGGACACAAATGAATTAAATCCAGGTTTCCTATTTCTTTTTAAGCCTGGCAAGTATTAAGTGAATTATTTAAAAAAAAGTTTTCTTGTGTATTTTACTACCAACTCTGACACAACACTAAATTCTGTCAAAGAAAATGGCCTACAGACACGGTCTTCAGACGCTATGACCACAGCCTGGCCAGCCGGTGACAGGGATTAAAAAAATGAAAACCACAGAACACAGGCCAAATCCACAACACACCAATATATTTTTTTTTCTTTTTTCTTTTTCCTTTTTATCGGTACCGAGGATCAAACTCACGACTGCCTGCTTGCAAGGCAGGCGCTTATGCCACTGAGCTAAATCCCCAGCCCCAACACACCAATATTTTAAAAAAAAATAGTAATCGAGGTAAAAGAACACGTCACTATCGATGTAGTCACCTAACAGAAAAGCTGGTATTCACTTTCTAAACCCAAACTTTGTTTTATTAATCAGTGAGAATTTAGCTGTCTGTACTTCTCAATTTGTTTTGTGGGGCTTGTAAGCACTCTACTACTGAACACACCCTCAGCTCTGCCCACATTTGAAAGGTAGCCTGACTTCTACCATGATAGAAGTCCCTAAATGCTGCTGTAACAGGTCTTGCTAAGGGACGGGCAAGCATGAGGTCCCAACCTCCATTCTTGGTACAAAAATAAAAAACAATAAACAAACAGGTCCTGCTAAAATGCAAAGGCATTATGATTTATAAAGAACGAATGAGATCAAGCAGAACAGGACATGGTACACACTTTAGGCCCAACTGCTGAGGAGACTGAAGTGGGAGGCATTATGATTTATAAAGAATGAATGAGATCAAGCAGAACAGCGTATGGTACACATGTTAGGCCCAACTGCTGAGGAGACTGAAGTGGTAGGATCATTTGATGGTGACAGGTGGCAACACTAGGCTGTCTCACTTGTGTGCACGTGCACACACATGCACACACACACACACTGCCAAAAGCAAAACGCAAAACCACCACAACAAAAACCATGAGAACTCAATGACTATCCACAGCCAGTCCATCTCTGAGAACCATCTCTCAATAATGCATTCTGATTTTGAACAATCAAGGAAGTATCAATCCATGGATTGGACCCAAAACCTGACCATAGGGAAACACAGAGACTAAGCAGGAAGAAAACATGAAAAGATGATCTGAAGAAAGCAGACACATGATAGACCTCCCTGTGGAACTAGCAGCCCTGAGAGGCGCATGATGCCAGCCCCGAGGGCCATTTAGCACATGCAGCCCTGCCCAGGCCGCAGACACAACAAACCTCAATCCCTACGAGTCTCAAAACACTGCTCTGGGCACCAGCACACAGCAGTGACTTAAGACTGATCCTAAAGCAGAAGTAAAAAGTCATCAAAAGGTGACAAAATTCACTTCTAAAAGACCCCAACTGATAGCGACCATTAACCTCCCTTGACACACTGCTTGCTTGCTTCCTTTTGTTCTTTGGAGACAGGGTCTCATTGCGTAGCCCAGGCTGGCCTCCAGCCCATAGAAGTCCTTCTGCATCATTCAAAAGTTCTTACTGCAAGCATCAGAGAGAGGAAGAGGCCACTGCCTGCATGCCAGCCTGTGTGTTGGTGCGTCCCTGTACCCACTGAACAGGGACTTCACGGCTCTAGGGCGTGAGGAGAAAGCAGTGTGCTTACAAACTGTAGTTCTACTTCTGCAATTTCTCGTGAACTACAGTTTGGAACAGCTTATTAACAATGATTAATTTCAAAAATCATTCAGATTTTTGGGGGTGGGTATCTGGAGTCAAACTCGGGACCTTGTACTTTGTCAGGCAGGCACCTGCTGCTGAGCTATATCCCCAGTCCACAGGTATTTTTCTTTTCTTTTTGGTGATACCAGGGA